ATTCAGTATGAAGACCGCTTCGCTAAACCAAGTGAACAGAAAGCGCTTCCATCTATACCAAAGGTAAGTTGTTCATCTTCATATCTTGTTTAGTATCAGATTCAGTCCTGACACGAGTTTAGACCCCAGAGTCCTCAAACGACATCACGATGGAAGATGTATTCACTCCTCCCGCAACTCAGCAGCCCCAGCAGGCCGTCTCGCCCCAAGCTGTAAGTTTTCTGTTACTGCCTGTCATGTCATGCAGCCTGGCTAATGTTTATGATTAGAGCTCGCCATCAGTCGAAGAGTCCACATATCTATTAGGGTCTATTGGCCTCAGAAGTCCCAACAATAGAGAGCAGGTAACATACAAACCTCACATTTAACAACATTAATCAGGTGCTAACATTCTTATTACAGCGTCCGAACTGGTTCCAGTTACGTAACAAATCAGGAACCCAAGATGCCACGCCAGTGAGTGACCTTATAATGCCCCTTATAATGGCCCATGTATAACAGCTACTAACGACTAAACCTCCAGACGTCATCGCAAATCGGAAACTCAAACCACGGAGCTTTCGATGGTAGCTTTCTTCTTCCGCAAATCCCAGGCAGCTGGCCAGTGTCCCCGCCCAGGCCCTCGGCGGCGCCAGCTGACCTGTCCGTCAAGCCCTCACCGGAAATACAAGGCGCTCCTCCGTCACCAAACTCCCGAACTAGGGAGTTTATGATGGCGGGGGGCATAGCATCTGCCAGCCCGGGAAGAAGTTCAGTAGTGCCACGTCCAACTGATGTTCCAATGACATCCCTAGAACCTGAGTCTCCTCTGCAGCTAGTATGTTGACCCTACATAACTCCTTTGTTAGTGGGCTGTTACTGACTCTCTTCCTTAGGCAGCAGACGGCTTCCGCTACCTATACAGATTGCCAAGGTACTTCTCCGACTGCTGGGGCAAATTATCACTAAGACCCAGCATCGCGTTCATGGAAACAGTGAAGAGGAGAGCTGTAGATTTTTGGACATCTCAGACTTCTCGAACTGCCACTGCCCCTGTTTCCAGCCATTCCCCACGCAGAACCGACAGAAGACGCGATAAGAAGCTCCTGGGCTTGAGCATGGAGCAGCGACGTGAATTTCGTCTCCAGCAGAAGCGTACGCAGAGAAAGAAGACGACATCCCCAGTCGCCCCCGAGCTTCATAAAATCGAGCTTCCCATCTCTGAAGTGAAGCCAATGACGTCCGCTGCTCCTGCTCCTGCCCAGTTAGCCCAGCGAGGGCGCTCTCGCCGCCACCGATCGAAGCCCGCCAAAAGTTCGATCCAGAAAATCATGCCGCACAAGCCTGGTTCAGCCGTTACACCAGGCCGCGTTACCAAACAGCGCACTGTGCGGCCGGCGAGAGACACCTCAAGAGGATCGAGAATTGTGTATCGAGGCGGTCATAGAGACGCCTCATACGAGGAGAGAATCCGGAGAGTCCAGCAGATGAACTTGGATTTCGTATTAAAATCCGGGCCTGCCCAAGTCATCCTACCTGAGCCACAAGAACCCGAGTCACCCGTCGCGCCAGTGACTCCAGAGCTCAGAGAGACCTCCGAACCTCCGCCACCTTCCAGTGCTTCGGTGCCAACCACCCCCCCTGGACCGTGTACCGACCAGCCATCATCAGCCGTGGGTACCAGTCCCACTGACGAGCCTCCCAGAGACCAGTCGTATGATGGCTATACACAGAGACCAGCAGAACCAAGCACTCGGACAGTACACTGGCATGAAGCCAGTTCACCACTCGGACAGCCGGTTGTTGAGATCCGCGTCTATGACCCCAGCGCCCCAGTCAGACCTGCGCAAGGGGTGGAAGACAGCCAGCAACCGGCTCACGCAACAATTGACGACAGGTCACCAGAGGGCCCTTTCATTAAGCCCCTCAGCAGCAGATGGGACTCGCGTCTCACCGCTGATATGTCCCTTCCCGATTACCGACAGGTTGGGACAACGATCTCTGGTGACCCCCTGACCCGTAAGGATTTTGCGACATGCTACACCCCGTTAGCGTGGCTCAATGACGAGGTGATCAATGCATATCTCGCAATAATCCTTGACTACGCTCGAAGGGCTTCGGGCAGTTCAGGGAGGCTTCGGGAGCCCAAATACCACGCCTTCAACTCATTTTTCTACTCTAGCCTTAGGGACCGAGGCTATGAGTCCGTACGGCGTTGGGCTTCCCGGGCTAAGATTGGGGGTCCGGCCTTGTTGGGGGTAGAGATGGTTCTCATCCCTATCCACAATCAAGCGCACTGGACCCTCATGGTCGTCAAACCGAAGGCTCGAACCATTGAGTACTTCGACTCCCTCGGAGGTTCTTCACGAGCTCATATCAGCCGAGTGAAGGAATGGCTCCAGGGAGAGTTGCGTGACCTCTTTATCGAAGAGGAGTGGCGGGTTCTCCCAACAGACTCTCCACAACAGGACAACGGCAGCGACTGTGGGGTGTTCCTCCTAACTACCGCTAAGATGGTGGTGTTAGGCTTGCCTCTTTCATATGGGGCGAGAGACATTCCCACGATCCGCAAGAGGATCGTTGCCGAAATCCTTAATGGAGGGTTCGAAGGAGATTTCGACCCAAAAGTTGAGTTCCCTGTCAGATCTAGGTTATAATCGCCTGGTACCTGGTTCATAACTCGAACTGGAGGGAAGAAACATCAATAACCTGCTTCCCGAGTGTGGTGGCGTAGAGAGGAGGAGAGCATCGTCTCGGATTCAGTTCCGCTGCACGATAATGCCCAACCCTTCGGGGTTTAGGGTGTGACTGTTCTATATCGGCAGAGGCGGTTGCAGTTGTTGCGTCCCGGCTTTAGGGTCTCTGGCCCATTGTCTAGGGTGCAGCAGCTGTCTTCCACCCGAGCCTTTGTAGTTCAGACTTCGTTGCCAGACATGTTTCTCCTCCTCTCTTCCTCAATTTCTCGATCCTGCTGGCGAGCATCCGCAAAGGTCCGGCAGAGACAATGCCAGGTAAACCCTCAGGGCGAGTAAGTCCTGGCAGACGACTCCGAGGCATTGAGCCAGTAAGTCCTCCACCACCAAAAATACAGCAAGTCGTCGTCGATGTCGGTACCGGATATCAGCGCAACAAACCTAGTTTGGAGGTTTGTTCGCTAAAATTTTACATAGGAATCGGTGTTGGAGTTTGGGACCGCATGGATGCGGTATTGATTTTGTATGTGTGTGTTTAGCCTGGAGTTGGGGGCTGTTTTTGTTTCTTGTTTTTTGCGCGATTAAACGCGCTGTATGAATAGATTTGAAGAGGAGGAGCAGAGCATTGCTCCTTTAGCTCTCCTAATGCATTTGATGAATTGATATTGGTTTTTAATAACGAAAGTCACTATTTCGTTTTGCTCTTTTGGGTCTGTTGTGGGTATTTATATCTTTGGGAATATCCCTATTCCCATCCACATAGGAAGTTGACGAATCTTGGAGAAGAATCTTCCGCATAAAATGGAATATTCTACGTTGAAAAAAGGTAATTCATTCTATGATACTACCAATCTAAAAGCGACAATGAAGTTCAATGCAACCAATAAGGAAAACTGCTACTTTACTTCCTTCAATAGTGCAGGCATCATTCACTAACAATGGCAGCGCTAGAGGATCTATCCATTCTAACAGAAATCGGAAGCAAGCGTTTTCGAATTGAAACTCAGGAAGAGCAGGCTCTCAACATATGAACGAAACATGGGCAACCAGTCAAATAATTTCGGGTACGCCCTGAGTTTTGACACCGTCGATGCGGCAAACTACCCGGCATTTTTCCTCCTCGCCATCTTCACCGTGCGGCTTTGGTCTCAGTTTTGGCGTTTTACCCTTGGGCTTGCCTTTGGCTTTTCTGCCTTTGCCCTTACCCCTTGGTTTGCCTCTACCTTTCCCTTTGCCTATTTGTTTTCGCTTGGGTCGGGGGGCACGCCTGGCGGGATGGTTGGCAGAGTACTCCTCTTCTGCGTTCTTGTCATTATTCTCATTATTCTCATCATCTTCATCATCTTCCCCACTCTCTGACTTGAGGTTAAACTGAGCATGTTTCTTATTGATGCCTTCAATATCGGTGGTCTTATTGTATACCACCTCTACCCACTCCACGCCCATATATACGGACGAGCCAACGGTCATATTCCCAGTCCACTGGCCACCATCACTCCACAGGTTGAGAATTAGCATGCTCGGGTTCTTAGGAACTCCGTATATCTTCGAAAGCAGGAACTCGTTGTTAAAATACCAACGGCTCACGTCCCGGAACCAATCCAGTCGATGGTCTCCCCAGTGAGTCCAGGGAACGGATATTTCTATCTCGTCACTCGCACCGGGGATGGCAAGGTCAGTTTTAGGGTCCCAGTCGGGTTGATTAGCGTAGCGAACGAGGTTTGGTGGATCACTAGTTAGGATTTCAATATCCGACTCATCGTTTTTGCCCTGATATGTAAACATTCCCGCACACGCACCTGCTGGCGGGTGGTGTGTACGGTAGCTGGCTGGTAGGAAATCATGGAAGTCGTCGCTTTCGGTAGTTATGTTTCCACCCTTGTCTTTGGGGAAATAGAACCAGCCCGAGTTAGCATATAGGCGTAATCGGACGCGTAGGGAAGCATGTAGGATATCAGTATCATGAGTCTGTACTTCAGCTGTTGATGTGTGGTTTTCCATCCGTACGGTGCGAAGGACCATATGGGTGGTCTCGTCTCCCTTTGCGGTGCTATTGCGCACCATGAAGACATTATGATGCGAGTTTCTAATCGGGATGGGGAACAGTGCAGATCCCTTTCTGTTCCAATTCTGGACATCCCAGTCCTCGATGAAACGGCTGCCAGCTAAGGTAGGATGGAACTCATTGCTATCCGCGTTGGGGTCCGGGAATCCTCCGGCTTCATTATTGCGGCCCTTTGACTCGAGATCAAAAGTTGAGTTGTCGAGCATGTAGCCCAGTATCCCTCCGCGCCCGGTTCCGGGTACCCGTCGAGAGGATATCTCTCTCCTCTGACTCTGTTGCTGTTGTTGTTTATCCGCAGCTAGATGCAGGCCCTGGCTCCGGAAGTCATAGAAGCGGTGATGTTTGAAATATCCTGGGTCTTCGCCAGAAACGATGTAGCAGTCGCAGGAATCGGAGGGGTCTTTTTCGTTAAGGCCTCTGGCACGGTGGCGGCTTGTCTCGCCTCCATATGTCGTTGCAATGGCGAGAGGAAGAAGAGAGCAGAATAACCCGCTCAGGGAGATGAGATGAAGGCCCTTCATGGTTAATAAGGTGTATGTTGATTAGAGGGGAGCTGTGAGAGATCTCTTCTGAATATCGTGAAGTCCAGAAATATTTCTTGCTGTTTGTCTTCTTGGTTTTCTCTACCACGGTTGGGAAGGAACCAACCAGACGTCATACTCGGCCTGGAGGAAACATCGTCAAAGGTCGGGATGAACTTCATCGCCATCAAGGCTTCGATTTATAAACATATGATATGTTTATAAAGTGCGTTGACAGTCTCGTTATAAACGGTATCTTAATGAAAACGATCATTATTCCCTGGCTATCCTGGTTCCTCTGGGTATAGAATGGGTATCATAACAGCTTCACCAGCAAAAATCTCACATATCAGTGCTTAACATTGGATATCTAGCAAGTTATACTCGTATAAAATCACCAGAACATCCGGTTTCTCCTTGTAAACGTCAAAATTTCCCCTTTTGGCCTTTGAAGCCATCCATGCGGCTCAACGATAAACAGTCACGTGTAATGCGGAATATCTATATTCCACGTATTTCTTGGCGCTTTTCTGCCTTACGCGGAAACATCCAAGCAAGTCACTTTTTGGCCAGGGAAGAAAAGAGAGCAGCCTCCTGTACCGCCCCCTTTCTCACAACTGACAGTCGAGATGGTGATGATACGCCTGGTAAAGGTATTCTTTCCACCAGGTTCCCTCGAATTCTCTGCTGGGCCATGATAGGTGCATGGGTTGTGAAGAGAACTTTAGCGTTTCTACTAATTGCAACGAAGAATCAGGGAGAAGGCTAGAGACTAAATACATACCACATGTCTACGCGTGGAGAGGAAGAAGGCGATGTTTATATTAATATCGTGTTATATCATCCTCCTACAGATGAGAGATGTGGTTAACTATCTTATAACTATACTCCAAGGGTTGCCCGGTGGCAGTGTCACTGCCGGACTATTTGTCTGAATTAAACTGTTTCGTCCGAACAGCGAGCCTAACGATAGGCCCTTCTACTCGTTCATGCTATGGCCACCCTGGCTGTCATCCAACTCTCCTGCAGTGTCGGATGTTGCAATGTGCCCACCGTCATACGCAAGACCTATCATATGGCTTGATACGCCATATACCCGGCCAACGGCCGCTATGGACCCGATGGGTGATGACAACAATAATTCGTGGAGTCAGCTATTATGCTCTCGACGCTGGGTTCAACTCCACGTTTCGTTGCCGAGCCTCATATCGATGCTCAGCCCTACCAAGTGGCGACTTCTCTCGGCCCGACCGGGTGCCCATAGGTTGGGTATCAACAAGTTCTTCGACACTGAGCCTCGTCTTCTGTCCCTTGAACGCCGATCGACTCCGTGACGGAGATTAACCTGAGATCTCGATAAACTTGCTCCTGGCGACGAGGCTGGGCCACATGACTCACTTGACCAACCACCAGGTCTGGACCTGAGAGGGCCTTTGCAACAGCATGATCAGTCGGTCCCAACACCATGGAATTGTATAGATCCACATCTACAACTCTCATCAACGATGGCTGATGACGGCCTATGATGATGATGATGTCGATGCTCCCTGCTGTCTCCATCCCTTGCAACATCCCCCAGCCTTGGACTGGTCGAAGAAAGCGCGTGACGTAAGCTGTACATTTTCATTATCTGCCACGATCCTGTCTATGGCTCATATCGTCTCATCTCCCATCATCTTGTCTGTAAACTGACTCGTGTCGAACATGTCGATGACTCCCAGGACGCGCCAAAGAGCACGAACCCATCACGCAGTCATGTGTCATATCATGTGATGATTCACAGGAGGCCTTCGTACCCTCCACTTCGTGCGATAAAGATGATATTAATTACCGTCATGCCACTAGCGCATACGCTAGCGCGGTAAATTGTGATACCCCTAGCGGATCCGTCTTGAAGCCGTAGGGCTGGTTTTATCCAATAACAATGAAGCCTCAGCCCTATGCAGCCAATAGCGCTGGCCTGGGTGGACCCCCTGATGCTCCCGGCCCACAGCTGATGTCAGGCCGCGTTTGGGCAGAAGCTTGGTCTTTTGTCTCTTGCTTTGCTTGCTCTTGCTCTCGATGGGGACAAACAAGCAGGCTGTTCAAGAGATACTGTCCCTTAGCAGTAGAGACTCTACTGACGGTGGTTTCTGGTGTGCGGACGGTAGGCGATATCCTCCGTGGTGGGGAGGAAGAGGAAGAGGAGGAATATATTACCATTAGGGTGCCACGGCAATCCCGGCTTATGCAGGCGAGCGACCTTCGTATTCCGTGCATGGCGTTGGATCTGACTGCCGCTTCGGGACTAGCGCGCGTTACGCTGGCACAGGCCACCCTAACAAGTTTTCTTTGGCATCCTTGTTGTTGGCCTTGGCATTTTCATCCAGCCGTTCATACAAAGAGGATAGCCACCGCCCCTTACTGCCGCCTTTCCTGCCAACAACGGCTGCCCCCATTCTCAACACACGCATCGCCATCGACATCGACACCATCGATATCATCATCGACCTGATGAATATATTAGTCTAGACGACTAGCTTTGGCCTCACGATAATATAACCCCCTGAATTTTTCAAAATGGATAACTCTGGTGCTATGGTCTAGGAGCGGACGGCCTTCATACACGCCTATGTCGAAGTCTCGACATCGCCTATGAATACCACTATCCGCTATTGACCATGACCACCATCACCACCGAACGCAGCCCGGTGCTCCTGAGAGCAACGAGCATGACGGGGGGCAGCCCCCGGTTGTCCCTGAAGCGTGAAATATCTCCCCCATCCGCCATCGATCCGCAACTTCTTAATCATATTTGTGACCGTTTAAACCAACTCGATTCAACTGTCCATGAACTTCGCTCCTCCGTCCTTACTAAGGAATCATATGCCGATAGACGCAATAGAGAAGATGAGTTCTTACGTCGGGAGTTCGACAGCCAGCGTGTTCGCATCGACACCGTTGGCGGCAAGACGAGATCGGATCTGAACCAGGTCAAAACTGACCTCTCTCATCTTGTAACCGAGATCGTTCAGCTCCGATCAAACTTCAATCAGCTATCATCGAAGGATGGCTATCGGGACTCCGATCTCACTCGGATTCATGACCACCTTGATCAACTTCATCTCGATGTTCAACGTATGCATTCCGAATTATGCTTGACCAGAACGGATCTTAGCCAGGAACAGTCCATTGTCAGTCAACTAAGACTTGACGTGCTGACTCTGCAACGCGAGGCACGCCAGCAATTTGGAGACATGATATCCCGTTTCGACATCCTTGATTCACGAATGAAGCATATGGACCGTATCCGATTCAACTCGCTCGCTCATACCGCCCATGCTCCCATCACTCCTGTCCCGGTCATCGACGTGGATGGCTCCATCAGATTCCCCGATTACTTTCCGCAGAGTGTTTGGAAGTTCTGGTGCTTGAAGAAAATGAATAGGGGTGAGTGCATTCTTGATGCATTTGGAATATTTTTTCCATTCAGACCTGCAAGTAAATTAACTTCCTTCTTCTCCTTTCACCTTCAGTCCATCGTCTAGTTGAACTCGCCGAGTTTTACCAGCTCGAAGGCTACCAGTATTGGAGTCGTATGGCTATTCCTCACGAATCCACCTTTGCCACCGATGGGTACTTGAGTGATGATAGTGACTCCAGCGAGTTGCCATCAGATATCACTCGAACCGAAGCAGCTCGCCTCTATCCTGAAGCTTGCCATCAAGCTCTTGCTGCAACACTGGGCCTCGTCTATTACAAGATCCGCAACGAGATGGGTGAGGGCCGTCCCTCTCACCTTATGTCTACCCACGTTGCTCCTAAACGTCATCATGAGGAAGCTGGATCAGCACACTCTTCACCTAGACGCCGAAAGATGCCCCGTCGTTCGCAAGATGGCATGTCTATCTCTGGAAGCGCCAGTGCCAGCGCCCCACACAAGATCATCACCAGCTACATGGCCGCTCAAGCGGGAGACGCCAAATCTGTCGTCTCCGAAGGTCTCGACAAGCTTGTCTGGAACGTCGACCAGACTCAGATCTCGGAAGAGACGATGTCCAAGTTCTCAGACTTCGTCAAGGACGAGCCAAACGCTCTTTTGCTTCTTCAAGCTCTCGAACATGGCCGCATCAAGCTGCAACCCAGCCACCTGGAACGAACCCGTCTCTCTCCTACCGAAACGTCCTCCAAGCGAAGCTACAGGTCTGCGAAACGTGAGGTCCAAGGCTCTGCCTTGGCTGAAGCGAAGAGCGATGACTTTCATAATGAAATGAATACTGTGCCAACTGAAATCATGTCTCCGCGCTCAGCCTCCAAGTGGGAGGCTGAACAAGAAGACGAAGAAGATGGCCCTCCTTCTTCCTCACCTCCTGAAGCAAAGGAATAGGTCCAACCACCCGTTCCAACTGCAACATCGATGGCGATGGTGCTTTTTCTGATATCTGGTCGTTGGGTGTTTTGTTGCCTGACGTCTCTTCTCGTCTATTTTTGGATGAAGAGGGGGCAGTCACGTTACTTCTCACGTGGTTATTGCCTCGACCCTTCACTCTTACCAAACTCACACTCTTATACATATTTATATCAACTACATCAACTTCTTTTTAACGACATCATGACCGTCGACAGTCAATGCATTTACCGGCGTTGTCATTTAATTATACCTGGCTTGGATCGGATCGGCTCGGTTTTGGCTTTCTACGGGGCGGTGACATTGCATTCAATAGCTTGCTTAACTTTGGACCTGGAATGGGATTGGCATAGGGAATTGCATTCACGGACGGCACACGGATGGTTCAGGAGTCCTTTTCAACCAACAGAGATACCCGAGATATCCAAAGATATTTCATTTGCTCGTCATACTCAACAGCTCAACCACAGGCCCCTCCTCCCACGTCTTGGTCCTTCGATCCCGATAAGTTATCAACATCCTATACTTCAACCCCCTTTACAATCCGCCCCAACAAGTACATATGAACATACGTTAACCTGGATCATCTTGGTCCTTCAACTCAACGATCTATACATTAGTGTCCACTTATCTAACTATAGCCTCCTATACCCTCATCACGATTACCTTTTTTTTTCGGCGTCATCTGGATTGGCGAATGGAATGTTTGTAAATAACTATCACGATCATGATAGGCATTAGTTTCATTTAGCTGTTACTTCTTTATTTCTCTTGTGCTCTCTGTTGGTCGTAGATTTGTTCTCTGTATGTCATCCTGAGTAATTTAACCCTTAACCATAGATCTCTCTGCTTCCGTACCATGTATCATAGAAGGTTAGAGGCAGACGGCTTTATCCCCGACTTCCTTTGCCCAGCCTTGTTAAAGTAGTCGACAGGAGCCTCGTTACGAGTTGACCAGACTTTAGAGTAGCAATTTGAATGGCTGTTGTAAAAAGGAATATCACTCTCCCATTAACATTACCCTATCGCTAACAAGGCTATTGGTACATTTCAAATAAAAACAAGTACTCCGTATACGCACATAAAAAAAATAAAAAAAAATAAAACCTCAATAAGCCAGCCTGTCATCTTCAAGCTAAGCAGTTGGCAATGGAATGTCATGTGACAGTACTGGGGGTTGGCTGAGATTGATCAGATATCAAAAAGTCAAGTCCAACGACGAACAACTTCACTGCACATATGAATGACTGGGGGCGGTTCCTGGATAGAAGGTCTGGAAGTGAGTCTCCTGCTCTTCAGGAACTTATAGTCTGGCATAGCCTCCTTCACCAGCCGCTCGATTCGTCTGCCAGCGCGGTCTCCAAACTCCGTGCGCCATTTCTTTGCCTCCTTCTCAAGATCTATAGTCGTTGATGTTTTGCCCTGGACAATACCACCGGAAGCAAGAAGAGTTGATAGGTATCTCTTCGTGAATGGGTCCATTTGGGTCTTCTGGTTCACTGTAGCCGGAGTCCAGGAAAAGCAAAGCTGTGAGGGGTCCATACCCATCATTTCACAGAATCTTACAACCACGTCCGGGTCAGTCATTATGTCGTCTGCATCGAGGATGATGGGCCAAGTAACGCGGCCGTCGATATAAGATTCTGCTGCCGTCAAGTTCCGTGAATACCAATCGTAGAGGGATCGGGTCCAGCGCAAGGTCATGCAATGTTCCCCAAGGGAATCTGCCTCTTCTTCATTGGCCGGTCTCTCTAGCTCATATAGAGCACGGTACAATGAAGGGAAAGCAAGGGCAGGGTGCCTGATCAAGAAAGCTGGCGACCAGGTTTTGAGAAATTCGTCCGGCAACACCGTCTGGTTGAGAAACGATCGTTTTGGATCTGGACCGTATGATTCAGGGATTTGCATCGTCCATGGAACCTCGTTTGCTCTGCTGTTTGGGCCGAATACCAGCTCACTAAGTGCTGTAGGTTCGACCAGGAAATGGACATGCTCCTTTATGAAGACGGAACGGCGTACTGATGATGCTGTTTCCAGGTATTCCTGAAAGCCTTCGAAGCACTCCTGGTAACTCCGTCTAACTTGCTCGATTTCATCTGCCGTCCAGTCTGCCACGCCCCTTGCACGCAGACCCAGATCTGTCATCAACTTTATTGTCGGCAAGAAAATATACCCGCCACGGTCATCTCCAGCAATGAAATCGGATTGGTTTTCCAAACCCAGCATCCGAACCAGCAGGTTTGACCCGGTGCGGGGGTAGGTGATGAGGTAGAAACGGCGTGGATTATGTGACTTCATGGCTAGGGTGAATCTTTCTCCTTTCAGCATTTGGAAGTCGAACACTGTGTTCGAAGAGGGTTTTATATGTCTACGCAACGATTTTCCCCTGGCTTACTAGGTACAAGAATCTAGTACGAAATACCCGTGCTAAACCTGGCCTATCTAGGCTGGATTTGAACGCACAGTGCCATGGCGCTCGCTCTGGGGCTATGGCATAGACGGCGCCTTTGGTACTCTGCACATCTTTTGCAGGATAACCACTTGTGTAACGCATTTATGGGTACGGACCACAGAGTACAGAGTACGTGGACTCCAATCCCGACCCTCAATTGAACTCCATTTTTTGAACAAAAAAAAAGCCATTACATGTTGCAGCTGAGCTATGTACAGGCTAGGTCGAATTACGGTGTAAGGTATGACATTGCAAAGAGTATTAATTCGCTAATTTGAAAACAAGAGCACAGAGTATACTTTTCTGGTGGGTGATATCTAAATCTTTCTTATTTTTTCGGATCCCCAATTTTTCAGCCACTGGGGCCTATTTCTAAACTAGTTGGTATTTGTTGGCCCAGTTTCAGCTGAATTGCAATAGCGCCAACGAGAGAGGCAGGAGTACGCTTTGTTGCAAGGTAGCTACCAAAAAAAAGGCCTTTTTACGATGAATGACGATATATAGCAACATGCCTCCCTGCTAATGGAACAATTGCGGGCTCGAAGAAAACCTCAGCACAATTATTTTTATAACGCGAAAAGTTTAGCTTTTGATCGATATGGGTGCAGTTCGATCAACTGGCAGATTCTACCTGCTTACATGTCCTCGAACAGGATCAAACCTCCTCATGAAAATCCTGGCTCTCGAGGGCCAACCGAACGTTACCTACCGCGAAGATGGAGGCTACTTTTTCTCGCCACTCCATCTCCTGAGATATGATCAAAATCGTGTTGGCGCACACGTCGAAGAGTTGACACCCGACCAGAAGGAAAATCAGATAAAGTGCGTGAAGGGTTGTTTTAATACTCTCCTCCGCCACGTTAAGGAGGCTGAATCGGACGGAAAGCTGGTGGTTGTCAAGGAGCACACGCATTATCTTACAGACCCGGTGGCAGAAACGAGGTTTCTTCATGGCCAGGAATGCATTGCCAATGAATTGCCATGGATGCTGCGCGGGTTCGACGACCTGGTGCAAACTACCGACGGCCGTTCAACGAATAACGAAACGTTTTTTTCCGATGAGTTTTTAATGACCTGGCGGCCTATCTTTTTAATCAGACATCCGGCATTAGCTTTCGCCTCATGGTATCGCGCCTCTGTCAGGGCCGATGGCGAAGAGCAAGCTAGATCAGCTCAGGGGAAACAGGCGTGCAAGAAGGTCATGACCTTGCGCTGGACGCGCAAGTTATATGACTTTTATGTCCAACATCTCGACAGCGTCGATAAAGATAATGGTTCGCCTGAGAAGGAAAAGGATACTGCCGCTTGGCCCCTGGTGCTCGACGCGGATGATATCATCACCCAGCCTGGGGTTATTGTCAAGCTCTGCGACATTGTCGGGCTGGATAGCGGCAAGTTGAAGTATAGCTGGGAAAAGGACGAGCAGCAACGACGGCCCGGTATCATGGCATTCAGGTCAACGATTGATAGTTCGACAAAGATAGATCCTACCAAGGTAGCCGGCCATGTTGATATCGATCAGGAGGCAGAGAAATGGCGAGAGGAGTTCGGAGAGGAGATCGGTCGTCTGGTGGAGGAATATGTGCGAGCAGCGATGCCAGACTATACATACCTAAAGGCCAGAAGGCTTGTAGCATAGAAGTGTATATCATGACTGTATAATATCTCCCCCAAACACTTCATCTGAATGTAGTCTTGATGTTGAATGCTTGAAACTGGAGAAACCGGGGAATGTCTTATTACATAATCATGTTTGCACCGTATGCACTTAGCTGGACCTCGGAACTTCTTTCGTTGCCCAACAAGAGAAGCCGAAGAAAGTGGATGAAAAGAGCCCGCCGGGCTGCTTTCTTCTTAGCTATATAAAGGGTGACATATAGACAGGAGACAGCAGTCTACGGTTCATCTTCTGTCACCTCTCCCTACCACAGTTAGACCACAGCGTTATCTTTCCTCTTGTGCGTCATGTCGGCTGCTGCCAGGAAACGGCTTCAAGCTATCAGCCAGCAGCTGGTGGAAGGTATCCCGGATTCCGGCGAGTTCGAGAACATCCCTAGGATCCGGGAAGTTGCTCAGGATTCCCTTGGGCCGTGGGTTATCATCTCCTTGATCTTGGAAACCTGTTTGAGGTGCTAATGAGTTTTGTTTACAGGAGAGTCAAGGGTAAAGTCGTGATTATAACCGGTTGGTTGTTTTACTGCCACTCTGGGGGTTCTACCAAAGATTGCTAACATATTCTGCTTCAAGGAACTAATTCACCTATCGGGATCGGACGAGCAACAGCTCATCAGTATGCTCGCCATGGTGCCAAGGCAATCTACATTTGTGATTTTGCAGACTCGCATCTCGATGTGCACAAACGGGAGATAGAATCTCTGTACCCGGGTGTCGATATCCATACCAGACAGTTCGATGCCGGAGACGAGACCGCGGTCAAGAAGGTTGTCGACGAGGTTATGGAGGCTTATGGCCGTTTGGACATCATGTTCGCCAATGCGGGGATCGTTGGAGCTCCGAGACTATTTACTGAAGTCACAGGAGAAGAGTTTATGCAGACTATGGATACAAATGCCAAGGGGTAAGTGTACACTCTCTGCTTTATACATAGCTGGGTTTCTGGTTACAGTTACTTATGCTAGATTGCAGACCCTTCTTAGCAACCAAGTATGCCTCCATGGCCATGAAGAAAACCTCTGCTTCGAAACCATACCCCGCTGGAAGCATCATCCTCACCGCTTCTGTTGCTGGTATGCGTTCCAACGCTGGTTCTACGGACTACTCCGCTAGCAAAGCCGCAGTCATTTCGTTGGCACAGACATGCTCGTTCCAACTGAGCGGTACCGGGATTCGTGTGAACGCTATCTGCCCTGGTGTAGTAGAGACCGGTATGACGAAGGCGATGTATGACCATGCTCGAAGCAGGGGAACAGAGAAGAAGATTGGACAGCTGAATCCGTTGATGAGAGGGGCTGTTTCTGACGAGATTGCTCGCGTGGCGCTATTCCTCGGTAGTGATGAGAGTAGCTATGTCAACGGACAAGCGTGGGCGGTCTGTGGAGGTTTGAGTGCAGGACACCCATTTATACCTGGGAAATTGGCATAGTAGAAACACTCTACCCAGCCATCTTTAAGGGATCATATATATTGACAGGATATAAATTGAGCTATATAGCATTTCTAACTAGAGGTATCCTATCGTGTATATACCCGGGCAGAAAGATGTCGATGATCAAAAATATGACGCAACATTTGCTTCCAGGTCCTTCCTGAGAACTTCCATTACCTTCATCGCATTGAGCTCTGCAAGCTTCTTTGCTTCTTCACTGTCTTCTTCATCAACCTCCCCCTCTTCACCGGAGCCCTCAGGTTCGCTGCCTTCTTTGCGCTGGGCCAGATACTGCTCTTCCAGTAGATACTTTTCACCCGATATTTCATCTGGGGAGTGCTCGAGAACATAGAAGGTGGGGAACTCAAGCACTGTTCTCTCACGAAGAACCTCTCCCAAGGCCATTGATTGGTCTGTGATCGGTATGAGAACAGGAACTTTGGCGCATGTCTGCGGCCTGTGCAGGTAAATATGTAGTTTTGAAGAACTAGTGTCGCTACATGACGGGTTATCTTCGGACGTTGGTGGAGCTGTGGACGTTAGAGGTGCGGGTGGCGGCATTAGGGGCGGCTCGCTTTCGTGTGTGGATGGTAGCGCAGGCCCCGGGCTCAGTGTTTTAGATGAAGATACATCGTCTGGTACTGTATCATCGTCCGGTTCACCACGGTCGACATCTTCAACAGCGCTAGGTTTAGCTGTCTGATCTTCCTCTGGGGTTGTCGTTTCGTCCTTGTTGATCTTCTCAATAGATACCTTCCTCTTTTTCGTCGGAGGTTCTGTAGCCTTCTCACCATACACGCGGCTACTAAAACCTAATTCCTTGATCAGGGAAAGCCGGGTAAGCGCGGTTCCAACACTGGTGGTATCCAGGCACTTGGATATGGTCTTTTCGCCGCCAGGGAATATCCACTCTACCGCCCAGCTAAGGCATTTTTGCCTAACCACCAACAGGTAAGCAAACGCATCATCCGGCGAGCCATGGTAGAACTGGTAAAGAACTTACTTTTTATGCCAATGAGACGTATTCAACTTATTCCGCGTCATCCCCTTGGGAGCTTTGACGATGCGTACGCCACTTCTTTCTAGGCCTCGCTGTAAGGGCACCTCGCCTCGTACCTGATCGCATCGCTGCTTTGCTTTGCCTCCATTAAGGCCGGCGTCAGCGAGCAAATCGATCCCTCGCGCTTCAGCATCGACCTCGGCACGCTCAAGAGACCGTTCTATACCAGTGAGGAAATTGAAGTCCTTATCAAACGCGGCCGGTGTTGCCAGCTCGCTTCTTTTGAGGTATGCAGCCGGATCCCGCAGGCCGGAACACTGGGACCACAGCTTATGCCGCCTAGAACAGGCAAGGGAACAGGTGCGACTGGCACAGCGAGGGCACTTGTACTTCCGCCGCTTTTCATGGCTATTATATCACACTGTTAGCTCCTCTGATACGTGGTCCCTCAGGTCACCGACATCTTGACCGCTACATCGTGCCGGTCGTGTTGGGAATAATGGGCTTCCAAAAGTAACGTACCAGATTGCGCATAGCTCGGTGAGGGGCAATTGCGCTGGCTGATCCTCCTTGGCCATCATGATATCAGCGTCTTGACTTGGCTCTCTCAAGCGTTTTCATCTGTGTCTTTTTCTCTTCATCTTCAAAGCTCAAGAGAAAAAAAATCGATGAGCTCATAACCAGCGGATCGGATAAACTTATCCCCTTATCGATAAGGGATTATGTCATGTTGGCGATTTTTATCCAAAATAAAAAAAATACAAAAGTTATAAACATCAAATCTTCGAATATAAATATAATCGACGATGATGGGAAAAAATAGAGTAAAGTGAGCTGTGTGGGCTTTGGGGCTCTAAGATGGCAAAGCTCATTCGATCGCGATAGTTTCAGATAGAATAACTGGGAAGCGGAGCCAGCAAGTGACCGATTTTTCATCTCAACCAAACGTCATCTTGTAACGAAAGGGGGGCCATCGAGATGGACGAGAGGACATGGCTGGAAGAGGAGTTCTGCAACGGGAGATTGGTTGTTTCTCGCCGAGTTTCTTTACCTCATTCCCACTCCACACGTGTGCTGGGCCTTATATGACGGGGGCTGTTGTTGTTCATGGAGAAAGCCAACCGTAACTATAACCCCTTTCTCTTGGGAAAAAGCCAGAAGAAAGCCAGGGCTTTGTTTTTACCCGGCTTATTCTGACTTTTACCGTCCGCCGTCCCACGATGTGGCAGATTTCTGGTGGAGTAAGGATCATCAGGGTTAATCTGAGCAATGTGAGCAGTAACAAAGTCGGGGCGGTTGATATGTTATAAATCTTGCTGTCTGGCTGGGAGACGGCCCGAAGGCTCGAACTGGTCTTAACTGTTGCTGTCGTTTATCTCGTTTCCCTTGCTTGGCCAGAGAAAGAAAGAGAGGCGTAAGTATCGTAGGGATTGCCTGTGATGGATTCTCGCCTCCTGCAGTAGTTTTACCCCTTGCCCTGGTTCCGATGTCTGCTTCTACCCCTGTTGCATTGCCTCGAGCTCTTCTCGCCCTTAACCACGAAGGGAGACAATCCCGGCAACGCTGAGCCCATGTTCCTGACTAGCCTTCTCCTCCGATTGGTGAAGCACTGGTGCAGCTGCAGTAGTGCAGGTGTCCGTGGGGCAAGCCCTCGAGTTCGCCAGCGGCCGAGCGGACTGGCTGGCTGCTTTTTCGCTCGCCTGAGAACTAAAACTCCAGAGTTTCCGTCTAAAAGTCCGTGGTGAAACCTTCGGGCCAATCCGTGTTGCTGGAAATTCGAGGGGGACTGGCATTTCCCTCGCACGCCAGGCGGACAATCCAACCAGAGCCGGCCGTCAAACTGGAAGCCAGGGACACAATTTGGTTTAGCCTGCCTGCGTAGTGCCGTCAAGGTCGAAATCCTCTTATCCACCCCTGGGTCCTCCGGTCCTGCCCCTGACCCTTGTTCGTGCGTCCTGCTCTTGAGTTCCAGCTCTTGCGTCTGTTTTTCCCTTCATGTTGCGTCGGTAACCCATCTCCCTCCCCTTTATCCTGTTCATCCTGTTCCCTTTCCTTGCCCATCATGGAGAGCCGGTGCTGAAGATGTGCTTCCTTTCGTGATCCCATGCAGGCCTGGAGCTCGCTGTTGTTCATCGTTGACGGTCTACTTCAACCTGCACATATACTTCTTTCACGCATATAAACAAGAGAAAAAAAAAGGAGACAACCCCCCCTGGGACTTGATCTCTCTCTCTCCCTCTCTTTCTCTCTCTCTTTCAGAAAGCGAGATTAGACCCCAGCTTTTCTTGCGCAGGGCTTGTGTGCATATAAGCCGTTTGATCTCCCCGTAGAAAGAAAAGAAAGAAGAAGAGCGTTGGCTGAAACGTCCGTCCCTGTATCACAAACAGTTGGCCCGACTCGGAACTGTGTGTATGACCTGTCCGATCCCCCAGATATCAATTTGTTGTCCTGCAATAATAATATGTGTGATGCTGCCCGCACTGCGCGGTTCATGGGATGTTGTGCAAGGGGAGAGCAAGTTTGCTAACAGCAGCAGCATTGACAGAGAAAATCCCGTCGTCCATCTTTCTATCCTTCTGTCACATCATATACGGACGCCTGGATAGCCAACAGCAAATAAGTAATAAAGAGAATAATATATAATAAAGCAGCATCATGGCTCCCTCACTGCGAGAGCGCGCCTCGTTTGTGCGTCCAACGACTCGAGACCGGCCAGCGACTCGAGATCAGTCGGAGTCGCTCACCATCCCAAGCCGGACCTCATCGCTGCACTCGAGGATAACACAGCCAATTCCCTCGACCCTGAACATGAAGCCGGTGCAGAGGACCCCCAAGACGCTCACTCATGCGTATATGGTCTGCGGTGTTGGCCGTGAGCCGTCACAGTGGGTGAAGGCACCGCCGCCGCCGCAGGGTAAGATAGGCCATATGAAGGGCGCCGTTGGGCAGTTCTGGCTTCCAGAGATCTTGGGAAGCAGTCCTAGGCTCGAGCAGGATAACGAAATAGCAAAGTCTCTACACGCTGCTATGCGAGTGAGTTCTCTCTTTTTTTTTATATACCTATACTGTCATTATACTGTTCTAACTGTCTGCAGGCGTGTTTCCCTCATGATGTCGAGATATGCACTGGCAAGAACCAGCCTCACTGCGTTCACCACGCATTTGTCCTCCAGCAGGACTCGTCTCACACTCTCTATGGCATTGCCCTCAGAGTCTGGTCTCGAGCTGACGAGAAGCGTGCGGAGACCATCAGGGAACTACGCAAGAAGACGGAGAACAACTTCTATGACAACCCAGATGAGATATATTGGATCCCCTACTGCCTAAGCTTCCTCTCCAGATACCCCCTATATAACCTCCTGGGAGACTATCTACGTGGAATGTGGATCCATTGGAACAAGGCCACCAATCTATTCCACGCAGAGGAAGTGTCCAGAATCCTCAGCTTCCCGGCCCCTCGCCTTAATGACTTAGTCCGTATCGACATGAAAGACTATGCCCTCTGCTACCAGTTCCCATCTTCTCCCACTGGATTCCAGAACTTTGCCATGTGGCCCCTTTTCTGCTGTCTTTCGATTCCAAACATTGTGGGCGTCATCGAAGCGGCCGTTTCCCCTACCCGCAGGATCATTTTCGTTAGTCACTATCCTGCCATTTTGACCGTTGCGGCTGAAACTGTTCGTTTCTGCGTCCGCGTGTATGAGTGGAGCGGTCTGTATAACCCGGTCGTCCACGCAAGGCATGTTAAGGAGCTGGTCCAGGAGCCCGGCCCCTATATCCTTGGAGTGACTACCGAGTGTCGAGACTTGTTCACCGCGCCTACCGATGCATTGGTCATCGATCTGGATCGCAACTTTGTACTAACTTCCAGCCCACCAAACATCCTCACCCAAGGTCAGAGGAATAAGATGATCACTCGTCTTACCCAGGCTTTGTCTGGAGAGGTGACCCCAAGCGGGCCACCCCCACACCTTCGATCCGCGTATGGCGGAGGGAAGCTGGTTCCAGCTGGTCAGATCATCGTCATGAGAGGAGAGATCGAGAGTGTCCAAGATCCAGAGTGGTGGAACCAAGACGGTGTCATGGCCGTCATGGACCATGTTTGTGAGAAACTGGTAAGTACTGTAAAACTCCCTGCCCTTCTCCCTCTTTTAGAACATGAGAACACAAAAAGATACTGACTTTCATACGTTTAGGGTCGAAACACTGGCCTGAAGGCTGTGTTTGGAGGATCGGTTAAGAAGCCATTGATGACCAAGGTGTCCACGAGACACCTCAACGAGATTGTCCGTGAACGTAACCAGTACTCCAGAGATGCTCTCGAGGCCTGGCAAGACTTTATCAATCTCAAGGGTAGAATGGACACCGAGTTGACCAAAGTCACTAAACGCAACAACTTCCTCGTGGAGGAACTTGAGACCTGGAAACAGCAGTTCCTCAAGTTCCAGAAGTTCGCCGAACAACTCACCAAGGAAACATCAGACCTCAAGGTCAAGATTGAAACTCACAAACGCGAGAGTCGTCGTCTCACCAGCCTTATCGACCAGCAAAAGGACGACATCATTCGTCTTACTCTGCGTCTATCTGGCACTGAGAAACAGCGTGATGATGCTTTGGAGGCTCTTGTACTCCAACAGGAAATCGCTGAGGAGTTGGAGCGTGAGAGGAAGCGAAATGAAAAGGAGATTTCTTCTCTACAGCATACCAACTCAAATCTCCTGCGTCAACGAGACGATGCTCAGCGTGTCGTTATTCATCTTCGCAGCCTTATCAACGGCCAGGCTCACCACATGGAGCATATTGTCCGCTCCATCAACAACTCGCCTGAGCTGGCTCAGTACATTGAAGACAGCTACGAGAACTCTGACGATATTGGCCACGGTGAAGAAGATGGTTCCAAGACCGTTGAATCTTCTGGTAAAACCACCCCTGGCCTCAAATCCAGCTCCCGTCTCGGTAGCCGATCTGCTACCCCTACTGTCTCAGAAGACGTGTCTTCTGGCATTGACAAGCGTATCTCGAACATTGAGAGGAAGAGGCGTTCTCCAAGACTAAGCATGTCAGACGTGGCTGATAGACACCTCCGTGATAAGACCGATGCCATCGCAGATATCATTCGCACCATCAGTGACCAGTGTGCCGCTGCCGTTGAGGGTCTTCAGCTCGCTCAAAACGCCGATTTCGATGACTCCGAGGTTTCCAAGAGTAATGAAAGCCGTGGAGGCATGGAGATCGAACGCTCCCAGGGAAGCGAGGCAGATGACAACGAGAGTACTCACCTCAGCCCAGATGGTCGCCACTCCACCATCCCTCCTACTCCAGACCTTGTCCCTAACCGGTCAAGCACATCGATGTCGATGGCTAGCAGCTCCACGTTCCAGGAGAGATCAAGCCAGCAGTATGGACCGAACGATATACCCACAAAAATTGTAGAACATGATGATGAGCATGCTCATGAGGCGGAGCAGGAAGAGGAGAGCGTCAGCTCGCTGGGCAAACAGTCCACCAGTCCTAACTTTATCAGACCCAGAGCGTCGAACATTATCGCATAGATGCGATGATCCGCCTGTCTCCAATTTCATTTCCTTTTCTTTTGTTTTTTATACCTTTTCCGCTCTATACCTTGTATTTTTTTTTTTTTACTCGATAACTCTTTATTCACATTTATTCCCCATATCCTTCTCTTCATTTCTTCTTTTGTTATTTGCGTGCTTAGCTCTCTTATATATCACGTTTTGTCTATATCTGAGATTGTACTCGTTTTTCGTATGTCTCTGCGCGTGGCTTTTTACTTTTTCCTACACTTCGAGTGGACCTCCTCTAGTTTCCTTTATTTGTTCAAAATATGTATACACCTGCCTGTGCAGATATCCTGTACGTCCCCATTTGCCCGAGCGAAGCAACTTAATAGCAAAGCTACTAGTAGCAAAATGGATATTAAGCGATTTAAATTCAGATCCTAGGTTATAATTTGAGAGGTTGATAAGTACTAGAAGGAGAAACGAGAAGAACGAGAAGGCCTTACGGCCTCTAGTAGATCGGTTTCACATGGCCTGTTGCCATACAAATGGAAACCATGGGATTTGGCCTATCACACTGGTGTCTTAGCAACTGCTCAGCCGTCCGGTTGACTGGATCGATTTGCAGCAATCGATTAGCGAAATGGATCTCTGCTCCAGTTCCCCTTTGCGCCGTCAAGAAAGACGTCATTGATGGTGTCTTGGTTGAGCCATCAGGGAATCAACCAATTTAAGGTCATCAGCACAACCCGAATCAAGAAAAGTAATTGGCCATGGCTCATTAAGACCTTAGGCATCATTTTGCGTCGGTATTCATCAAGATCAGGCGTTTTCAGATCAAGCAACAATTCTCGAAACCGCATTCCAACGAATTGTGCAGGACGGATTAGAACGTGCGGTACAGAGCTAACAGCACGGTATTATTATACTTACCAAAAAGGCCTGAGTTCCAGATAGCCGCAGGTGGGCCCCCTTGAGCCAAACTTCAGAAGAACCTACTGCAACGGGCCGAACGGAAAAATCATCAGGGGTTTCAAAAACTGATTGGGGCGTCAGTTACTCCATACTACCATAACTTCGGTTCCTGTAGGGGGTGTAGGTGGCCATTTCCAAAACCACCTAATATACATAGTGATGTCTATATTAAGGCCCTTTCCTTAGAGAGGAGGATATTCATTTGGCTTGATGCCTATGAAAACGAACAATGTTAGAAGACTCCTTTACCGATAGCAAGCCTGGAGAGTCACCCATACCGGTGTAAATGTAGTTTCTAGAGTAAACGATATTCAACGCACCAAGAACAGAGGTAATCGCTTCTTTCAAAGGGGGACCTTCTTGATTTTTCCACGTATCAGATAGAGAAACATCCATATGATCCAGAACGAGGAAAGGAGGCCTCTTGTGCTCTTCCACCGGTGTATCAATATGGAACCTGAAATAAGGGGAACGAAACCTCCCTAGTCTGTCCCTCTCGCGCTCAAGCGGGTAGTCATCCTCGACTTTCTTGCAGAACTTAAGGGTCCTATATAACAATGTAAGCAAACCATTTTCAACCTGGAGCCTAGATTGAAATGTTCAAACATGACTGACCGAGGGAGGCAAGGGGCTCGAGAGTATACCCCCCAAACGACTAACAATTGACTGCATCTGTTTCAATGTCATCTTAACTTCTTGCCAGCAATATGTAATACTCAGAACTGCAATATTTGCGGAGAAAACATGCGTCATATTGTGTCCCTTGGTCAGTTAATAGTAAAGATTATTCTCGAAATCTCTTCTGTCCAAGAATTGAAGCAGGTTGATTGTGATAGCATCGTTTTTATCCTAATACATGTTTATATCGGGTGTTGTCGTTGTGTATAAGACATACAAGATCCTGTATCGAATTTAGTGCGGTTTTTGATTAGTCATTGTAATTTAGGTATTAGATCGTATGACTGTATTTTTCATCTCTTCATAATTTTTTTATATGTTGTTTCTCGACAACAGAACGAATGCACCCATTATACCCACAACGACAGAATCACAGCTCATCTACTGGCCCTAAGTAGTGGTGAGCTCGATAATGCGGAACATGCTAAAGACGGCATCACACCAGGCTCGACGTCGCGGAGCACGCTACTGCTGATGTCAATCAATCTCAGATATGAACTCCACATTGCCAACCTCACAACTGGAAGCAGTCACAGGAGCCCGGTACTGCTTAAATCAAACAATACCGATATTAGTATCCTAAGTGGGCGTGACTCCAGCAGCCAACGAATATGACGATATGGTATAACTTCTGTTTGACATCGCGCTATGCTGGGATTGATGCTCTGTGGTGATATGGCACTGCACATTAAGAAGTATCGGAGGGAGTGGCCCAGAACATGATTCGGCTATTGCTGCCTAGGAGTGCCGATGGTCTATCCCCTGAGAAGATCTCACGGTGTTGCTCGTTAAGTAACTTGTCAGTACGACCATGACAGCTAATGTAGTAGTAGTTCAACTACTATTGGATAATGGTGTGTACGACATTCCTTAGTATGATTATCTGTCACTGACGATATTCTTTTCTAGCTCTTGAAGATAAGTTAAGAGCTACCAAATGCTGATCGACATCGTCAAAATTCATTTGAGTGCATGAAATGGGTTCAAATAAGAAACCGGCAACGTCATTACTGTCGAAGTAGCCGCTTCTTTATTAGATTTACTCCATGATATACGCCGGCCAGATGTTTAAAGAGGGCGAAGTGGGACCGCCTGGCTGAGTATCTCTTGTTCCCTTCAGGAGTACTATATTTATGTGATTAATTGCGACACGGGGACACAGCTCCATGTAGCAGCGGCAGCCATGATTTGAGAGTATGCCTTTCCGCACAGTCAGTAGGGATACTAATTGCTGGGTTCAGCTTTCAACAAAGTTGTGGTATCTGGAGTCTGACGCTGTCTCTATAAGAGTTTGACAACCTGCATGGATTCCGAGAAAGCACAGGCTATATTGTCCATACGGTAGCTGGATTGACGTCGCCTGCACTAGCGCTTTGACGAGTGACATAACAGTAGATGGAGAAATCTAGAAAGTGATGTTTTGCCTCTTAGGAAGCATAAACCTATTGGCTTACATATATCCTAAATATGCGAGCCATACCTCTGGCGTTGTTTTCCGAAATCAATAGTCAAAGATCTGTCGACTTGAAAAGGGTGGAAAGTAAGGATAATATCCTTAGTTCCCAAGAGCGATGAGGTAATAGAAATGATATGGACTAAACATGACGGCGATTTTTATGCTACACCAATGGAGACGCCACAAAGCAGATCAACCCAATAGACGCTCTGGGCAGCGCCAACAAAAACGGTAAATGGTCATTGGACAACATGTGGACAGGATGAGCACTTATAGCATGAAATCAGCAAGGTTGGCCGTTGGGTAAACAGGTACCAAACAGTATCGACTGTCGATGAAAACAGGGGGAGGCGAAAAGTGAAAAGACTCCCAACCAGGAACATCCTCGCAGTGTCAAAACAGGGACTCCCTGGGTTTCGGAGAAAAACCCTACTCTGCCAGAATCTGTGCTCTCCCTCCACCTGTCATGACCCATAGCGTTATCAGATTGGGAATACAACTGTCATTGCATTGTCTGTGTGTCATTGATGGCAATATACAGATGGTTACCTCCAATTGTCGACGATCCAGGTCAACTTGTGGCTTGAGGTAGAATTCTCTGGAAAGGGTGTTGTACCCCGTCGTTGTATTATATGAGACGGCCGCCACCGCCGCCCAAGTTGCACATTGCATGCGTCTAACCCCAGGTAACAACCAGGCCAGTCAAGCCATACGATATTAACTAGCGCCTCAATTTAGACTCACCGGAGGTCTGAAGAGCGCCAGCAGAGTGGACCCTAATGGCCACTAGTGAGGATATAATACGAGAATAGTCGAGAGGTTTGCGTGAAAAAGATACCATTAGGCCAACGTTCTTGCATATCCTTAAACGCTGCTGGTTGGAGTAAACGAACTTACTTCTATAGAAAAGCAAACGATTGACCGAGATCTTCCCGTTTTCCGGAAAGAGACCAGCCCCTCTGGCCTAGAATGTGTACGATGGACACTCCCCTCTCTTGGCTGAAAGCCGCGAATTGAAGGAGTAGACTTGTTGCACTGAAGTATCAAATGAAAGCTAAGCTAGGACGCTAGTTAGATGGCAGTTTATAAAACCAACCGTAACCCCCAAGGGTTCGTTTGCCAGAGGATGTCCTGTGAGGGTTGCTCCCTGCTTGATACAAAAACCTCGCGGCAGACACCTCCCCTAGGCCAATATCTCCTATGGATATAACGGTCTTTGGCAATCGCATCTTATCCACCTCGAACCTACCGGCCGTTCCTCAATTGGGAGAGTACACAATCATTATACCAGCACAATGAATTGGCTATTTGAACTGCTAGCCATGGCCGAAAAGGAGCATACCGCAATCCTGGCCTCCCGCTCGATGTCAGTTTCGCAGACCGAAGCTCTCGAGCGTCTGAATTTCCCTCTACTTCGCATTCATTATAAATATTTTCCTCCTACGATCACCATCGCCTTCATGTCACTCATTGCGACTGTCTGCTCCTTTGCAATTATCACGTATCGGCTCGTATTCTGGCGCAAATTTTCTTCGACTTACTTGGGCTACAATCAGTACGTCATCCTGATATACAATTTGATCATAGCGGACATGCAAACAGCCGGGGGGGCTATCATGACACTCCATTGGTACCGAGTCGGCCATATCCAGGGTAGCTCGAATACTTGTATCGTTCAGGCATGGCTGTTCCAAGAAGGGGTTCCAACAAGTGGCTTATTTGTTCTGGCGATCGCTATACACACCTTCATCACCGTTGTACTAGGCCGCAAACTACAGTACCGGACATTCGTGTGCTGCGTGATTGGTATTTGGGCACTTGCTGTTTTCCTTACTGTGCTACCGATGATAGTGGGAGGAAAACATGTCTATGTGAACTCTGGCGCCTGGGTAAGTTTGTCTTCTGATATCTCTTTTATCTAATTACATGTGCTAATTAAGTAGTGTTGGATTTCTGCAACCCACGAGGACTTGAGACTAGGGACTCATTACATTTGGGTTTTCATTTCTCAATTTGGAAGTGTTATTATCTACATCATCCTCTTTTTCTTCCTACGCCGCAAGGTAGCTGTATCTGCGACCCTTACTCAGAGATCCCAGGACAAGCTCTCCCGTCTTAGGCGCGTTGTCCGGCTTATGCTTCTTTACCCCACTGCCTATGTCTTTCTGTCGCTACCCATCGCCGCCTCGCGAATGGCTACTGCAGCCGGTACAACGCCTTCGTTTACCTACTACATTGTCTCAGCAATGATAATGTCAGCATCTGGACTTGTTCATACGGTCATTTATGCTGTTACTCGTAGATCATTGATCTTGAACTCCGAGACTACTCAACACAAAGGCGGAGACGGCACTTCTTCAGCACACCAAGAGGGAAATTCACAAAGAGATCTTGAAAATACAGCCTGCACTACGCTTGTTAGCAGTGATGGTGCCTTCTCCCCGCCTATGTACAAGAAAATGTACAGTCGAATAAACGGTACCTCGAGTCCGGGCCCGAAGGAGGAGCAATACGAGATGAACGGTGTCTATCAACAGACTACAATATCTGTCACGACCACCACCTTACCACCGCCTACCAGAGGAGATACATCGTCCGTAGCGACTAGGGACAGCTCAAGGACCTGACCCTATACAGACTCTGGATGCTTGCTTTTTTATAAACTTTTCTTGTACATATATCCATTTATACTTCATACACATCCAGTAGTTACCTACATACGTACGACCTTTAATAATTGATTATCCTCCCCAAAGAAGCGTTGCTGTCGTTACATATATAAAACCTTTCTCTGGAAGTGTCTTTGGCCACATTATCATGAATATCAGGCCGACAGCTTTGATTTCACATCAAGGGAGGACATTTCGGGATGTATACAAAAAGCAAAGATGAGCAATAAATCGCCACAAAGACGTCCGAGAAAATTCGGACTGTGATCGCCAGCGCGGCTTATAAACCTGTGGCTCTCTCTGCTCCTCCACTAGTTAGAAGTTAAAGGGATTATCCAACCGAGAAGAGATCTGTTCCTCCCGGGGGAAAGGCGAGCTATCAGATACACACACACAACTATGTACTTATACGTACTCCGTGCATCAGTGAGCATAAGGCTAGGTGCCGCTAGCTGCAGCGGCAGCCTTGTTATCGTAAGGGATAGGGAAGAAAAGGAGAGCTCTGGTTCTGCTTAAAAGGGGTGTGATTTAGGCTGAGGTACGCAGTACATCCAGCCTAATCTCGAGATGTTATCCATTCTGTTCGGCCTGAAGTCATAGAGTAACGAATCAAACATTCAAAAATCGCTGCAAATTCAAACCCGATCAATGCTCCGCGGACGCATGGACGTACATAGATACATAAATACTCCGTGGCGTGGATAGATATGCTGGCAATAATATCAAAAATCTGAGCATGTAACTAACTCCCATATACCCACATACAATACTTTAAACAGGTCATTCATAAATCAGGCGGCCATGGGGTACGAAGCTTCTATAGCAGGAATTAGATGTAGAATAGCATGAAAATCAACAAACATTTTAATTGTAGTATGATATCAAAAGCGAAAGAGGGGGTATATAAATTGTAGGAAAAATGTAAATATTTTCTTTATCTTTATTTGAACCAAAAGGAAGTTCTTGACGGATTCATTGGTTAGGCGAGGTTGGGTTGTTTGCTCCGCTGGTTAAATACTCGGGTGGCACTTTTGGCACTCTGGGGGAAGTGGCTGACTGAGCCATGGCTCGTTGTTGGGCTCTTAATAGCTCACGCTGCCGATCTCTGTCTCGTCCCGCATTGTTGCCACCGGTCAGTCGGCGTACACCACTTCGAATCATGGTATCCAAGGAAAATGAGCCGGCCTCAGGATTATTATTGCCCATGACGGCAACACGAGAGGTAGACGATGCCGGGAAGTGAAGGGTTAGACGATCATCAGAGTCCGATAAGGCATCCTCGACATCATCGTCGGAGAGGAAAGATCGTCCTAGATAACTTGGCTCGGGAGTGCTAGGGTTGCCGTTGTTATTGCTTGATTGTGGGTAATAATTGCTTGGAGAAGTAATTGAACGCGTGTGTAGGGACCCGCGCCGTGGTTGTGTAGAGGAAGAAGTGCTCAGGGGTGAAGGGTGAATAGAAGGAGCACCGACACTGTTTGAATCAGTACGGGTAAGGGGGAGTCGAGAATCGGCGAACCCATTGTGGAATGATGAGGAGGACGCTGTTCTAGCAAGGGATTTGCGCAATAGTGGAGCAGTGTGCTGGTCGTATAGGTGTGTACTGGCATCAGGGAAGTCGGTCGCTGTAAAGTTGTGTAGGGATGCTCCAGTTATTGAAGGTACTGGGGGGTTGACCTCCGTTTCTTCGAAGAAGTCGTCCAAACTGTCGAGTTTTTGTAGCAAATCGCCCATGTTTGTTTCGTTTCCAGTATCAACCGATTTCATCGTGTCCGCACGGAATGCCGGGAAGTAGGAGTCACCATAGTCATCAACATGGAACTCCAGATCTGGTGAAGTTGTCGACTGGCCCTCAAGGCCATCTTCCTCTGCGCAGGTGTAGAACACGGCATGAACGTTGTTTCTAGTGAGGTTTGACTGTATGGCTGGAACGGGAATTGACCATCCTGTTGGCTCAGGGATACCGTACAAGCTCTGTATACCTTCAAATTCTTTCCGGATAGCTCTTGACGAGGCCGAAGAAGCCATACTCATACGCAGATGGTGACGCTCCATTGGATTCCCAGCGACCGTCATAATGTGATCAAGAACTCCGAGGGCTTGAGGACAAAGTTCTGTGTGAAGGAGACGAAGCAGAGGAGAAATGAGGTCTGGGCCGTGGCAAGAGATATCTGGTCGACGCATGTCGATTTCAGATATTATTGCACTGAGAATCCGCATGAGGCTGATACGGAACCATGATGTATTGTTAGTTAGCAGCCCCATTAAGAACACCAAGCTTTGGACATCCTGACTTGGAAAATAATACATCGAAATTGAGTTGATAATGTCAGCCAAGAGCTCGTCGCCTGTTCGATATTGTGCTCGGGAGAATGCCAATAAACAGCTTGACAATTGAGTGCAGCCTTGTTTCTCGGCGATGCTAGCGAGGAGATTTGCATTCTTTTCCGCATTTATCGATCTCCTAGAAGGATCATACTCATTTAACAGTTCGGGTAGATTTGCCCAGACCGTAAACAGCAAGCGGTTTCCATCACCAAGTAAATTATTATTAGGCAGGGCTGCCAGCCTTTTCAGCATTGTGAGAGTCTCATGTAAGGATTCCGATGACTTTAGACCTTTATAGACCAGGTCTTGGATCCCGCAGAATTCGCCCTCCCACTTTGGAGGTTTGCTTTCTAATAGCTTAGTAGCTATGCTCTCATCAGATAGGTCGATTTTATCCAAATACTTTTCAAGCATAGCAAGACTTTCCATGAACTCCCGTTCATGTATTGTATTTAAGCAAGCACAAGTGGTCCAAAATAGCTGAGGGTATCGTAAAAGGTCTTGCGGAGCGAGAGAGCTGATGATAACTTTTAACGTCGTCAATATTTCCATGGAAAATGTTTGATAGTCCGTTTCTTCTTCAGCAATAGTGTTCGAAAGCCGCGCTAGCATGTCGGCAAGCATTCGCGAGTCAAGCGATGTAGATATGCACCTGAATACTTGAAACGATCGGCAGGCAAGATGCCTAACGGGGCAGGAGGTAGCCCAGTTCAGCGCTTCTCTTGACCAATGATCATTGACACCTTCGTAAACAGCATTAAATATTCCAGCTACACTATGGGCAACATGGTGCATAGAGGATGGTACTCTTGTACCAGCAGCTTTCTCATCTTTCCCATTGCTGTCTTCATACTCCCATATCACAGTAGGGTCACTTTGACGGATGCATTCCACGAAATCTTCAATAGACTGGCGCCGGGCTCCTTCAACGTCGTTTTCTAACTTTGAAGCAACAAGCTCATGAATTAGATGAACAAGCATTTCTCGTGCCTGTTCTCGAACGGTCAAGGTATAATGGTCCCAAAATATAAGTGTAACATGGATGAGCTTAATGACACTTTCAAAGCCAATGCTAACTGGGGCAACCATCAAATCGACGAGGAATATCATTGAAACTTGTCCTAGAGACAAACCCACCTGCTTGTTTCCGACAGGCAAAATGGTGCCGAGGTCCGCAACGTATGGCAAGTTTGATAGATCAGAAGGAGCTGGAAGAGGTTCACGCCGCTCGTGTACCATGTTTTTAGGTATGACTTGGAGCAAGAAAAACTCAATAACCTTGGAGCCTGCTGGAGTTGATGCTAAGAAAACGACTATTTGTTTCGCATAGTCAACGAAGTTTTGCTCTCTTCTCTCTAGACAAAGATTGATAATGAAATCAAGAACGAGCTGCACATTGCCAGCATGGGGACCTGTGGCGAGAGCTTGCCAAAGAGCCTGAACCTCGTTTGGTAGCACAGTACCGGAACGGATGGTAATTTCAAATAGATTAGAGAGTAACATATAGGATTTTGAAGTTGGGCCACCATTTGGGTCTAGTTGAAGCTCGATTGCTTGGATCCAGGGAAGAATAGCTGCAACCATGTTACGTTGAGTGTCTGGCTGAATGTTTTTGAAGTGGAGTGAAAACTCAGAGAAGATGATAAATGCCAGATCAGCATGTTGCTGTGCAAGTCGCTTCGAAGTCTCGAATTGAGCAAGCTTGTACACGGCTGTTGTCCTGTCAGAAATGCTGATATCGAAGTCTTGTAGCCTTGAATTTTTCTGTTCACGTTCTTCAATCGTTCTCAGTAAACGAGCAGATTTCATGCGGATCTCTCTCTTTGAATTTCCGAGAGTGAATAAGACGGCGCCGAGGATGCGCCAGAATGCGACGGGATAGTCGCTTTCTTCAACAACGACTTGCGAGAAAACTTCGAAATAGCTTTCTAGAGCCTTTGGCCGCTCCGATAAGTAACACATTTCGATACACTGTTCAAGTAAATACGGGAGACCTTTGTTATGGACAATCAAATTTTTCAGTGCCCGTCGCCCGATAGTGTGCAACTTATCACTCTCGGTATTAAGAATAATATCGATCCACGAGAGCATACGTCTGACATCAAACTGGAGGGTGGCTCCGCTTTCTGTCGATATGCGTATCGGGCCTCCGCAAAGTGATGCCATAGCGCTGAGTGCAGCGGTACGCAAATTTCTCTTCTCAATTTCCATTGCAGCAGTGCTCCGGGCTTCTCCATTCTCTCTTTGCCTTGCAATGGTGAGCTTTCGCATGTTCTCCTCTCGGACAGCAATTTGGTTTTGGTTAGGAGAATAACCGCACCAATCTTCCATGAGAGAGAAGGCCGATTTCCTAGACTCGAATGGCATCCATCTAGACGGCTCCTTTGATCTTTTAATGCCATCAAACAGTTGCTCGAGTAGTCCACAGAAATGAAATCGAAGATTTTGGAATTCTAGATCATTCTGTACCTCCACGTCGCTTAAGAATATTCTCAGGTCTCGGGTGTACGTTACCATATTATTCAGTATCCAATCATCGTTAGACACTTCAGCCTCCTTGAGGAAATGAGAAGTCGCTTTATACACGTTGGTTACTTCTGTTCTGAGAAGGTCGGTACGTCTATTTCGTCTTGGTGTGCTTGGGGTACGCAGGTGAGTTCCGATACGGACCCTGGCTTCTTCCTTGCAAGTAGTCACGGCATACTGTAATGACTCTAGGAGTGTTCGGTATAAGGCGATATTGATAGAGCCTAAGGCAACGACAATGGCATTTCTGATAGAGTCGTGCGGGGCAGAAAGTAATGGAATAACGAATGCAAAGAGAGAACGTGCCGAATTAATCTTATCCTGGCTCTGCTGTCCAGACTTGGAGGCTTTCCGTGCGTGTTGCGCATTTGCCAATTGGCTCTGGGACTGTGCGCCTGCACTATTCAAGGTGGTGCAAGCCATAATGAGGTATAGTTTCCATTGTTCGATCATGACCTCGGGTGGCGTACCACTCCGAATAATAGTCGGCCGGGTGGGAATATGATCTGGAGAATTTAGTTGCATCGGGGGAGGGCCTTCAGCTATATGGGTAATTTGTCTATGCATATGAACTAGTCTGGCACAAACAATCTCACGACCAAGGGTGACTGCAAATGGACATGTGTCGAAACTTATACGGATGAGGTTTGGGAACACTTTTGCCCATAGAGTTGAATCATACGACACCTCGCTGCTACAGAGTTCAATAAGGGTGTTGTGGGCGGTGTTCTCTTGCCTACCCTTTTGAAGCCTGCTTCGCTCAGCAACAGTTAATGACTCATCCTTTAGGTCAAGAACTCGTTGTGAATCTCCCTCCATTATACGGATAATCCGGGTATTATTCTTTCCGAGAGCTGTGTCGAATTCCGTCACGAGGCGCAGAACCGTTATGGCAAACGCTCGAACTATCCTAGATTGAGAACATAGGAAGAATAATCCATGAGACTCAATCTCCTCCACATGAGCCAGGACACCAGACAAGTCAAGTTGTAGACCTCGGGCGCCTGTGGCAGCTTTATCAGACAGGTCTATGGTGGCATCTTTGGTTTTCTGTCTAATTTCCTCAATCCATATCTGGATAAGTTGGACATATAATTTTAAAGTTGATTCGATATGACCTGGTCCTAGCATGCCCTCATCTGACATGGTTGAATACCTGGCATCAAAATTGAATATAAAACGAGCAAATCCAATGGCTACATGCTGGGCATATGATTGACGAGCTATGGATTTGAGTGATTCTGCGGATGACGCTGCTATATTCGACTGTACATGTGCGGTGCCCGTGCATAAAAGGTTTATGAGAGAATTAAATGGTATATGGTCCGAGAGACACCGGGGAAGTGCCTGCACGGCAACATGGAGAAGATCGTAAAACCCTTGTTTTTGATCAGAAGTGTTTGCATGGTCATCGCGCCGGCCAAAGCTAAAGTGTTCCGTAATAGGAGTTTTGGGAGTAATACCACCGAACTTTTCATCAAGGGCGGCTTGTCCTCCAAAGGTGTTGTCACATAATATAGTGATCTTCCCTAGTATTTCGCAGAATCGTAGGTAATACTTTCGAGTGTTTTCGTTTAACTTGGACGGATTGAATGGAATTGGAGAAGGTTGGGGTTTAGGGGGTGAGGTGGTGGAATATTGTGGTTCGGGGATAGACGCTTGAGGAGCGAATGGAGAGATGGGGGATTGCTCTGTGATGGAAAATTCTTGCGGGAAGGGAGGTGGTGTCCCGCTGCCGTTCTCTATATCTGCTACGATCGCTAAGAAAGAGCGGATGCCAATGACCATCTTTTCCGGTTCCATATGCTCAATCTTTAAGTCTTTGCCGGATGCAAACAGGTCAGAATTGACTAGTGGGAAAATGATGCAGCGGAAGCACATCTCTGGGTGCTTGAAACCGATCATTCTAACTAACTGGGTGATGGGTTCTGCGACGGTAGGCTCGGTGGTGAGGTAGGTTCGTCTGCCGCCAGGGAGAACGATTCTAATAACCTCTTCCGTTTTACGGAGCGGATTGCTCAATGGATCGGCATAACGATATAGATATGTCCAGAGTAATCGGCATATGGCCTGAAGGGCAGCAGCCCTGGTAGGACGCTCTTTAAGTTTCGGCGAAAGGGCATTCACAGTGGGCATCCATTGTGACAAGAATGTATCTCGAGGAGAGACACACAGTAGGAGGATATGAAGGGGAAAAGCACTGTTCCAATGTCTAGGTTTCACAAGTACCTGGGATAGACGAGGTACAAGAATCTCTAGAAATTCCTTCCATTTAGGCGAGGACAAGTCACAAGTGGGATTGGCAGCAATGGGAAGGAGAAATGTCTCAAGTATCTGGCAGTATGCTTGTTTCAAGCGTTGTCCGTGTGCGTCGCTGAATAGCCTGGCAAGGGCTTGTAAGAAATCACAGGTTTTTGCCCATCGCTCTTCCGGGTATACTCGAAGACGAAGATGTCGCATTCCATAGACTAACAACTCAGCTTTCGTTTCTGCCTCTTTAGTAGCAAGCATTCTACCTTCTTCTCGCTGATATTGAGTCAGTTCGGAAAGGTACTGGTTGGAAACACTGGTGAAGTTGCTCTCGCTCATAATGCCAAGAAGCTGTCCGTAGATGCGCCAGTTAGCCATTCTCAGGGGCGAAGCAGCAATTTGCTCTGGATCGACGGCCTTGAGCTGCCCGAACACGATATCTTCCAGCCGACTAGCCATTTCTTGTGTGATTGCGTTGATGGTGCTTTGGTTAAAGATCTCGATAAGCACACGACATACGAGATAGACAGAGACTGTTGCCCGTCGTTCTGTCATGAGGACGTCTTCCTGTCTGTTTATGATTGGTATCGAAGGAGGCGGTGACCCAGCGTCGTGCGGTTCTGACCCTGGCTGTGGTGGCTCTGTGTTGCGCCGAATTATGGTAGAAGATATTGATGGAGGGGGTTTGGGCTAAGACACATGTTAACAATGGCCATGGTACATTTTGTTTCGCGGTACAGATGTAATTACCTGGGTCCAGCCTTGCTTTGCGGTAGCAGCTGCATCGCCTTTTGACTTTCTCCATACCATTATGGTATCTATGAGGGGTTTTGGCTTCTGTTTCGCGATGTGACCAAGGGCAGCTATGAGTTGGTCGAATGTTGGGTCCGCACCAGGACCGCATACTTGCTCTACGGGTGCCTCGAATTCCCCAAGGCTCATGATACATTTGTTAATCTTTTCCTCTGCTTGCCCCACAAACTATAGAAATTGTCAGTACTGTGATGTACAAATATGATACGACAGACATACCGAATTAAAGAGATGATGGAGAGCATACTCTCCCACCGTCTTTGCCTCTTGGTTGGTATGCCCCGAACGAGTCTTTGTATGTGAGTTTTCCCTCCGTAGCTTGCCCGTGGTGATAGCTCTACGATGGGAATGCTGGCGGTCCAACCCATCTGGTCTCACTGTATCCTGTATCAACGACAGAGGAGACGCCTGGAGAATGTTTCCCACGCCGCCGGCGGACGATATAAAAGTAGACGGCGGGTACTCTCCATTCTCTCTCACACCGCCATTAAGCTTGGGTTCGTTCAGGGACGGGGCGAACCCAGCGGCCGAAATCATCTCGGGACTGAGAGGGCTGGAGATGACTGGTGAATTTGCAAAACTGGGCCCTCTTGAGTGCTGGATGCTGCCGTGCACGATGGATGCCTGACGGTGGTGGCCGTACGAGTTCGACGGCCGTCTCTCTAAACCCTCCTCCGAGCCAACGCCGGTCCGCTCTCGCTCGCTCGACGGTTCCGGACTCTTCGAGTGCGATTGGTTGCGTATCTGGGGGTGTGGTTGTAGGGAAGAAAGGCCAAATCCAGCCGCTGTCGCATCTCCCGGCCGCCCTCGAGTGCTAGAAACATCTCGACTGTGTGGCGTCGACGAAGGTTGGTTTCTCGCAGCGGCTCTGTCTGAAGGAGAATGGATGACGGTCGTGTGCTGATGCTGGTGCTGTGCCGGTGCTGGCGACTCATCAGGGGTAATGATATTATGAGCCAGGGACTGGCCTTGACCCGGCGGGGCCTGTCGCATCGGGTGTGGACTAGCTGCAACAGTTTGTGAGCGAGGTGCTTGCCAGGCGCGTTTCACCTCCAAGAGGCCCGAGGACGACGGAAACAACACAGCAAAGAAGAACGGAGAAGTACGTATATATCAAGCCAACGGCAACAATTGGGATATAAATGCCTCACGGAGAGAGAAGAAGGATTTCTTACGAGTCTGTTGCATGGTTCTTCAAGGGGCCAAGCTGCGAGGGATGGGATATCAACTATGGCGATGGCCCGTCTTTGCTCCCCGCATTCTGCTGTCCGATATCCATTCCCCAGGCCAAGGACAGACCTCAGGACTACGCTGAAAAGGTTCGAGCAACGCGAATAAGAACTGGCGCGTCTTTGGTCATGGTTGGTTGTTCGTTGCTGTTGTTGGTGGTCTTTTAGTTGGTGAAGTTGAGAAAAAAAGCCCGCGGCTAGAATGACGTTGACTAATCAGAACCACCAAACCGCCAACTTGGCTATACAACGATGTGTATTTACATAGTACGATGGTTGTACGAGAACAGCGACGGAGAAAGACAGAAAAAGACGCGACTGGGCTGTGATTACGGTGTGATTGATGTGTGAGGACGGTAAGCAGGGGGTGCTATGTGACTCTTAGCATGGCGCGGGTGGCTTACGGGCGCGGGCTTACATATCTGCAGGTCAATATTCAGCCATCGTCTACGCCGTTGTTACGGAGGACTTGGCTATTGGTATACGAGGAGGCCAGAGATGAGAAGCGAGAGAGCAGTAGTCGACCATTCGATGATACAGGGTGCATCACTGCTGCTGGTTTGACTACTGGCTCGCTGGTTGGCTGTCACTGCTGCTACGGACACCGCAGATAATCAGACATAGCCAATATACTGCAACAGCCTAATAGCTACAGCCTAATAGCTACAGCCTAATAGCTACAGCCTAATAGCTACAGCAAACAAGTAAGGCTCGGATCCCAGGCCGAAGGGTATAGAAGAACTGGCGTTGGGATCGAGGATCGATGCTCCGACAAGGCTAGGAGATATTTGCTGTGAGCGGAAGAACCCCTGAGCATTCATAAATATATCCTCCACCTCTCCCTGTCCGCTCCTCATCCTAGCTCTCTTCATTCTTCCTTGTCTTTATTCCTTCCACAGCTTACATAACTGGTGGACCAGAAAAAAAAAAAAGAGTCTCAATAAGTTTTCGTGGCGCGGGACAGCCCAAAGAAAGGGCAGGAGTGCGAAGGGCGGAATCACAGGCAAAGTGGCTGTCCGAGGGAATGGAAGATACACAAAGAGACGGCACTACAGCAACAGGATATAAAAACACGGAAAGTATAGCAAAACAAACGACTTATCCAGCCTCAAAATCCCACAAGAAAAAATAATCCCAGTCGGCTAAAAAGAACTAAGCGGCCGCCGGAAGGCAAGCAAAACTTTCATCCGGAGAATCAGATAAATCGAGCATCACCCCATATTATTTTCAGTGAGCCGGCGCAAAAGATCGAAAGAAAAGGGTGCCCCTCTTGCCTGCGTTGGACTGGCTCTTCTGTTTTAACGGACACGTATATCAGATCGACTTCGTGAAAAGGGGAAATAAGGAGATTAGCTTCTGTGTGCGTATTTGACCGCCCTGCCTTTAGTAACTAGCCTGCCTGCCTGCAGACATTGCTCACATTTTCTTACCTATTACAGCTCGTTGAGATAATAGCCGTTTTGACGACCAGGCCAAGATGGCGCAGGTTGACACTCTAGACATGCTCGTTCTGGCGGTCATACTCGTCGGGACGATAGCATATTTCACCAAGGGTAAATTCTGGGGGGTTACAAAGGACCCCTACGCCTCTACCTACGCCGCAGCGAACAGCGCAAAGCAAGGTCAGACCCGCAACATCGTCGAAAAACTCGAGGAAACCGGCAAGAACTGTGTCATCTTCTATGGCTCGCAGACTGGTACCGCAGAGGACTATGCGTCCAGGCTGGCAAAGGAAGGGTCTCAGCGATTCGGCCTCAAGACCATGGTCGCCGATCTGGAAGACTACGATTATGCCTCCCTGGATAAATTCCCCGAAGATAAAGTTGCTTTTTTCGTCCTGGCCACGTACGGTGAGGGAGAACCGACGGATAACGCCGTTGAGTTCTTCCAGTTCATCTCCGGAGACGATGTCAGCTTCGAAGATGGCGGTTCACCGGAAGACCAGCCGCTCTCCAACATGCGATATGTCGCATTTGGCCTCGGAAACAACACCTATGAGCACTATAATGCCATGGTTAGGATCGTAGACAAGGCCTTGACCAAGTGTGGTGCTAAGAGGATCGGTGATGCCGGAGAAGGTGACGACGGTGCCGGAACCATGGAAGAAGACTATCTAGCCTGGAAGGAACCCATGTGGAAGGCCTTGGCCGAGGAGATGGGCCTCGAGGAGAGAGAAGCTGTCTATGAGCCTACCTTCAGTATTATCGAGGAATCGGAATTGACACAAGAGTCTGACAACGTCTACTTGGGAGAGCCAAACTCATCCCACCTCAACGGACGTGGCCAGGGACCCTACAACGCCCATAACCCATTTCTCTCCCCCATCGTCGAGTCTCGCGAACTATTCTCCGTCAAGGACCGCAACTGTCTGCACATGGAATTTAACATTGAGGGAAGCCAGCTTAACTACCAGACGGGTGACCACATCGCCATCTGGCCCACCAACGCCGGCCAGGAAGTCGACCGTTTCCTCAAGGTCTTTGGCCTGGAAGAGAAACGTCACACTGTCATTCGCGTCAAACCTATCGATGTCACTGCTAAGGTCCCATTCCCCCAGCCAACTACCTACGACGCTGTGGTGAGGTACTACATCGAGATCTGCGGCCCCGTGTCGCGACAGTTCATCTCTCAGCTCGCCCCATTCGCTCCTGATGAAGAAACAAAGAAGAAGATGATCCGCATTGGTGAAGATAAAGACGTCTTCTCTGATAAAGTGTCTACCTTCTACTTCAACATTGCCCAGGCCCTGCAATCCTTCACCGACAAGCCCTTTACCGCTGTCCCGTTCTCGTTGCTCATCGAAGGTATCCCCAAAATCCAACCTAGATACTATTCCATCTCCTCCTCGTCTATTGTCCAGAAGGAAAAGATCAGCATCACTGCAGTCGTCGAGTCGTTACGTGTTCCCGGGGCCGGTCATGTCGTCAAGGGTGTTACGACCAACTACCTCCTTGCCCTGAAACAGAAACAACATGGTGAACCAAATCCAGACCCATTTGGCTTGACTTATGCCATTACTGGACCGCGCAACAAGTATGACGGCTTCCATGTCCCTGTACATGTGCGTCACTCCAACTTCAAGCTCCCATCCGATCCATCCAAGCCTATCATCATGGTTGGTCCCGGTACCGGTGTCGCTCCTTTCCGCGGCTTCGTCCAGGAACGAGTCCATCAGGCTGAAAACGGCGAAACTGTCGGTCCTACCATCCTTTTCTACGGTTGCCGCAAGAGCACAGAAGACTTTCTCTATAAAGAAGAATTTGAGGTTCGTACATGCGTATATACTCCTGTCTACACTGATATTTACTAACACTGCGTAGGAGGTATCCAAGAAACTTGGCGACTCTTTCAAGCTCATCACTGCTTTCTCCCGTGAGACTTCTCAAAAGGTATATGTCCAGCACCGCCTCAAGGAACACGCCGAGCTCGTCAGCGACCTGCTCTCCAAGAAAGCCAACTTCTACGTCTGCGGAGATGCTGCCAACATGGCCCGAGAAGTAAACATCGTCCTTGGCCAGATCCTCGCTGAGCAGCGCGGCCTAAAACCCGAGAAGGGTGAGGAACTCGTCAAGCATATGCGAAACACTGGCTCGTACCAGGAGGATGTCTGGTCGTGAACATACATACTTCGCCTTTGTCCTTGCCACTTGCTACCTTACGTTCTTCGCATTTTACTTTCTCAGCATGTTCAGATGGGTAATAACTCCAGGAATGAGTGGAGGAAAAAAATAGGGAAGGTCTATATACTTACGTTACTTCATAGAATTGTGGCTGAAGTTCTTAGGTTGTCAATTCCCCGGCGGTCCCGTCCGGCTCTCTCTTCTCATTCTTTATCGTACGGCTATCCTAATATTTGATTTCTATGTCGATGCCTGCTTTTGGATAGATCGTTTCCTACATATTTTTATATCATTAGACTATTAGTTCATGAGTGACGATGAAGCATATAAGGACTATCATATTTCTTTTATATATATTTATTAGAGTAAACTTTGGGAACTTTATCATAGTAACTATGTAGCTGATCAAACCCTCCAGTAATCAATCATCACTGATTCTCCCAGACTATCAAACCGGCTATTTGACTAAAACGCCTGAAAAATTAGCCTAAACCTGCCAGTGCGGAATAATTCCTCGCGCAGAATGCAACTTTGGCTTCAAACTTTTTCTATTGATTTGAACATCGCAAAGTTGATGTTGATCGATATGTTGATGTTTTCTTAAGCGTACAAATAATTATACCAACACAAGGCTAAGCCTCTGATAAATAGGCAGCCAACCGAACTTGACTATGATGATAACTAATTATGGTGGAAGCCTGGAGCCTACGTACAATACCATCTATGTCCTCCATTAGATAATATCAAATGTAATGCTTAGTCAGCTACCACCCCATATATGCCTACAGATTTTTCATTCACTATATACGCTCATCAATACGATCGATTTGACCGATATATCACTATCAAACATTGTAACTAATCATCATTTGCTCATTACTGCTCTGATTTGACAGATAGTTATATATATACCAGCCTAAGCCTAGGAAGAGGCCTTCTAAATTCATGATACCTGAAATATACCAATATTATGTAACAGATGTCTGTATTGTCTCTGACAATGCCCTTTTATCATCTATTCATACAAAATGTATACCCTGGCTTCTTTTCAACTTCTTCTCAGCATGTTATATGTTATTGTGCACTCTAATACCCCAGATAGGCCCACAATAACTCCATAAGCTTGATCTCTACTGTTATTCCAATTGAACAGCCTAACAATAAGATAACCTTCACACATATTCAGGCCTATACAGCCATCCATCCTCTCACTGTCCTGATATCATGTGTGCAGAGATACAGTCACTGTCCAGTGTCCTCCACGACACTGCAGTCACTATGAAAACTATTTCCATCTGACATGTGTGTAGAGATGTTGTCACTGTCCAGTGTCCTCCTTGATGCTGCAGTCACTATATATAAAGACTGTTTCAGTCTGACATGTGTGTAGATATGCAGTCACTGTCCAGTGTCCTCCTTGACGCTGCAGTCACTATGAAAACTATTTCCGTCTGAACATCCAGTCACTGCTGGCTCAGCTCTATATAGGTCCTGCTTTTCTTTCTCTTTCTCTTCTTCTTCTTCCTCTTCTTTCTATAGTTTAACAAGTGCTTTCTACTTTGCAAACGTCAAAATTGCCTATTCGGATAATCTCGAAGTACCAACTTCCTCCGCTTTGACCGTCACTTCTTTTCTTTTCTGCCCCTCCTTTGGCCTGACGTCTTCATAGTCTTTTCTCTCTCTTTTCTTCTCTTCGTCTTTTCTTCTTCATCCTCTTCTTCTCTTCATCTCGAGTTATCGTCTGCATCAAGATCATTTACTAGCCTTCGTTGTTCGTATCTCAGAGGTTTCTCTCGTTATCCCCTTTGCTCTAGTTCCCCAGGCAACCGCTGTCATATCTCTTTTCTACCTTGAAAACCCCCAGTGCCCCTCTTATTCCCTTCAGAACCCACCATCTGACAACTTGTACGTACGTTGTGCGTCTTTTCTGCTTACCAGTCGGCTCATAGGACACTCAAACGCTGACATGAAGACCATTGGGAACTCTAGCGGCTTTCCTGCTGGATACAAGCCGAATAGACGTCAAGGATATCCTCAAGCTCGAGTAAGTGTTGGCGTACTACGGTATATACGGTTTCTACCCATATTTGCCGTATTACAATGTCCCTCTGTTCTGTTTGAACCGATAGAACACCAAAGATTAACATATTGATTCTATCTAGGCTTATTGGAGACCAACAATGCAGGTTAAAACTCCGGCTGAAGCTACAGGTCCACAGTGCCAGGGAAATGGCTTTATACAAGAGAACCAACATCATCATCCATACGTTGGTCAACAGGCCTATGGCCAGCCAGCTGGAGCCAACAACAACCCCGGCCATATGAATGGAAATGTTTTGGTCCATCCATTCAACAAGATGAGTTTAAATCCGCCAAATGGCGCCAAACCGTTTCCTGTTAAAGGAGGAATGCCAATGCATCCCGGCCCAAATGTTGATATGTCCGGTATCCAACACTACCCCCATGGGCAGTATATGATGTTTCCAAACGGGCCTATGTTTGGTGGTGTCCCTCCAGTACCGCAATTTGGGCAGTTCCCACTGCGTGCTACTGATCAAGGTAGCTCCCTCCACTGTATTCCTCCCAATTTTTACCCTGGCTTTCCCGCAAATCCTCCATTCCCTCCGGACTGTATTTCCGGGTACCCCTGGCCATATTATCCAAATGGAGACTTCCCGAACCATGGCAATATTCCGCTTGATCCACGAGCTTCAGTTGACGAAATGAATACAGGCAGTCCAATTATGGATCTATCTGGGCCACAGGAGTATTACCCTGGTGTTGCTCCAGTTGATCGCTCTTCCGCTCCAGGTTACATGTATAATACACCCGCACCTCAACAATTCCTTCCGTTTCAGATGATGAAGGGTGCCTCTGGCTATGTCCTCCAGGACCTTGATGCACTGGTTAAAGAGGATCCTCCTATTCCACGTGCAGTGCCCGCAATGTGGACGAACCCTTCAGATTTGACTCTGGCAAAATGCCTCGAGAACCGTGAAGGAATCACTAACGTCTACATTCGCGGATTCCTTCCGGAAACTACAGACGAAATGCTGCATAACTACGCATCACGGTTCGGAAAAATCGATAGATGCAAAGCCATTATCGACTTGGAGACCGGATCATGCAAAGGGTATCGTTTATTATATATTCTCTTTCCTGCTTATGTTCTGATACTAATTATTCTATAGGTTTGGTTTCGTGCAGTTTTTTAGCTTTGATGCATGTGAGAACTGTATTCGAGGTTTCTTCCACCTTGGCTACCAGGCTAGCTTTGCACAGGTAAAGATCGGAATATCATGTACATTTTGCCATAATCTGACCAGCCTTTTTTTTAGAAATCCCGCAACTCTCGTCTTAAAGATCTAGAAGACAAGTCATCCACAAATGTTTATTGCACCAATGTCCCAATTGATTGGGCTGAGGCAGTACGTGAAGGTTCCTTCAAATAATTCTTCTATCTCCTGTATTAAAGTTGATATCTTAGGACCTCCGCCGTCACTTTGAGCCCTTCCAAGTCGTATCTGAGAAAATCAGCCGTGATGAAAAGACTGGGGTTAGCAAGGAAGTTGGCTTTGCTAGGTTTGCTATCATCTTCAAATCAGTTTTGGGCTTCATGCTAACTGCACAATGCAGGTTCGAGACTCGTGAAATTGCAGAAAAAGTTGTCCAGCAATTCCATAATATTGTAGGAAAGGATGGTGTGAAACTACTGCTGCGTTTTGCAGATACCAAAGCCCAGAAACAGCTCAAGCATCAAAGCAACGAACGTCGTGCTTACCGTGCTGGTGAATATAATTATTCTGTTGAATTGGTTAACAGCGCTACCCCGTCACCAAGCCTGCACCGTCTGCAGCAAGCGGCTTCTCATTTTAGTCCAGTCTCTCAAAACAGCTACCCTTCACCATTAGGTGGCTTGGGACAAGTTTGGACCCCAGCAACATCTATCTCTCCACCGTATGAAAGCTCTCCCTCATTTGCTACAGTTTCATGCAGACTAATGCAACTAGAAGCGGTCCTATGATGAACAAATCTATGAATGGGTTCCGAGCCGGCTCCTGGGCCTCTCGGCGGGCTCCTTCTAACTCTGATACCACCCCAAGTGCTCGCGGGCGGTTCGCACCTCCTAATAGGAGCCCCCTAGCTGATGATCTCTCGAACTCTTCTTCGACTACGGTCCTACCAATGCCACGCATGACAGGAAGTAAATCCGAGAACTCGAGCCCCATGAAACCAAGAGGCATGAAATCAAGCACAATGTCTCCAATCCCATCGAGAAAGGAAATCATCGTTTCAACTCCACGCTCATCCTGCTGAAGCCTTGAGCTTAGTGATGAAGGCAGCCGTGCTGACCCTTTATTATTCGCATGCTTGGTTCCAGAAACCAAGAACATATCCATTTTTGTTTCTATTATGACTTTACGCCACATTTATTTCTTTTTTAATTTTATTCGCAGTATCGAGACAGCGAGGCATTCTGTATCAGAAGCGATCTGTTTTTTTTTTTCTCTTTGATTTTATTCGTTTCAATTGACAAATTTCACTGACCCTGCATGTATTATGGAATGTCACTCACGCCTACTTGTACCCTTATGAGATATCAACGAGCAATGATACAAACAATGGTGTGTTCCGGGAGCTCGTTGCAGATAGCACTACTAGTTAGCCTCTACACAGTTACTCTTACAACTTAGTTAAATGAATACTTCTGTGATATCATCTTGCGTATTAATGGAGAGTAGAATTTATCAACCTAGTCAGCCAGAGACGACTAGATAAACTGAGAGCTAACTATAGATAATTAGTGGAGAGAACATCTATTTTATATGTATACCTATTTAGGTCACAGACAATCTTGTCATAGGCATCTCTTGGGTATATAAACCTCTCTGTTCAATTGTGTGCCCATGTATCTCTGAGAAATGAGGAAGGTCTCCCTGGGAGAAATACGTGCGAAAAGTCAGTGCAATATATAGCATTTTGAACAAGGTGAAGATGGAAAAGAAGGCATAGGAATCTAAGTGAGAAAGAAAAGGGTCGAGTTAGTCCCTCCCCAACCGCTCCTCCTCATCCTCTATTAGCTCATAGGCAGGTCTATAGGTAGCACCATTCTCACCATCACTTTCCACCCTCAACTTCGGGTTTGGGTGAGTGTCATTCGTCCCCCCCAAACTTGTATATCCCTGGTCATAAAGCGGGCAATATTCTACACCCAAATGCTTGATAAACGCCCAAATCTCCACGTAATGCCAATCAATTACCGGATGAATTCGCATGAAGTCCGGCCATCCGTGATCCGTACGATCGAAATGCGTTAGTTTACCACCGTGCGGATCAGTACGGCGGGTTCCAACGAATATAGCCCGTACCTGTGGGTTGGAAGACAGATAAGCTGCGAAAGTGGAGCGGATGGTTGAATGTGGAGGATCGGTCGAATGGCGGGTTAGCTTAAGATGGTAAACCCGAGAAGACTGAGTGACGAATTGCTCGACGGAAGGAAAGGGGTGCTTTGGCTGTGCGTATATTGCTGGTATATATGTTGGGTGGGAAGGAGGTGTGTTGGATTGTGAGTTGCTGTCAACCGAGGAAGCGCATGACGGACTGGTCGAAGTGCAATGCGTATGTAGGCTTGCGAGGAAAAGTAAAAGGAGAACAAGACAGTCCTTTCCGCCATTGTAGGAGATGGAGAGCTCACGGAGGGAATATCGTGTCAAGGATTCGCGGATGATGTCCAGGGAGATGCGAGTTTGCTGCTGAACGCGGTAGAGGATGGAAGAAGGGTCATGCCGTTCATCAAGGAATGCTGTGATTTGATCATACAGCTTACGAGTCACTGTTGACAAGGGCGGGAGAGACGACGGTGGCTCTATTATATCAGCTGTATTATCTTTTGATTGCTGTTCGCTTCCATTTATATTGCTGTAGCCTATGGTTTCGGCGGATTTATCCGTGCCATTCACCTGGCTGGTCCCGTTTAGAGAGAACATCTGTAGAGATATCCGGTGATTCTTCATATACGGACGGATGAACTGGTCAAGGATCGCTGACTTTTCAGCTAGAGATTCCTTTTAACCATGTAGCTGGTTTATCGCAATTCGGCCGGAAGTGGGATGCGCTTCTCTCCCCCGCCAAAGACAGCTTCCCGCCCTTCTATCGCCCTGGTGCTTTCGGATATTATGATTCGCACTTCGCTGTCCTTCTCGGAGTGAAATATACTATGTATATGACCAGACAAAGCCTCTCAGGGAATGTTCGGATATGCAGCTGTTGAACAGAATACGGGGTTTCATCGACTTTCTCGGTGGTAGGTTTGCCGCTTCTAGCTTTTTCACTTCCAGATCCTTAATTGACTTCGGAGGTTTATTTCGATCAGTATAAAAGAGGCTCGAGGACGTGAGTGATAGCTTCAGCTCTCTCACAGCGCTGACTTATTCTATCCTCCAGCGCATAACGTAGAGTGGAAGTTGTTCTACATTGAGTGGTTTCTATGTAGCTGCTTTCTTCATGTGGCAAAGCTGAGGCTGAGTAAGCAGAGATGATCGTTGGCTGGCTTTACAGTTATAAAGACTCGATTTTACATTGATGTAGGTAAAACTTATGGGTAACACTCATGCTAGAGGTGATCGATCCATTCTTACATGTGTATGTTGATATAAGGGTCTTCTTGATTTAGGATATAAAATATCCAACAAACTAGACAAGTGGTATCATTGGCTCAACCTATCTATAGACATCCAATATCCTGTCACGAAGATGGAAACGCTGGTCTCTCAACAGTCGAGAATCTTCCAGGTGTCCTCGTCCACTGTGTGGTATATTATGCTGAGACCTAGCAGCTCCTCGGCAGCCTTGTAAACTTCATTCACGTTCACCTGCAAGATCGGAGCCAGGACGTTCACATGCATTCCTTCATTGGTCTGCCTGCTTTTGTCGAGAGCGTCGTACAGCTTCCGCGCCGTCGGCGACATTCGCGGTAAAGAGATGTTGCTGCCACTCATATCCTTCGGACCACCCCCAATTCCGGCGCCTGCCCCAGACCCGCCAGCTTTCGGGGGTGGGCCCTTGGTGAAATATAGATGCACTGCAGTCGCTTCGAGAAAATGAACATGGTACTCATTCATACTTGTTACGGGGCGGATTAACACCGCATTAACCTGCCGTCGATCATTGAATGTCTTTACATTTGCAAATACCTTTGCGTATCCGTTTGTCGTTATCTGGGAGGCTCTTGGTCGACCTGACTTGTTTGTCACACCAGCAGCACCGGCACCACTGCCAGGCCCGTCCATAGCCATAACATCCATGGCCTCAAGTTCATCAAATGCTTCCTTCTCCTCTGGGGGGATGAAATATTTCACGTCTGTCTCGCCAGTGCCGTCGTCCAGCTTGTATGTGATGTGCGTTGCCAGCTTGTTGACATTTCGAACCTGCCCCACGAAAGATACTTGATTGATGTCGGCGTTATCTATCTTGAAGTTGGTGTCTGGAAATGGCTGCGTGGCATCGTTTAATTGTTTAATCGTCACTGGCCGAATAGATCTAGATTCACCAGCATATGGAGACTATTCATCGTCTCAATTAGCACAATCCTGTATATATCACTTTAATAAGTCCTCTATAGGGATTTCATGCTCCATGCCTTTGACTGGCTGCTACTGTCGCCTTGTGCGAAGCCGCCACCTTCTCCCCCGCCATATGGTGTTGACGAATAATTCCCGTAGCCGTAGTCTGCACGCGTAACGTTAGCTACTTGGACAGTAAAGAATATAGCGGGACTCTTACCCATCACAATGCTGTGTATCTTGATATCTTAGCTACGTTAGTGGGACTATTCAACAGCAGCACAAGCAACTTTTTCTCTCTTCTTTTCTTCTTCACTTCGACTTTAATTGAACTTCGCGTGTTTTTTTCTTTTTTGACGCGTCGAGGGGGAAATCACGTGTTTGTCACGGGATAAAGTTGTTCCCATCCGTACCCATTCGGGAATTTTTGCATCACTAAAAAAAATTATATAAAAAATATTGAAGCCATCAACAGCTGTTATTTGATAGCAGCTCAAAATATCCCTACCTGTCGTTTGGAGACTAGCTACCTAAGGGCAATTATACGCGGTGTAGCTGTAAAATTGCTTATGCTATGTGTTACTAATTGATTTCTCACCTTGCAAAATATTCTCCCGATTTGGACAACACTCTGAAATTCCAATTGTACCTCAGATATTATATCTTTTGCCCAAGATGCGTCAGCGAGCTGCCTCTCCGGCTCAGTCTGAGGCGGAGTTCGATATATGTAAGAGCCTGTTTGCGGCTGATGATGACTCTGATACAGAGCTCCCTTTGAAAAGGCAGAAGAAGAAACCTGAAACACAGGCGCTCGATATGATGGCCGAGTTAGAGGGAGATGGAGAAGATGATGGCGATGCTACATTTATTGCCGCTGAACAATCAGTAATGAACCGCAAAGCATCTACATTGAAAGGCCGGACGGTGAAGAAAGGCGGTGGATTTCAAGCAATGGGGCTAAATCCAAATCTGTTGAAAGCCATTACACGGAAAGGATTCTCAGTTCCAACCCCCATCCAAAGGAAAACGATACCACTCTTACTGGACGATCAAGATGTTGTGGGAATGGCACGCACGGGATCCGGAAAGACAGCTGCGTTTGTGATTCCCATGATTGAGAAACTGAAGAGCCATAGTACCAAAGTTGGTGCTAGGGGCCTGATTTTGTCACCTTCGCGAGAATTAGCATTGCAGACTTTGAAGGTTGTGAAAGAACTTGGCCGAGGGACGGATCTGAAATGTGTACTTCTTGTTGGAGGTGACAGTCTTGAAGAGCAGTTTGGATATATGGCTGGAAACCCTGACATCATCATTGCTACTCCTGGTCGATTCCTTCATCTCAAGGTGGAAATGAGCTTGGATCTTTCTAGCATTCGGTATGCTGTTTTTGATGAAGCCGATAGATTGTTTGAGATGGGGTTTGCTGCTCAACTCACCGAAATTCTTCATGCACTACCTTCCTCCCGACAAACGCTCCTGTTTTCTGCAACCCTTCCAAAATCCTTGGTGGAGTTTGCTCGCGCAGGCTTACAGGAGCCTACTCTTATACGACTGGATGCAGATAGCAAAATTTCCCCCGAGCTTCAAAGCGCGTTTTTCACCGTTAAGTCAGCCGATAAGGAGGGCGCGTTGCTGCACATTCTTCATGATCTCATCAAGATACCTACCGGCGAGACTGAGGCGGGAAAACTTGCGGCGAAAGAAGCCAAAGAAGCAAAGCAAGATAACCGAAACTCCAAAAAACGGAAAAGGTCAGAAACGAAAGGGCCTGGTGCACATGTCATTCCCGCAGAGCATTCAACAATTGTGTTCGTGGCCACAAAACATCATGTCGAATATATTGCTACCCTTCTTCGGCACTCTGGCTTTGCAGTCTCGTACGCTTATGGTTCTCTTAATCAGACTGCCCGGAAAATCCAGGTCCAGAACTTCCGAGCTGGGATTTCCAATATACTGGTTGTGACAGATGTAGCAGCTCGAGGAATTGATATTCCTGTGCTTGCAAACGTCATCAATTACGATTTCCCTTCTCAGCCTAAAATTTTCATTCATCGTGTTGGGCGTACGGCAAGAGCAGGTCAAAAAGGCTGGAGCTACAGCTTAATTCGTGATTCGGATGCACCATATCTAATTGATCTACAGCTATTTCTTGGGCGGCAACTTCTTATGGGGAGAGCTGCTACGGAAAATGCCAACTACGCAGAGGATATCGTCGTGGGTAGCCTGCCACGCAGGTCCCTTGAGAGCCATTGCGAATACGTGGACAAGCTACTTAGCGAAGATGTTGATATCGAAGGGCTACGTTCAGTCTCTATTCGTGGAGAAAAGCTTTATATGAAAACTCGAAACTCTGCCTCTGCTGAAAGTGCAAAGAGAGCAAAGGACATCGTTGCTGCTGATGCATGGGGAACAATGCACCCATTGTTCAATGACGAGTCCAGCCGACTGGAAGCTGAAAGAGAGCAAATGCTGGCTAGGGTTGGAGGGTACAAGCCTCAGGAAACTGTCTTTGAAGTGATGGGTAAACGAGGAGGGAAAAGTGGGAATGAGGAGGCGGTAGAAGTGATGCGCAAGATACGATCCGTCATGGAGAGAAAGAAGTTGCGGAGAGAGTTAGCATCGCAAAGTTTGCCCTTGCAAAACACACAAGCAGCGCAAATAGATGACGAATCTGGTGAAAATATGAGTGATGCCTCAGCTAAAGAGGATGATGATGCTCCAATTCAGGGTGACCCGGACATGTCTCTTGCCGATGAGTCTGATTTAGAAGTGACATTCTCATACCCAAAACAAGGAAAATCGCGCTCAAACACCCAGGACGGAAATCAAAGCAACTCTTTCCAGAATCCAGAATACTTCATGTCATACACTCCGACGTCTATCTCGCTTACAGAGAATCGCGGTTATGGAGTCCACACTGGCTCTAATTCCAACACCAGCTTTGTTGAGGCTTCTCGGTCCGCCACAATGGATCTCAACGGTGATGAAGGTGCCCGTGGCCTTGGCGGTGCCGGTTCAATTAAGCGTTGGGACAAACGGCATAAAAAATATGTCTTGCGTCAAAATGACGAGGATGGCTCCAAGGGGGAGAAACTTGTGAGAGGCGAGAGTGGAGCGAAGATTGCTGCAAGCTTCCGCAGTGGTAGGTTCGACTCCTGGAAAAAGGGGAAGAGACTTGGCCGTCTGCCCAGGGTTGGAGAGATGGAAAATTCCAATCTCGGCAGTACTGGGGGTATACCTAGCAGGAAATATAGGCACAATAAAGAACAGGCTCCCAAGGCTGCAGACAAGTATCGTGGTGACTACGAAAAGATGAAGAAGAAGGGAGATGCCATGCAGAAACGCCGGGAAGACGCAGGACTACCTACATATGGAGGCAAGAAGAATGTCAAGAGTGAGCTTAAGAATTCCGAGGACATACGGAAGGCTAGAAAGCAACTAGAAAAGAGAAAAGAGAAGAATGCTCGACCTTCAAAGAAGGGAAAAGGCCGATAGGGAGGATCACACCTTTTTTTGGAAGGGGGGTGGTTTGCATGGGGGTTCAATTCCCAGTTATAATAGATTATACAGACCATACAGCACATTTGGAATCTAAAACATTGGTTATTGCCCCAGCTTCAACAACAGGCTCTAATCAGCAAACAGCGAATAATGACTGCAGTCCTCAACATTTCCTTCGACTATTAACCTCTCTCTCCTCTTCATACAGCGCAGCTATCCCCTGGCGCACCAGGCCTGTCGCCGTGTGACCACTTCTCATCCTTGCTCAAGGAGCTTGGCTCACCGTCGCCTGCTCAACTCGCCTTGACAAGTGATATTACCCCAACCGCCCGCAGCTTGCAGGTGTTTATGCAGACGTGGTATATATTTAATATCCCTGCTCTTCTTCTACTTCTTTTGTTTTAAGGTATTCCCGAAAATCACCCGGCTAGCCCCGGTATAGCTGTCCCGCAAACGGGCTAACTGCGTCAGAGGCAGGATTATGGAGAAATGTCACTGTTGCAACTGGACCTCAGGGCTTCCACGTTGATCAACTTTATCCCTTATCAGCTCACGGCGCTCGCGTGCCGTAGTCTAATTAATATATACGGAGGAAATGATAGTTCGAATCCTTTTTGCAACATTGGGCTCGGCACGGCTTGTCTCGCGCTCGGATTTCCAACCATTCATTCAGGCTCTCTCGACTGCTTGTCAGTATAACCTATGAAACACCCCGTGCTTTTCGGCAGTTCACTTTGGCAGAGGATGTGAGGATAGGATGCTACAGTTTTGCGGAGATCCCGGTAGATCAGATTTGACTTTTCTCCGGGACACATGGGGCGATGGTCAACGTTAGGGCCATCTCAACCTTGATTCGTAGGATGAGTGGCCATTTTCATTGGGCGCAGGCGGTTTCAGTATTGCGGTATCGGCCTTCGCTTGTGAAGAGAGATCGTGTCGATGCCGGAGGTGGGCCGATGATAGAGAAGAGTGAGGCCATGTTACGTGGAACTCATGACTTGTTCCAAGTAGACAAGCATCTCCCTTCCATGGCAAACAGGGTATCGGGCGTTCCGCAAGATGTTGACCAGGATATCCAGGCGACATATCCGTATAGGTCATTTCTCATTGCCATTCGTCAACCAGACTCGAAATCGAGCAGAAAGGCAAAAAGGGCTGGTTTATATTTCCCTGTTCATGGAGCAGAGGACTTGACCCTGGCTATCAGCGAGTCAAGAATGACCCAGCTCACATAGTATAGATCTCGTTCCGTTATACGGAAAGACATACCTCTTTCGGCTCGTCTCGTCTTGTTTGATATTGAGTATCTTCGCTCCCAACGACTTTTCTCCGGAAAAAGGAACAAAAGAAAAAGAACAAAAGAAGGGGCAAAGAAGGGGGAAAGAAGCAAAAAACCTCCGTGCCCACTGAACACTTCCTTCAGCTTTGCCGCACTTTATTTGCAGCTCTCGCCTAATATACTCCGACGGATCTCGCCAGAGGGCATGCATACGTAGCGAAAGAGTGGGAGAAATGCTCGCAACGCTGGCCCAGTTAAAGATTCGGCCTCACCTTCAGCAGCCAGGACTTCGTGTATACTATGTACTGTTCATACACTAAACTAGGCGAAACAACCACGGCAGCACGCACGCAGACGGTAAGACCCAGCGGGCACACTGGTCAACGGTTCTTCATGTACGTTTGAGAACCAGCCGCTAAAGAATCTTCAGGTGCAGAAACAAATCTAAGGCGCCTCGTATATTCCGTATACTGCATGACTAGACTCGTGAGCAGATAGATACAGATGACAGCATGTTCACTAGCCTCTGACGCAAGAGAGCGCGGGGAAGAAAGACGAGAAAATATGCAAATCGACGTATAAAAATGATCTCTGCTCGGCTCAAATTAATATGTCAAGAACCAAGGCGAGGAACAATGCGTTCCTCGGAGAACTCAAAGCATGGAACTTGATGTCTTATTTTTCAACATTTCTCCGTCTGGAGAACCTCCATCTAATTCCTGGCTGCTTCTCATCCTTTTGGCTTTTTATCCTGGTCCGGGTATGCAGGGGATAACCTGGAGCCGAGATGAACACCCGCAGAAAGTCCGATTCTTCTCGCCTATCAAGACAGTGCAAAATGTCGTATTTTGGTACAGTTAGCGCCATTTTGCTGCAATTCGATACAGATAACCTTGTCAATAAGTCCTGCAAGACGGTGAATCGAAGATAAATGAACTACTGGGGCATAATTTTGAGCATTTATCGTGTGTCATAATGCCCTCTTAGTATAAGCAACGGTTATATGTGACAAGATGTCGAGGGAAACCTAGATATTGTCCGTGTCTGGAGTTCACGGCCATCAAACGAAATAGAAAAAGATGGCCTTATGGAACAAATGTTGCTCCAGGCAAGTTTCTCTCCTGATTCTTTCTTTTTCTCATTCTTCCGCTAGTTTCTTTTTTCCCCTGTTTTGTTTTTGGCACACTACATAAGCCTTGATATTGGCTGACCATCTCAATCTGCAGTGTCTGACGAAAACTTTTCTAGATCTCTGTTGAAGAATCCAGGGAGACAAAAGTAAAACTATCCACATGGTCTAGCGACAAATTGATCCGAGCGGGCGATCGGTATAGCTTCTACCGGAGAGGCCAATGGGGTTGTTTTATGTACGGGACACCCCAGCGATACCATGGAGCGCCGCGATCATGCATTGATGTTCCCACCCTTACAAGCAATTAACGGGATACAAACTCGGTAAATACATAGTACCAGTACCCAACAAATTAGCCTTAGGTCGCCCGTCAATCCCGAAGCGAAGAACCAAACAACGAGGCAGAAACTAGAGGAAAAGAAGATTATATAGGCGCCGATAACTTGTTTACTGGGACTAACTATGGTTTCTTAGTACCGTTTCAGGTGCCTTCTGGTCTCTGCCTAGAACATTTATGATATTATGCGAAACCGCTCGGCCGGTAGGGGTTAAACATCAATAACTTATGCGGTGAGAACCCCAATAAACCGTTACTTTACCTGATGGGCTAATATATATCGAATTGCACGGCGCTAATATGGCATTTACATAGGGTGTTCTCACCAACTGTACCCCTAGCTTGGGACCTGGGTTATATACGATGCACAAAGCCTATCTATATTATTCTTGAGGTATATGGACGTGGGTTTGTAAAAAAAATTGCCTTCAATGCCAAGTAGATTTCGGAATATGTCTCTACCCTCTCTTGCTAGCTGCTTCTTTTCAGTCTCCATGATGGATGATGGAGAACAGAGGGGCTGTGTCAGACTCGGCACCAACACATCCCGTCAGGTGTGCCACCCAAAACGCTGCTGGACGGGTAGTCTGCTTCGTCCGTTTCGCTGTTCAATTCCACACCGCGCCTATATGGCTCATTGACATATAAGGCTCCTTCAGTTCTGCCCACGAAGTTAGATCAGCAAATCGTGCTCCGCATCCCAGGTGGGCGGAGTACTCCGTCGCCCCCAGAGCTAGTTGAAGAACGCCATGTCTAGCCTATCTTTCGGGATGGGGTGACCCGAAGACAGAGCTATTGGCCCCGCGTCGATCCCGTTGATGCCGACTGACAATCATGAGTCGTTTAGAAGAAAAAGCTGCGAAAAAAAAAGGATCTGCTTCATTAACAGTGCTGTGGAATCTGTACAAATGTTAACGCCCCATTACACAACTTAGGAGCACACTCGATGAGCTCGCTTGGCCGAACATCGCATTAGGAGAACAGAACTTATATGAAGTCCGTTCCCGGTTTCAATACGGCCTTTCCTCGCCTTGATATCGCATCCAACACTGCGAGCTAAATGGAACTGAGACCACTAGAGCATGCCTTATTGCTTCATTTGGCTTGGCAGCCGGGATAATTCAGTGATTCCTCAGTCTGGATAGACGTACATATATATTACGTAGGGGCATGCCTATACCATGCCCACTATGGAGTTTTGACTGACCTCCTGCACAAAACCAAAAAAAGAAAAGGGATGCTGAGTTGGAAGACACGAATTCGGACTTCGGGGATTAATTTTAACTCACATCATAAAGTTGGATTCCCATGCTAGTTCCATGGTTAGGGGCTGATCAGGCGATGGGCGCTTTTACCGAAAAGGCAGGTAATTGAGCCACGTCCAAAACCATTTGGGGAATTTTCGAATAGATCCGCTCGATGCGATGGATGACGATACCACCATACATACATATAGTACATTAGTACGTATCCTTATATATATGTATGCTATGAAGCTGGGATAACAATTAAGATTTTCTCGGGAGTTACCCCAGCGGCACGTTGGCAGCCACAAGATCGTGGCTCTCAAAGGCCGTGTTCACTTTTATAGTTCAAAGAAGTGCCATATAGGACACAAATTAAGGTCTTCTGGTCCGCGAGCCCTTAATATATGAGAAGGTGTGGTACCTGCGATATGGGGACCGTTTTCCTAGGCCATGCTTCCTGGGAAACAAACTGAAAGCCGTTTATTCTGTCCAGGAGAGAGAAGGCGGGAAAGATGCCACTATGTTACGTCGAGAATGAGCAGCTGATAGCTTTGTAAACCTAAAAAGAGTCGGAACTTGGAAGGGGATCGGCGGGTTATGCTTGGGGGAAGAGGCTGGGGAAATTGACAGCTTGAAGAACTGAGAGATGATGGTACGATACCCCGGGTACATTCAGTGTGTCAGCCATAGAGCGTTGTATATATCTGGCGGTATGATACAACATGCATACTATAGGACATATCCGTACTCATATGCAAGATCCATGTTGCCATAATTGGCTGATTACTTGTCAAAAGTTAAAAAGTTGTCCCATTTATATTTCCAATTACTCGCATCTCGAAGGGCTCCGTTTAATTTCCGTGCCAGGGATCGTGCTTGGCTCAATATATTCTGATGACTTGGACAGTTGTAAGCATTCTGTTTCGCTGCCCTTTTTCCCTGAAGAAGCCAATCAGAAATCTTTCTCACTTGCCGAGGTATAGCAATCGTGACTGCATTGAGTATGATGTTTGTGCTGGAGCGGGAATGGTTGCCATGCATAAGGTCGTGTTGTAAAACCTTTTTTAACTTTGGTTAGGGTAAAAAGCAGGGCGTCCAAGTGAATCAAAGAGACCCAGGTGTGTTTGCAGGGCGGATAATATCGCCTTCTGGTGTGCTGGTCTGCAAAAGCCATGGGCGTCCAGCTCCGATGGGCCAGGCCAAAATGTGCGTGAACGTGATGCAATAATATAAGCCGAGTCAAGGGCTAAAATAAATAGGTTGATAAGGTTCGGAGATTTTCCCCAAATCGCAAGAGAGAGAGAAAGCATGTTTCCTCCCCCAATGAAAGTATCCTCCGTGGCTACCAGCCACATCCTTGCCTCAAACGGTAGTCCGTACTCGGTATATATTTGAAATGGAGCTGGTGCTTCATAACGTTTGGGACACGTCCGGGATGATCGACAGAATCCAGCCAGGGAATAAACAAATCAATAAATAATAATTCCTTTTTCATCCTCAGCGTCACCTCTTTCCTTTTCTGCCAGGGCCAATTGGGTTTTTTTAACCTCATGGTTGGCTGAGCTCTCAATAATCGTTAGAGAAGCGGTGGAAGACGCTCAGGATAGCTCCAGTTTGGTTGGGAACTCTCCATAATATCGGGTTTTGCTCTGAATAATGAAGGTGGGTGGCGCAGATTTAGCCCACTGTCCGTACCAGGTAAGTCCATACATATTTTCATATTTAGGCGCCCTTTTACCTTACGGAGTTTGCCGTGGATCCGGTCTTGAGATGAATAGGAAACAGCCAGTGAATAGAAGAGGGGAAAAAGAAACGTTGTATAATTTAAAGCTGACAAGAGGAGCAACGACAATATATAAAGTTATATATATATTCCATTGAAGCTCCTCACATGGCACAAGGCTTTTTAAGCCCTGTGCTTTGGCGTTGACTTGGACTCATCCGTACAATTTTTTTAGGGGCTGCTTTGTAGGCCCTGAAAAACCTGGTCGTGACCAGGCCATCAGACCTGATACCCGCGTAAAAGTTCCGCCCCCAAGAATGATCTGTCATCGGCATCGTCTGGAGGCTTGGCCGCTGTTTCGAGGATGGCTAGGGGGGTAGCAGCATCAATTCCGTATCCTGATCGTCGTCTGCGCTTTGATGCTTCTGATGCAATGGTGCTGCAGATAGACAAGCTTTTCGGTTCTGGGGCTTGGTTGACCTCGTGTGGTTTCAGGGGTACGGAGAGAAACAAGCAAGCTCAAGTTCGGTTAGAAATCCAGGGTTTCTTCGCCCTCAAGCGCCTCCAAAGCAAGGCACACACACGGGCACACAGTGTAAAAACGAGGATGCACACCTCCTGGACACTCCACCATCCATGCAGCCATCTAGCACATCGTCCTCAAGATGGGCCTTGCAAAGAGTTGAATGTATATAGATGTAACTCCATGCTAACTACCCAAAGCGAAGGTATAGTCGCCGACTTGGATCACTCCGGTTTTTTTTTTTCTCGCATGAATGGGTTTGTTTATGGAGGATAATAGTATAGATATGGATCTCTCTCTCTTTCTTTTCTTTTGCTTCTACTATGTAGTGATGTTTGGTGCTGGTTGATATGTTATGTTGTATGTAGTTACAAAGCGTAGGACAAAAACGGAACAGGCTCGTCCGAAACGGGAAGCGCGTCCAAATGTCAAAAAGTCAACGTCAACGTCAACGTCAACTTCATCCAACCTCAACTTCAGCTTCAGCTGGCCATAATGTTCGACACGACGGAGTGTTAGTCGACGCAAATCATGATTCCTTGGCTGCTATTCGAACGATGGCTCCCATCATTTCGCGAGTTTCATGTTCTGGTGCTGATGTACGGAGTGGAGCGACTATCATCCCCGTTTCCACAAAGCTGCTCTGCTCTGGTTACTCGAGACCGTCAAGGTCAGCTATGTATGTACATAGTAGGTGAAGGTATAGTTACTCTCAGGTTTATCCCTCGTTGAACCCATGCAAGCCACCCATTTCTCTACTAGCTGATTAGCTGACCTAGCAAATAGAACCTGAAATAGAAAAGTTGCGAACCAGGCAAATTCAGCTATTGCCACAGGCGATTCACATATTGATGAATGGCCAGCTCTCCATTAGGCTGATGGCTTGCTCTCTTTTAATATTCCCGTCCGCCTATTGGATGGTTTGCTGAGTACGGGGTGACAGGATATTAAAAGTTTTGTTCAATTCAACACAGAATTGCCTACCAATCATGGTCATCTAAGGTGATGACTTTTTATCAGATGATCCTTGCCTTATTGCTTGTTCCCTGGCCGATGCAAAACGACGACATACATATGTATCTGATCGACCAGCACGAAGATCAGGCCGAGGCAAGCTAACCCAGACTAGCGCCCATCCTGACTCAAGTCTGGATGTCAAGAGGGAAGGGAAACTTGACGATATCTTCCACAAATTTTATGCCAGTGGATGATCCACAGTATAAATCCACTAGTAACGGTACCTGGCTTCTCCTCGCCGTCATATTTGCCCGTGAATAGCGTTCCCATGTTGTTCTGCACAGGCCATGCTATCCACTGCGGATACGATGTGCAGCGTGATGAGTATCCCCTGGTTGCCGTATTTTCTGTCGGCAACAAATTTTGCAATTTTTCTGCGCCCCAAGACCCTACCAACTCTGATTTACGGTTCTTCTAGGAAAGCATCACGATGGTGACACCCAGAGACAATTTACTTTTTATTTTTCTCTTAGAAATAAAAAAAAAAAAGATGACCCCACACACAGCCTACTACTCCACCTACGGAGATTGGCTCACGATCACTCTTCTTTGCCATAAGGCATTGAACAATCGAAAGTTCTCTGATTCTTGGTACTCCTTGAGGGCCTTGTCTGTCTGCCGAATTTCCATTGCATCCGAAATGACGGAATTTATTAAATCCCCTGGCAGCCGTTATCTTCTCGGCCTGGATAACGGCCAAATAATCACAAGTTCAAAGGCCGCAATTTTTGCATTTTTGGGGGTTATCTTAATGCTTAATTAACTCATTCAGCCGGAATTTTTTAGGTTACGTTTAACGCCGCCCATAACCTGCCAGACCCCTGACCCTTTATGCTTGCAGGCTTATTGCTACTCTACACCTACTACCACCTCCACCACTTAATACACCTGCTCTCGCCTGTCTGATCTCGTTCTTTTTTCCTGCCTCTCTTCCCTCTCTCCTCCTCCCTCTTCCTTCCTCTTCCTCTCCCTTATAATTTCTACTTTTTAGCACTTTTGACTTCTCACCCTACTTTCCCTATCTTCACCGCCCCTACATACACACTTTAGCACAAGCTCGCTCTTCCTGGATCATACGCAGACAGGCAAAGCGGTAACCTTGCATTACTCTTTGACGGTCACACCCGATCTGTTGATCATTGAACTCAATACATAGTCGACTCTCTTCTGGGGTGTTTTCCCTCTCTTTCAATTGGCAACAATTTTAGGAGTTGTAACAAGCGTCATCTTTGATCCATCAACAACGTACATACACCCTACCTACGGGAAGCATATCCGTGAAGTTAAGCCTGGTTCCATTTGACCTGTTCTAAACCGCCATATTCTTGCCCTACTTTATACCCACGCTCTGCCTCACCAACATTATTTGTTTTTGCAATCTCAACAGCCGATAAAAATATATAAGAAAGCTGTCAGAGAGGCTTTCTCGGCCCTTATTTGGAACCTGCTCTCCAGAAGTATTGCTGGTCAAATTTCGCTGGTCTGTGGCTCGGAAGTTCTCTCTTTAATTACTTCGTTCCTCTTTATCAACAACATCAACTCGACGATCTGTACAAATCACTAGGCCCGTTCGTTTGTTATCCCGGCGCCAGAGTTGAGCAACTCCTAGTTTGGAAATTTTGACCGCTATGATTAAGGAAGGTCGGGTTTTGAATACAAGGGACATACCTCGTTAACACATTTACCCGGCGGTTAGCTTGAACAACGCAATCGGCAACTTCGACTATCTTTGTTTGTTGGGTTTCGCATTTACTGTGACCTAGGGTCCTTACATTACAACATTATACCTAATGCAGTGCCTACCTTCTGCCCGGTTCTTCCCTAACGACTCATTCGGACAGCCCCATCGCTCCGGGTCAGATCCGCTAAGATTTTCTTTAAGTCTCAGCGTGTCAGACGGACGTTTTCCCGGCAGCTGTCGAAGCCCTTACCTCTCCCCGCCTATGTCAGGCTCGCCACCTCCAGAATATAGATCAGACCTATCCCACGGATTGAGACATTCTGGGCGGTCCGACTCTCCAGCATCAAACTTGAATTATCCTGGGTCGCATAATGATTATCAAGCCCATCATATAAATCGAGGACAGGGAATTGATCGCGCTGTTAGCGACCCGAGGCAGCCTCAGATGGCAACACAGTCGGTTCAGCAGTTCGGGCTTCCGCCCATGAATGAAATGCGCCCCTCGCACTTATTATCAGGGTTTGGGGGACCTAGTACTATACCTCAACGGACGACTACACTTCCGCCACGGTCAACTCGCCGAGCGAAAGCGCATGTTGCATCTGCGTGTGTTAATTGCAAGAGAAAGCATCTAGGATGTGATTCAGCACGGCCATGTCGAAGATGCGTTGTTGCAGGCAAGGAAGTGAGTTGTTATCACTGTTAACTCATTCAAGCTCGCTAGGTGTTATGTGTCAGCTAATCGGCTTATATCTATAGGACTCGTGTGTGGATGTAACTCATAAGCGTCGTGGCCGACCGCCATTAAAAGCGGAGGAAGGCCCAATTCGGGGTTACGAGTCAACCTTTGGGCAACCAGGAATATTGCGAGTTTCTGGGCCCCTGGCGCCTGCTCGAGGGCATAAACGAAACCCCTCGTCCAGAGAAATCAGGCCAAGCACAGACTTCAATCAATCAAGAGCTCTGGCTGAAAATGAAGCGGAACGGAGGATGGGGTCCAGTCCCACGACTGCAATGCAGCCTCCTTTATGGACGCCTCCAGTATTGCCATCCCCGTCTCCCTTTACATCTGCTAATATGCCCCCAAGGCGACCAGCGTCTAGTGGCCAGCAGCCGGCAGCCCAGTCTCCCAGTCATGACTACCAGGCGCGGGAAAATCAGGTGCAAAGACCCATGGGTCGCGTGTCACCAATGCACTCGTTCTCCGGAGAGGGACCGCGGTCTTCATGTTCGCCACATATGGCCTATAAGCCAAGGAGTCCGACCGACTCATCCTCGTTCTCAAGCCCAGGGCCATCTGGTAGCTGGCCAGCCGGTTACCAGCCCTCAGATCAAGGCTTGGCTTCCTTTAAGCTTCCCCCAATCCTTGCAAGAGGCTCTGATATCCCACCAAAAGATGCAGCCCCCAGACGATTTCCTTCGTTGCCATGGTTGGAAACAGAACAACGACATCATGTGACATCAGACCGCACCGGCCCAACATCTGATTCCTCTAATCCTATTTCTCCTTACCGTCGCGGCTCTGTACTGAGCAGCTCCACCCATGTCTCGCCCACTTCCCCAGTATCTCTTCCTCCTTTACGCACAACAGGGTTACAGCAAGCGCCGGTTGATCAGCTACAAACTCCAATAGAGGACAACCAGAAGGATGACGAAAACCGCCCTGCCAAGCGCCTTAGAATGGAGTTGGGCGAAATGGTGAATGATTAGTATGATTGCCTCGAACTATAACCTCTTGACATCAATATTTTCCTCAGGATTTTTCCCATCATCCGCTTAATTATCCAGCCTACTTTTGATTTACTTTTATTTTATTTTCCCTTTTGGTTTTAGGCTCAAGGTTTTCTTCGTTCCTTTTTGGTTTATTTTGGCTTTGGGATTTTCCTTTTTATTTTTTTTATTTTTTTTTTTATTTGCAATACCATTTCTTCCTTTTCCTTTGTGTCAGTTTATACCCAACCCGCATGAACGAGGAAAGAAGCATTTGGATTTTATGATAAAGAGATACCTTTAGCTTGTTTTAATATCTCAGTCGATCAGCCTTTGTTATCTGTTAGAGACACAGAGAAGATTCCTGTCCTTATATGTATATACAAGTCAAGGCCCTCCTAATGTCTACGACAACTCTAATAGTATAAACTATCAATCTATGTGTATCACATGTGCATAAGGTAGCGGAGTGTTATTCAGTTCCGGAAGCCCAATTCGAAGGTATGTATGTGCATAGAATTCAACTATATAAATAAATAGTTAAATATGTATAGGCAAAACAAAATATATCCAGTCAAAATTTACAAAAATACCCATTGCCCAGCCCTCTTTAGCTTATTCTGCCATTTATTGGAACCATCGGTTAACTCCACGGCAGAAGAGGCGCCCAGATCCGCAGCGCCAGCCACACGAGCCTCCTCGTACCTATCGGTCAACAGATCCATCTCCTCGAGCTTGACCAATTTCGACTTCTTGACCGCAAACTTCCAGATTAGGAACATGAGCAAGATGACGGGAATCTGGATGTAGAAGCTGACAAAGTCCACTGGCTTGAATTCAGGGCTGAAAGATGACCAGCCCTGGACGAGGATGAGCACGCCGTTAAGGCCGATAGACAGAAAGGGGCCCCAAGGGTAGGTCCAGTTCTTGAAGGGGAGCAGATGCTCGAGGTTCTGCCGGCGGACGGCCCTGCGGAACCGGAGGGAGGAATATCCAATGGCCATCCAGGAGAGTTGATTGGATACACCGACAATGCTGAGAGGGAAAAAAAAAATAGTTAGCATGATTTATTAGAGGGAAGCAAAGATGAGGAGGAAGAAGAAGAAGAGGCGGCGGAAATATGACATATCCGTGAAAAGATATTGGGAAACTCACTTCTGTAGCCAGGTCCACAGCTGACCAGCGCCGATATAGCTTGCTCCAAAGCAAAGCCCACTGATGGCAGATGTGCCTATGACAGCAATCCACGGGGTCTTCCACCGGTTAAGCTTCCCGAAGATGGATGGGCCATGGCCATTCACGGCGAGGGTGTAGAGCAACCTTGTGCCGGCGAACAGAGCATGGTTGCCGGCTGAGAGAACGCTGGTTACGATGACGGCATTGATGAAGCTGCCTGCAACATGGCTGCCTGCCTGCTGGAAGACGATGGTAAAGGGGGAGGTCCGGGAGTCCTTGGTGGTCAACTCTGGGTAGTCATACGGGACGTTGAGACCAATCATGAGAATGGCGAGGATATAGAAGATGAGGATTCGCCAGAATACGTTGCGAATCACCTTGGGCATGTTGCGCGTGGGGTCTTTGGTCTCTCCAGCGGTGATGGCAATGGATTCCGTTCCTCCACTGGTCAACGAGTTAGTATAGAGTAAAAAAAAAAATTGATATATATGATTGATATATATGATTGATATATATGCTTGGTGTAACTGCAACTTACTATGCGAATGAGGCCGTGACGAACACGGAGGCAAAGCCACCAATTCCACCAACGAAGGGAGCATCTCCCTTGAGGAAGAAGCTGCCGCCAATATACTGATGGTCCACATTACCGCCACAGTTGACAACGATCCCAAGGATGATGAAGACCTGGAGTTGCACCGGATTAGAATCGCATGCCTGTTGGGTATTGGCTCCTTGATAGCAAGACGGCCACTTACGACTATAGTGATAACTTTGAGCAAACTGAGGATATATTCCATCTGCTCAATCTGTTAGCTCTTGTTTGCTAGAAGCAGGCGTGCGTGTATACATACTTCACCGTATGCTCTGACGGACACGATGTTCAGTCCGATCAGGACGAAGAGGAAGACGAGACTGAAAGCCCATCCTGGAAAGGAATCAGTCCAGTACTTCAGCAGAAGCTGCAGAGCAACCAAGTCTGCCGCCGTTGAAACCGCGTCGTTGAACCAGTAGTTCCATGTCAGAGCAAAGCCAAAGGCATCGTCCACGAAGCGTCTGCCGTAGTTAGCTTGTTATATCTCCTTGATGAAGACGGCCAGCTTACCCAGCATATGTACAGAAAGACCCGGCAATGGGGATGAAGGTGGCCATCTCACCGAGAGACAGCATCGTGATGAAGACGATGGCTCCCACGATGGAGTACGATATCAACATCGACGCAGGGCCTCCGGTGGCCAGCGACTTGCCCGTCCCCAAGAAGAGTCCGGTTCCAATCGTGCCGGCGATGGCAATCATCTGCACCTGGCGAGCAGAAAGCTGGCGGGCGAGCTTGTCTGATACCACCAGCGCAGCTCCGTCGCTCTTCTCTGCGCCTGGCGAGCTCGACTTTTCCACATCACGGCTGTCATAAACGACGGACGGCTTGATCTCGTCTGCCATCTTGTCTCCCTCTCCCTCTTTATATACAGAACCCGGAAGGGTTATCCAAAGGACAGAAACACGCCCCGTACCCGGTCAATCTCTCTATAACCAGCACATATCAAGCCCGAGACGGTGATATATATACAGATATATACCCTTGACTTTATATCCAACAGATAAAAAGAGGGTGGCGGGAAAATTTCGATGCTTATATTGCGGTCCCCGTTTGGATTCTCTGCCAAACCAGCCCCCAGATGGACCAGAAAACCGACGGAAAAGAGAGAGAGAAAAGAGCCCAAAGAGCTTAAAGACGGGAAGTTTCTATTATTAAGCCAAGCAAGAAGGAGAAGACGGTCTTTCTATCTCTCCAAGTCCTTAGGCTTGCTGGGCTGCGGCTTGGCCTGTATACCGGGTGCACTATGTATACGGGCAGAGGGTATGGAAAGAAAGGAAGAAGACGGCCCTCTGGGACAGAAAGACAGGCGGTTGGAGAGACTGCTTGACGTTTCCCGACATCCCTGTGCCTGGAAGCCATCCAACTGGTCCTTTTTTCGCTGTCCTTCTGCCTCTTCTGGCCCATGGAACGGATGGGATCTCGTACAATCCTGGTCGATATAGCGATGCAGCCCCAGTCCTGGGCCGTCCAGCTGGTTGACCCCGCAAAGGAATAAGGAATTACGATGTAACGGCGGAGAATATTGAACAGCATCAGAGTGGAAAGCATTCTACTTTGCATGATCCACCAGGGTGATGCGATGTTGGTGCGATTTGACGAATATATACTACGGATGATTAACTACCAATTGGAAGAGTGATATATTTATCGTAGGTATAAGACGCTCTTTTTATACATGAAGAAACAAGTTGATCATCCAAGAAGGCCGCTGGCAAAGGCTTCCAGATCCTCCAGCGTTTGCATCTCGGCTGGCTCGTCGAAAGTGACCTTCTTCTTCTCCTTTTTATCGACAGCATCGCCATCTTCCCGGACCTTCTTCTGCTTCTTACTCGGCGGAGGCCTGCCTTTGGCATCGTCCATTTCACCGTGTCCATCCTCGAATGGCGCAAGGACGGCAGCTGGACCCTCTTCTTCAGCGGCGGCCTCTCGCTCTGCCCTCGCCCTCTCTCTTCGCTGCTCTTTCTTCTCCCGCTTCTTCTGCTTCGCAATCTCCTTGTCGCGGATATCTGCCAGCCGTGCTCGCTCGGCCTCAAGCTCGAGGAACTTGGCCCTCTGTTCTGCCGCATCTCCTCGTTTCCTAAAGTCTTCCTCGTCCTCGAGCTCGTAGATCTCATGGGCGTTGCCGTCGTCATCGTAAACAAGTTTCTTGCCGGGGTTCTTGTACTTGAGAAGCTTCTTCTTGGACTGTAGGAGCTTCTCTCGTCGATTCGAGTCTATGAGCAAGGGCTCCCTGCCTTCGATGTGCACTGCTCGAACTCCTCCGGCCACTTTCTTTACCTGCGTATCGGAGTCCTTCGTAGACGGATCGTCGACCTCGTCTTCAACCTCATATCTTCGTTTGACAGCAAGGAAATCGTCGTCACCGTTCGTAGCGTCGTTCTTCTTACTGCCATCTCTGTCCTCTGCCTCTTCGTAGATAAGTTTCGTGTAGTGTTCGGTGAAGACGTCTTGGTTCCTCCTCTCGAACATCCTGTCATACTTGGTCCGTACTTCGGGCTGCTTGGCTTTTTTCTTCTTGCTCTCAGCATCTTCATTCTCGTCCTGTTCATCCTCATCGTCACTGGAGACAAGCTGCAGACGTCTGGGAGCATTCTTCAGCGACTTAGTATCCTCTCCCTTGATAAATTTGATGCGCGGCGCACCGGGAAGCCCCAAGCTAGCTGCGAACTCTTCCAAAGGCAGCGCCTTCACATCAAATACCTCCTTATCCTTTTGGATATGTATTGATTTAACATATGAGGTAAATGCCTTTTGCCCGAGATACTTGAGTTGTGGGTCTTTGAAGCACATATTTTGTAACTGATGCTTTATACTCTGCTGCTTGTTTGCTCGAATATTTATCTTTTCGATCGGTATCTTTTTCTGCTCGAGACGAGACAGCATGCCTATCTCTTCGCTCGGGTCGAGGAATAGCACGGCTCGGCCGTCTCGCTCGTACCGTGCGGTCCGTCCTACCCGGTGTATATACGTGTCTGAGTCCTCAGGGCAGTCCAGCTGAATAACCCAGTCAACGGCCGGGAAGTCGAGACCTCTCGCAACCACATCCGTAGCGAACAGACATGAGTTCTTTGAAGTCGAGAATTTATGTGTGATATCCACTCGCGCACCCTGTTTCTGTCTGCCGTGAAGATGCAGAAGCGGTATACCGGGCTGCATCTGCCTGAAAGCCTCGTAAACGAACCGGACCTCTTTACTCGAGGAAAAGAACACAATAATCTTCGATTTCAAACTGCTTCGGATGAAGCTCCATAGCGTATCCAACTTGTCGGGCAACGGTGTTACAACATAATGCTGCTGCAGGGTCGACGGCGTCGCACTCGAGGCAGCCTCATGGACCGAAATGTATTCTGGATCCCGTAGGCTCAACCGAGCAAGGTCAGACACTTTCTTCGTCTGGGTGGCACTGAACAGCATTGTCTGTCTCTCCTTGGGAAGGTGTTCCACAATAGCATCTACTGTGCTCTGGAAACCCATGTCCATAATCCGATCTGCCTCATCCAACACCAACATCTGTATATTATCCGTATCAAACGCTGCCGTCTGGTCCATGTGCTGCAGCATACGGCCGGGAGTGCACACAAGAATATTCATCCTCCCCAAACGCTCCTGTTCCTCCTGTAGACTCTTCCCTCCAATCACCAGTCCGGCAGAGAAGGTATGATAACGGCCGATTTTGCGTAGGACCTCGAATATCTGAATGGCCAATTCGCGAGTCGGCGATATTATCAGCGCTCCCAATCCATCGTACTCCGTCCATTGTTTGCGAAACAGGTTTTCCAGGACGGGGACGAGGAATGCCAGCGTCTTTCCACTCCCCGTTTTGGCTGCACCGAGAATGTCTCGTCCTTGCAGCGCATGCGGGATCCCACGGGCTTGAATATCCGTCAGCGTCTTGAAATGCGAGGCAGACAATCCCAGCCTCGTTGGCTCAGAGAGAGGGAGGTCAGTAAAGCTTTCAATCGCAGCTTTGGCATCGAGCTCTGCCACTCGCTCTTTGAGCGTTGCGATATCATCTTCGTTCCGTTTTCGTTTCAGCGTCCTGGCATTCTGACGAGGCGGTTTCGACGATAGCTTCCCGCTCCGCGATGAATGATCCTTTGCCATCGTAGGCTGATTTTATTATTATCGCCGCAACTTGTTCTTCTTCTTCTTCCATCTTGAGCTTTTTTGAGAAGCCAAAAAAAAAAACTTCTGCTTAGTCATCTTATCGATAAAGAATATCAAAAGGCGCAAAGTTGAAAGTCGAAACGATCAAGCGTATTGGAGGGTTTGGAAAAAGGAATTCAGATTGACACGCGGAATTGAGAGCACCAGCGGTGATATTAGGACGAGAGAGTATGGCGGCAGACGGCGAGCTCGATGCCCTCGATTCGCTTAACTCCCTGGAGAAAGAAGCCTCGGAGTTCAACAAGGTAAGACTACGCCAAAGTCCTTCGAGAGATTCCATAGCTAAACAGCGGGCTACAACATAGGATGCAGAGATCGACCGCATACGAAAGGCCTTTCAATTAGACGCGTATGTACCTTGAAGCTTGCTTTTTCCATTGTATCTGATGAGAAGCACGGAACTAACGCCGTATTAGATACGCAGTTCTCGACCTGCAGCCTGGAGTACCAGACTCGGACATAAAAGTACAATATCGAAAGAAATCTCTCCTCATCCATCCCGATAAAACATCCAATCCAGCTGCGCCAGACGCGTTCGACCGTCTCAAGAAAGCGCAGACAGCTCTACTTGATGAAAAGCAGCGAGCACATCTCGACGAATGCATAGCAGACGCGCGACGACTGCTAATACGAGAACACAAATATACCCTGGACTCACCGGAGCTTAAGACAGAAAAGTTCAAAGAAGAATGGAGAAAGAAGACGGTGTTTGTGTTGTTGGAGGAGGAGGCGAGACGGAGGAGGCAGTTGAAGGGTAGGATGCAGGAGGAGGGAAGAGAAAAGCAGAGAGAAGAAGAGGAGTTAGAGGCCAGGAAGAGGAAAAGGGACGAGGAGAAGGCGTGGGAGGAGTCTAGAGACACTCGCATAGGGAGCTGGAGGGACTGGCAGAAGGGTAGGAAAGGTGGTGACAAAGGCGAGGGAAAGAAAAAGAAGAAAATGAAGGTATTGGGATAGGCGGGTGCATCGGGCTGCTGGAACTGGCATTTGTGTTTGTCTTCATGAAGTTTTGATCTGAGGGTTTACGGTGGTCTCGATACTGGAGTTTGAAGGTGCTTAGATTGCTATTGTGTGCTTCATATGAGCCCCATATATACTTCATGAAATATACCTAGCATGGGTAACGTACATATGCATGCTAATGAGCTTTTCATATTTAACAGGGTATTTCCGTATAGCTGCTGTTAAACACGATTAATAAGTCATTGATTTGTGCCACCAGCAGCTAATAAGACGCTTGCAGTATAGAATAATCTGTAAGGTAAAATGCCGTCGAAGTAACTAGTCACACCACAGCTCGGCTGTAATAGATCAAAGAGAAAAAAGTACACAGGTATTACAAAATGTAAGTTATAAAAATACATCTTGTCAGCAGGTATAGACGCTGAAGAGGAAGTCACAGTGATAATCGTCCCGAAAAAAGGGTAATATTAGACAAAGAATAGGAGAACCATGCAGATGTAGGTGCAGGAGGTACGGAGAATGGGACGGGAGATACCACGTTAAACCTCTTCGTTTCGCTTCTGGGCTTCTAGAACTGCGCGCTCCCAGCTTGTCTGGGTTAAGAATATACCTTCAATCAGACCAACAAGGAACAGGCCTATGGCAACACCGCCCCATAGACCCCAGAGATCCCAATGAAGCCCGAATGCAGTAGCCATACCGATAGGAAGTGCTACAACATAGTAGCAGAAGAGTTGGGTATATCCTCCGATAGACTGCCTTCCGAGGCCGCGGAGGACACCGTTACAATTAGTGGCAAAAGCATCAAAGAGTTGGAAGGAGGCGCAAAGTGGAAGAACGGCGGCGATCAGCTCAATCACCTCCTCGTCAGAGGTAAATAGGGCAGGGATGTAAAATCGAAGGGTGGAGAGGAGGGTAATGTTGATAATACCTACGATAATGGCGGCGGACATGTTGACCTTGGCAGCGATGCGCGCCGCATCCGGAAGAGAGGCACCAATGAAGTTTGCAATTCGGGTACTTCCAGCGATAGAGAGAGGAAAGGGGATTTGGAACATGATACCAGCGATAGTTGCAAGGACCGACTGGGCCGCGAGAGTTGTGGTGCCGAGGTAGGCCGCCGCGAGAGTGAGAATCTCGAACGCGAGGACTTCTGCTTCCATCATTAGGAAACCGGGGAGGGCGAGACGAACCATAGGGCCCCAGTTCTGGAAGGCTCGGTAAGAGAATCCATTCCAGCATTCCCTGCCAGCAAAGAAATAGACATAGATAAATAGAAGGATAGGGAGGAGGTTGTCCGTAGCAATCACCGCAATAGGAGCACCCACAAACCCCATTTCAAGTTTCTAGAAGTAAGAATTAGTTAGAATTATAGCCGGGAGTAAAAAATAAATAGGATTGTAGAATACCCAAACAAAGAACCAGTTCATAAACGCGTTGGCAGGGGCGCCGATTAGGAGAACATAGAGAGAGGCAGAGAAAAGGCCCTGGGCCTGCACATATCGTTTGGCAGCCTCAAAGAGCGCATACCCCGGCGCTCCAAGAATGGCAACCTTCAGGTAAAGTCCAGCAAGGTCAGCAACGTCCTTGTTGGGAACAATAGCTCCCAATACACGGCCAGCAAAGAACCAGAAAATGGCAATCGGGATGGTAATGGTCCAGAGGAAGCAGACCATTCTCTGCGTCTGGAGACCGACGAGTTTCTTATTTCCCGAGCCATATGCCTGTGCACAGAGAGTGTCTAAACTGGTCGCAAGCCCCTGATAGACCGCATAGCCACTGATATTTGCCGTCATGCTGGCCAAGCTGACGGCAGCTAACTGGACCTTGCCTAGGTGCCCCACGGTGAAGATACTAGCAATAGTAAGAGAGTACTGGAGGACGAAGCTGAGTATCAGGGGAGCACTGTACTCCACTAACACCTTTGCCTCTCTCGCCCATGTTGTTTGGATCAATCCCGCCATTACAGCATCGTCCCACTTCTGGTCAATGGCTGCATCAGCAGAATCACCAGCTCCACCCTCGGTCCCGTTGGTCCCGTTGGAAGCATCCTGCGCATTCCCCAGAAGCGAGGTGGTCTCTGTTGGCTCAGCAGCAGCCCCAACATCCGCAGATGGCTTTGACCCTCCTCCGTTTGTCTTGCGTGCCGGGCAATGTATAGCATTATCCTCCAGCAGCGTTCGCTCTTCCTCCCGGGCTCGCTCCCACTCAGCATCCGTCAAGCTATCTGCCTCGAGGGTATGCGGGACGACAGTTCCTCGAGGACCGCCCATGGTGAAGAAGCTAGGTCTCCTATATGACCCGGTTAGGGAGCGAGAGCTGCTGATCGTCCTGGCAAGCGGAGAGGTTCCAGAGACGCTCTCGATGTCATCACCGGTAGCCCGCGACGGGATATTCTTTGACGATGACGGCATCCTGGAGACTCCGGCTGCGGGTGCTTCTGCAATTGATCGTGTTGACTTTGTGCAGACAAACGGAGTGACGAACGGGAGAGCAAGCAAGCGGGAGCCAGCAGGATCTTATCCTCCAGGCGAGAAAAAGCAATTATCCATGTCCTCCAATCCAACACGAGAAGCAATGGCACAAGGGCGTATCCACCATCTTATTCTCCATGGCACTTCCGGCTGCTGCTGTCATGTTCTTGACGCAAAAAACATCAAAGAAATCCTGGTTTGTTTTGCTTTCTGGTTGACATCAAAACATCAAGAAAGATTTTTGTACTTGGTGATGCCCGATTAGGAAGGTACATGCAGTCACATGACAGTGATCTCGTGACGTCCATTTTGGGAAGAAAAGAAGAAGAAGAAAACGCAGAGTGAAAGAAGATGTTGAAGAGATAGAAGAGACAGACTGAAGAGAGTAGAGATACAGGATAAAAAAAGACCATGTCACACGTCCCAGAGGCAGATATCGAAGATGAGCCCTCTGGCCATCCTTTTGGCCTGCTATCGAACCCCCTCAAAATCAAACCAGTGAACGTCACCAAGTTCGTATCAACCGGATATATATCTATATCTTAACAATATATATGAGCAGCTAGTCCTGCCATCTCCGTTTCCTCTGTTCCTTATGTCGATAGACAGCAAGCTAATATGCAAGGTTAACAGGCAAGTTGCGTCTAAAAAACGGGTCGTCTTCACCAAGCCCATCTTTGGAGCTCTGTTGCTCGAGAACAGCGCATCGGATGCACGAGACCACTGTGCCAACGAGCGCACCTTTCTAGCATGGCTCCGGCTCTCCATGTATCTCTCGATCGTGTCGAGTGCCATCGTCCTATCCTTCCACCTTCGAGCACAGCCCACGGCGCTGGAGCGTCACTATGCCCTCCCGCTCGGGATACTGTTTTGGGTCCTCTCCATAGGGACCATCATCAGTGGAGTTGCAAACTACATCCACACATTGGCCAAGTATAGTCGGCGTGCTGCTTTGGTTCAGAGCGGCTGGAAGACACAGGTTATCTTCTGTATCGTTGCGGTTGTTATTATCGGGACTTGCATTCTCTTCTTGAGTACTAACAGGAGGTACGTTCGCCCATGATTTTGGTAAATAATGTTTCACCGACTAACATATTACAGAACGATGTCTACTTAGATTCTCTTCCACTTAGAGTCGGGATGGTTACATGTTGTTTGTTTACACGGCATTGCGTTGCTTCTTTCGTTTGATACCCTTCGTTAGGCAACCTCCCTAACTTGCATTCATACCCTCGTTGCGGGCAGTGTTGCTGGTGCATTCGTTTTACACATATTTTCTTTCAGCGTTTAGCATTCAAGGTTTGTGGATATATCATTCATTCCGGGTACTTATTTTATAATCAATCTTATTTCGTAACTCAAGGCCATCACAATTCGTTTGTATATTCATCAGCACTTTATAAACCCGAACATTAAACCCGAACATTATTTTCTAGAACCCGAACTAGCCAATATGCCTTCGTCCATCTACATTCTACATATCTTCTCGTCGTTGACGTATTTCTTGAAAGAGTCGGTGCCAAAGTTCTCCCACCACTCGAACAGCTTGTCTTCACAGATAAGCTTGAACCACGGGGTGAACTTATTGCTTGGGTCCTTGAACATCGCCTTCAGCTCATCGGGGGTGACATATTTAACATCACGAACTTCATTGGGGTTGGGGCTAAGGTCGACGTCTGCCTTGATAAAGAGGATGTAGTCGACTACATTATATCCGTTAGCTCCCGTTGACCACTCTCGTCGGAACTCAGAGACAGATACTCACCCTCATGTTCACCCCATTTTCCATCATCACCACTGGGGGCGAGATAGTGAATTCTGGTGAGAAAGTCGAACTTGTCCGCAGGAACCTGGGCTTCCTTGATTCCCAGCTCCTGGTCCAGTTTCCTCCTTGCTGCAGAGCGGGCACCCTTTACGGCCTCAGCAAGGGGCGATCCGCTCGCCTCCATCTCGCTGGGGATAGCAAGAGGATGGGAGCAGCAGGTGTTGGTCCATAGATCCGGGAAGGTGATTTTCTCTGTGGCGCGTTGCTGGAGTAAAAGACGGTTCTGAGAGTCAAACAGGAAAACGGAGAATGCGCGGTGAAGCAGTCCACGGCTGATGTTGGTCATTAGGTGGCCTGCATGAAACAGTCACACAAGTTAGCTGGCTCACAAACTTGTACCTGTACATAGAGAATCGTAACCTACAAGTCTTCTTGCTTCCAGATGCAATGGGCTGTCGTCAGTGTCAACAACAATGCACATCTCATCCATGAGCTTGACCTGGTCCTCGTGTAGCCGTCGAGCTCTCCTCCCAGCTGGGCAGAGCTCACGCCGCCAAACTGTGTGTCAACGTCCGGGAATAACCTCGCAACGTTGCCTGCCGTGATGGCCTCAGTTACACTGGTGGTAGTCGACATGGCGATGGCACAGCGCTGGCGTCTCACGCAAGGGACCGAAGGGATCAGGCGGATGCAAGCAGATTTCTTTTCAAAACGGCGCGCACACACAAGTATTGCAGACAAACAATCAAGGACTGTCGACGCCGATGGCAATTCAAAGCAGCAGAGACGAAAAGGAAATAGGATGCGGCGACGGAGAGAGAGGACGACGTTGTTGTCTTCTATCTCGGCGCAAATTTCAGCGGCGTTGATATTGAAATATGGCTGAGTGGGGTAAAAAGGAAAAAACGGCCGCGGCGGATCAGATTGAAATCCTCAATATTTTGGCCCGTTCAAACGACTTTGATCCTCCTCTTCACCAGTATATGCCCCGATGCTCTTTTCTTTTTTCTCTCCATTTTCATCGACTGAGGCGCTGACTGGTTGCGGCGGTGTTTTTAGTGTTTATCCGGCCGCTGCCACGTAGAAGGGCCTTGAAGTCGTTGGCAACCAGCTTGACCCGCCTGGGGTATATACTGTTAGACCCCCAACAGCAAGGAAGAGCTTCCGTCGAGTTGATGGAGACCCTGAGCATGGCTCTACGGCTGTATCCTGGCCTCCTTTCTGCTATATCGAACGAGTTACCAGGTGAACTTTCCGCCATAGCTACATGGTTCAGGGGGATCGGGTGCCTCCGCCAGATTTTTTTCAAATCTACATTCCAATCATACGAATACAGCACGAACCGCATATGATCAGAGACATCTTCACGGGAGCAAGCAGGGGAAAGGATACAAATTAGATGTTGGAGGTTGGTCTCACTCCGGATGCATGACAGGAGATCCATGTTGCAAAATTAACGCCCATATGATGCCGCAATTGACTCTTCCTCAGTCTGCATCTTGCCGTTAGTCATCTGTAATTCGTTTTTACCAGAGGCGAAAAGGTGGTTCTTTTACCCTTCTTGTTAGAAGTCGGCCTGGCCGAGGCGCTGACAGTTGCTGTAAGACTGAGCCATCTCTTGTCTGCTGATGCATGCCTTTGACTGTTGTTACCCGCTTGCATTGTCAAGGGTAGAAACAAACGGAAAGCCGATCTACCAAACTCTTCAAACATCGACCAAGGCGTCGTTGCCCTGCATCCCTTGTCGACGGGTAGATGACTTCATTCTAGTTGATCATCTGGACGAACGGGAGGCGTGTCTAGTCAAAACCTTCACCACAGCTTCGAAAGAAATCACAGGGGTAAAAAAGTGTTACGTGCAGCAAGTCTCCGTTGACGAGCCTTGGTTGAAGTTGGATGTTGCAACATTTTGTGAAGGAAGACAATTGGTCAGTTGAAAGGGTCATTCCGTTGTGCATGCATCGCTGATCCACGGTCTCTCATCCCAGATACCTGGAGTTCAGCATCGTGCAACAGCCATGGAAATCAATCTTACTGGACTAGAAATCCTCTCTTTTGACTTTATGATGGTGATTTACTCGCATGTCGTCCTTCAAGAAGGAAATTCAAACGATAACATGTGTAGAGCAGGGTCGGCGCTAAGACAGGCATCAGTCCGTACGGCGTTGAGTTGGTGCTGTAGTTTACTGTTATTTAGTAAATTAGGCCCCCATAAACCAACAGCCAATACCATCTTTCTACCCTGCTGTAAACAGAGACAAAAATGGTAAAACTATCCATGGACTACCCTTCAGCCCTGTGGTGCAAACGGGACGCGAAGTGAGCTTGAATGTGCCCTTCCAGGCCGTGAGGGGTTTAAGGGGCCAGAATATCGGTCTGGCAAATGATTCTGTGTGTATTGATATTCCTTTTGGCTGACACAGGAACTAGAAAAGTGAATCCCATGCATACACTTACATAGTTCAGACGACAAGCGATCACGTCAAACTAGTCAAAAGTGATACCTCCCCTTTCCAGAACAGTACATAGAAGGATTTTTATCAGGCACACAGGAAGTAAACGTAGAGTGTAAAGAAAGGTGTCCAAATTGAAATCGCTCGAACAAACCGTGTAGATCATAGGCATGGCGGCGTGTTCCGATATGTTCGCTTAAAGGAGTTTGTCTTCAGAGAGTAACCGTGGTTGGGGCCTCCAGGGCGGGAAAAAAGTAAAGAGGCGAAAATATCCAGAATATGCAGTCGGCCTTAAGGCTTATGCAAGACCCAGCTGTATATGGAATAGTGCCGCCAAACGGGCCGAATTAGGGCAGTAAAGAACATGATGGGGGTTTCAAGGGAAAGCAAGAAGATAGATACAAATTTAACTAAATTAGCCATCGGGTGTATGCATAGTACTCAACCGTGTTGGATGCATGATTTATAACTGTTGGATATATACACATATATTTGTAGGTAAATATCCTTTTCTAGGTCAGATGCAAAAGAGTGGATAGGTGACTTGTAAAATGACGGGATCAAGCAGTTCGGTCATGCACTGAGGAGAAAAAGATAAAAAAGACAAGAATGTGCAGGGCAATCATCTTCAAAGATATCAGAGTCAGCCACTATCTTGTTTGTTCTCTTTAAAGTCCCTAAGCTGATCAGTGTTTCATCATAAAAAAGCACAGACGGCCGGAAAAAGCCAAGACTCCAAAATAAAAATAAAGAAATAAAGTTAAGTGGGGCCTTCCTGCATCGAAAAATTCTAGAAGGAAGTGGAGACCGGGACCTGAGCTAGTCCTGATCCGGTTATCAGGCGCCTAAAAACCTTTGTCAACGCCGGACAGCGCATGCATGCTATGTAGGCAGGAAGGGGAGAGGGGAGAGTCAGCAATAACCATTACGAGTGCGAAGGACCACCAGCAGTTAATAATTCCATTGCATATATATGCTAGAGTCAACGACCAGCGCTTACTCTCTCGTCACTTGCTATCCTATGAAAAGTAAATATGCTTCAATCCATCCCCTGCTGGATCCTTGGTACTTGCTCTCTTCCCCCTCAAAAGGACGTTAGGAAAAAGGGGGCTGTCACCTTCCCCCACATGTAGCATCGCCTCCTCCAAGCCTATCGCTTCTTCACCAACATAGACTCCTGCTTGACTTATGGGTAAAATATAGTCTGGCGCTAAACAGGTGTCCAATCAAGAAATAAGGGAAAACACGGAAGGGGGCCAAATGGGAAAGTTGAAAATGCCTGTTTGTTGATCAAGACTTGGAACAAAGAGTCAATCAGGTAAGGTGGGTATTTCAGAACTGAAGAAATTCACCGCGGGAAGGTCGTGGATCAGGGGTTCACTACTCGAACTCCGGGGCCAAGGAAAAAGAAATTCATGATAGTGGGGGAGGAAGAAGAGAGGCCATCTTTTTTTTTTTACCGCTTAGGTATGAGATGAAAGGCCGGTACTGGCCACATAGAGAGAAGGAGATGCATAGACCCGGAAGTAATATAAAAACAAAATTAATATGAGAATAATAGTAATTCCCAAGTTGCGCCGGTAAATCTAAGAAAGGGAAAAAAAAGGAAAAAAAGGGAAAGAAAAAGAAAACAAAACAAACACGGCATGCGCCTTTTCGTGAGCTGAAATGGGAACATAGACCAAGATTGTGTCCTCATCCAGTGCGCCGTTCTATACGTTTAGGAATAAAAAACAAATAACGGGAGGCCAACGAAAGGTCCATTGGTTGTTGCTTTTCGAGTCATTGGTTCATGTCGTTTGATATGTTGTTGCCATTGTATTGATTCATATGTAGTCGTGGAAGGATTCATTACCAGAGTTTAGATATGGACTGACAAGCCCTGTTTGTAGCTGGGAATGCGTGGTGTATGCCGTAGCTGGTTCACGGTATGTTATGGAGGTCATTGGATAGGTGGGGCCGGCATCGAGGTTAGGCTGTGCCATTGTGGTAGCTACAATTTCTTCTTGATGATAGTGCTGTTGTTCTTGCTGCAGCTTTTCCAGAAGAGCTTGTCGGTGCTGCTGATATCTTCGGCAGCCATCCTCTCGATGTCTGTAATTAATTAGCATTGAGTCCCCATTAAGTATAGAGATAATAGTAATACCGTCGCAACGTATCCTGTCGAGCAAAACGATGTCCACACATTTCACAACCGAACCGCTTCAGCTTTTTATGCACCTGAAAAAAACAACGTAAATTAGTATCAAATGGATCAAAATCTTTAGACATGATACTTGATCAAAACTCACACTATCAACGTGTCGGATAAGGTCAGTCTTGCGGCTAAACTTATTGGTACACTGCCCGAATGTGCATTTGTGAGGGAATCTCCGGTTGGGGTCGTGTATCTTCATGTGTGATTTGCAATTTGAGTTCCGTGTAAACTGTCTTCCGCATTGATCACATTCGTATTTCGCATTCTCTACCATTCGCTTCTTCTTTGCAGGTTTTTCCACTTCAGGAGATGTCTGAGCAGGCTCAAAGGATCGCTTGCCTACTAACTTGTTGCAGTTTGAAGATCGTAATGGGGAACGGCGAGGTTTCTTTTGGCTCTCGACGAAGGGTTGCGATTTGAGAATTGGTACTCTTGGTTCCCGAGGCTGCCTTGCAGGGACAGAAGGCCCTATCTGTTGACGGAATGGGGGGAGGTCATCTAGATTAAAAAATGTTTGCTTCGCCGCATTGTCGTTTCCTATTATCTCCCAGTCGTCACTTATATCTCCGCTAAGAATCTGTGGTGACTGAACCGGGCTTGGAGTTACACCGTAGTTGGATGACATATCAGGCGCATAGATGTTGGACTGGATAGTTGAGCTGCTTGCCACTTTCATCAACGGAACAGGGCTTAAGAAACCAGCTGAAGAAGTATCGACATGATTGTTTGGAACATTGAAGGATGGCATTGAAGTGTTGGACATCATTTGGAGACTATCGTACGCTGAGAGTCCGGGGTAGGTAACGAGGCTAGAAGGAGTATTTGGAAAGCAGTGCCCGGCAATTGGCTCTCCTTGCCATCCTTGGGCAGCCTGAAGAAGTGATTGGGATGGCGAGCAGATGGACACCGATGGTCCTCCAGGTGGGACAGAACAGTTTAGTAGACCAAGACCAGCGGCTGACGAAGATTGAAGGGAGATTGCATCTGTATAAGCACAACTCCTGGGAGCTGTAGGGTAGCTGGTGGATTGTTGGCGCATTGTAAAAGAGTAACGAGGAGATGAGGGAAAATGTGAATTGGTGATATTTTCTGTCTCTTGATCAACAGGAGTCCAATCTAAATAGACATTCGACATACTCATGGGTCCTTTAAGTATTATAGAAGAGTTCCACTGTACTATAAGATGATGGGAGGAATGTGTATTCAAACGAAGGAAAGTATAATGGTATATATATCAGGAAACAGAGAAGAAATGTAGGATCGACACCATAGGCACTAAAGCACCCTGGTCTAAATCAGGCAACCTGCAAGAGCGCAGGCTTGGAGTGTTCCCGCATACCCCAAGGCTGATTTGCGGTTTGGGATGAACGCATCTCTATAGCAGCGGCATAGTAAGTCGTCGCGGTTCTCCGAGAGGAACCTGCATTTCTCTTAGGGCTATAGAGAGGTATGCAAATCGTTATGGAGAAGCAAAAAAAGAAAAAAAGAAAAAAAAAAGAAAAAAAGAAAAAATAGGAAAAAGGAAAAAGAAAGAAATAAGAAAAAAAGGAAAGGGAGGAAAAGCAAAATGACAGAAATGGACAGCAGGGGAAGACGACTGTGCAACTGCAAGGTGTCAGCCATACGGCCAACAAGGGAAATATTTGCAGGAGGAATTGCAAATTTGGCCGTAGGAAAAAGAAAACTGATTTTCACTCAAGGATTGTCGAGGTTGGGTGACAACCAGACCCGAGTGAATGGATTGGGGCGTGCATGCAAACCTTGCCCCCTACCTTTTTAGCCCTGTAAACCCCGAGGCATAGCCCTGGGTCAATAAGGGCGCACAGGGACTGAGAAGGGAGCAAAATGAAGAGCCCCAGGTTAGATAGCTGTCGATAGCTAGTGTCTGTTCCATGCAAAGGGCGAAATATGATGAAAAAAAAAAAGGGTCCAGATTTGAGAGCTATAGCTGCTGTATTGTATAGCTCTGGGGGCCATTTCCCTTGCGCTCTTCAACTCTGTAAAGTATTATCGGATAAGTAAAGGTTAATTTTGAGAATCTGTAGTTATGTAACGAGGCGGGGTATTTGCGAGCGAATTACTGGATGGTTTGTAACGCGAGCGGCGTCTATCAAAACGCAGATTTCTGTGTACTTCTCAGGGGTGAGGCTCACAACGGTTCAGAATTGGTTAGACTTTCACTTATTCCCCTGCTGCATCTTAATGTAGTCACGCTTATAGCTAGCGGTGAAGAGATGGTCTTTCAGATTTCCAGGATTGTATGCTCCGTAGAGCCCCAGGGTCTGGCTGTGTGCATTCTTCACAACTGATTATACCTCGTGGTTTGGTTGTTCTAAGTAATAGAAAGAACGATTCTTGCTGTCAAAGGTCACATCAACCAGGAGGCCTCCTAGGCCTTGGTCGTCCGTTAGTTGTGTTAAATCCGTAGGATCGAATCTTGGGCTCTGAGGCCATGAGGGAGTCCAAAGCTTCTGGACGAGGCTCTAGGATCAATTACTTGCTGGGAATAGATAAATCTGCATAGAGTTCAACGTGAGGCGACCCGCAGGTCGGGCAGCGGCCGGCCTGTTGCTCAGTATATGGGGCTCGGGCTGTGGATGAAGTGTGCGCTTCAGGAGTACGTGGATGCTTGAGACATCACATGCAATCTGCAGCGATAACATGCTCTATCATTGAGCCGAACAGTCTCTATCGTTGGAAATGTGTGTAATAACCTTTAGAATAATGCCTTACGGCCTGTGGGACAGGGAGATTTAGGCGCCGATGGAGATGGCCGGTACAAAAGATAGGGCGTGGCTAGTGAGACGAGTGTATGTTGACATTATCGGAATGGAGGCTTGAGGCTGTGTTCAGCACCGATAATGAGGCGGACATTGTTCTCTAGGGCAAGGGAGAGCCATTTAGACTGCAGGGCTACTCTCTGCTTTGAGAACCAGGTATAGACAGCTTCGATACTAAGGGTGACCGTAAGCCAACATAGCCCCCTTTTCAAAGGCAGAATTGTCCGGTTATGAAAATGAGGTGCAGGATAAATAACACTCCACTTTGTGCAATAGGCCAGCAGCACCATGTAAGATTCCAATAACAAGCTGTCAAATGCAGCCACTAAGCGACTGGGATAGTCACCTTTGCCTGGTTGTAATCAGCGATGACGGATAAATGGAAAAGGGGTCTTGAGCAATAAGGGCCGGTCAGACTCTGTCTACCGAGAATCTTTACCAGGAGGGCAGTAGATTGTTCTCCTTCTGGGGGCAGTCAGTCAGTTGTTGATAATCGTGATCTCTTGTAGATGCGTACTTGTGCTTGGCATGCTATCCTGCTAGCCAAAGGCCAATCGGAATATACTTGGCCCTGCAAGAAGCATTTAGCGCCTATGCGAATCTTGCCGCGAGATCCAATCGATTTTCCAAGACCACCCTAGTAATTTGAAATAGGGCCAGGAGAGCCGCGTTGACCAGGGTCCATGTCAGTGGACCTTTAAAAAAAGAGGCGCTCTCATCCAATCAATTCAGCCACCAAATTAATCGCATAGGAACGCTCACAACTGAGTTACGGTCATAGTCAGGATCCCATATTTCGCCCGCACTCTTACGGAACTTCCACGTTGCTATCTTGAGGCAGAGGTACAAACCCCGCATGCCTCGATAAGTGACTGTTCTTCCATATATCATTGAATACACAGGCGCTAATCGTAAAGAAGTATCGTCCAGATCTGTATTCTTTATACTGGAATAGATGGTTAAGCTTCAACGGCAACAAGCTATCCTTCGGGGAGTGTGAGGCCAAACTTATTGTGTCTAAGCCACGGTACATATACGGGGTTGGGTAGGTACCGTCCGCAGGCGAAAAATTACCGTTCGATAGTATTATTTGGTAATTTCCTGATTAATAGCTCAGCGCAAATACTAGAAAGGAGCAGCCCAGTCCACGGCGAGGCCTAGCACTAGCATGGAGTCGATGCATCCTAAACCGGCAGCAAATTCCCAGGGCTTCTATAGATACATCCCATATGCCTGTTTTTTTTGAGGCGGTGCACATGCCTAGGCCCTCAGGCGGGTGTTTTAAGCCGCTTCACAGTCCGGAAAAGCTGCGAAAATTGGGGGATCACAAACAGTCTCCGTCTGTAATAGGTCAACATTATTGATCGACCCTAGTGACTTGGTCGGAGTTTACCGTACGCTTCATTTTCCAGTTATGAAATCGGTCAACCCCGTAGGTTGAAGGGACCATGTTTGTTTCACACCAGGCCTGGCAAGGCACTTTAGGCAGAATCTGCAAATGGTGGATGCAAATCCTGGTAATATCGAAGAATGGATAGGATGGTGCTGGGTAACTGGATACTTTGGCGGATAGGCGGTGAGTAAGAGTCATTGAACTGTGTAGGAAGTCATCAAAATCAACGTTACCGCCGCAATAGGGCAGCTAATTTGGACGAAAGCATTGCATTGCACACTTCTCGCAGTATGCAGAGGGTATGAATGATAATGTGCCATCAACGAGAATCTGTCATATTTGCAATATTGTTGAGTAATCCAGTACTGCAGCAAGATATACCTTGTATAGTCAGTGAGGGTTGGTAGGCGTGGAGGAGTGTGCCACGAATGGAAAGACTTTGACAAGTATGTGCTCTGTGCTTTTGCAAATATGGGGATCCTAATCGTGGCTTTCATAGAATCGTTGGATATCGATGCGTCCTACAAGCGGACGGCGGCGCTTGCTGAAGTGCATTATAAAATTTAAATTCAACCGTCCACTGCCAATCGACCGATCGAATGATGCATCATCGAGAGTCCGGTAATAACAGGTAGGGTGAGAAGAGTATAAGCCACTTTGAAGGATGTGGGTGGGTGTAGGTTAAAAATAAAATGGCTCTTCTTATGAGTACACCGTGGATGGCACAGGCATTGCCGAAAAGGGAATATGGAACTCCCTACAACTCAAACGTTCTCTAGCAATCCATCGAGGTGCTTCGGCATTTTTTGAGAAGGTTCTGGAAGCTTTTCATCGACGTTTATTCACCACAACTTCCCGGGGTTGGATGGGGAAAAATAGAAACACGGCCCTGAAACGTGGCAAGGGGCACCACGCACGGCAGTGTTCTTCACTGGTGATTGTCATCCAGTCATCGAAAGCTATATTTGGAAAATAGGTGTCAATATATGATATGCAAATAGATGGAGTAAAGCTGCAATATATCTCTTAGCCGTGTCAGAATGGCGGGTTTGATAATTAAGAAGTAAATAGAAAAAAAGAAGTAAAAAAATAAAAATAGAAAAGGCTCTAGAATCTGCCTGATAGAACTAGATGCTGCAATATATGGACAGAACACACCGGAAATAGAAATATTCCCATGGCGCAGGAGTAATTAGCCGCCAGTCTGTATTTTTTAATGCGTGGTAGTTCCATCCACAGAGAGGGTATCATTGTTCATGGTAAAGAGAGAGTGGTCTACCATGAAACACAGATGAAGGTCACAAAGGGCGAAGAATTGACCAAAAGAAGTTCCATATATTCTCCAGAGTGCGAGATAACAGCTATAGAACTCTCTCCATCAACCGGTCAACGCGATCCTTTAAATCATTTGGTCGATTTTCTTCAGTATGAAAACTTTGAAGTTTCAGCCACTTTTGCACAGCCACAAATATATCATATTACATAATATTTCACTAGCCACAAATGGATTACATAAGCTTAGCTTTCTGACTTCAAGCTTCAAAGAAGCAAACAAGACGACGAGAAACCGTTTGCTGGCTTTCTTTGCGAAGCTGTTGTTCAGTGAATCTAATAGCGGTACTATGATATAATCTTCTGTATACTGTGGGTATACACGCAGCATCTCCCTTACCTCTTCAGATGAGATAGACCATAGCGATGCCTAGCCGATCAACATGGGTCAAGGCTACTCACTTACCTCGCTGTCTGCGGGCTCCGCCGGCATCGATGTCCCAGAGCTCGCGGACCTTACCTATGAGAGATCCCTAGGTACTGCCAGGTTCATGAAAAGCATTCGTGCCCGGCATCGTGATGGCCTAGCTTTTGTGAAAGTTATCATGAAACCATACCCAAGCCTGAAGCTAGACCCTTATGTCAAAGCTATTATGCGTATGCCCTCCCTAGCCACAGTGACGACTCTTTCTCTCCCAAACACATGGAATATGCCCTGTAAATTAACTATGTCCTTTAAACAGGTGAGCGGAGGCTGCTGGAAGGCGTCCCTAATGCGCTCGGATACCAGCGGATACTCGAAACTAGTACTGCTGGTTATCTTGTTCGTCAGTACATCTACAGCTCACTCTATGATCGAATGAGGTTTGTATTCCTATCTATGCCTAAAACTGCCTATCTTCCGAGCCTATACTAACTCCGGGGACAGCACTCGCCCGTTCTTGGAGGATATTGAGAAAAAATGGATGGCTTTCCAGCTCTTATGCGCTCTACGAGACTGCCATGCACAGAATGTTTTTCATGGGGATATCAAAACAGAAAATGTTCTGGTAACATCGTGGAACTGGCTATACCTCTCCGACTTTTCGTCCTCTTTCAAGCCAACATTCCTTCCTGAGGATAATCCTGCGGATTTTTCCTTTTATTTCGACACCTCTGGCCGGAGAACTTGCTACCTGGCTCCAGAGCGATTTTTGGAAGCAGGAGAAGATCCAGGCAGCCGCTCAGTAAACTGGGCAATGGATGTCTTTAGCGCAGGTTGCGTTATTGCGGAGCTTTTCCTCGAATCTCCTATCTTCACGTTGAGCCAACTCTATAAGTATCGAAAGGGAGAATACAGCCCACAAACAGGACGTTTGATGGAGATTGAAGATCTTGATATTAGAGAGTTGATCATTCATATGATTCAGCTCAACCCTGAGTCGCGATATTCGGCAGAGGAGTGTATTAATTTTTGGCGCCGCAAGGCATTTCCAGAGTACTTTTATGGATTCCTCCATCAATATATGGGCTTAATAACGGAACCTTCACCAGGACGAACACGCGACGAGTCCACACCACTCGATCTAAAAGAAGCAGATGAAAGGATAAGCCGCATCTTTGTCGACTTTGACAAAATATCCTACTTCCTTGGAGCTTCTCCTCAGATTTTGTTTGACGGGTCCCAGGTAGCGTCTCCGTCTCTCACACAGCAGCCATTTCCATTACAGCTGGATTTGCCCAAGGTTGGGAATCAACAAATATCAAAGCCTCTCTCAGCAACGGATGATGGCACCCTCATATTCCTCACCCTTGTTGTTTCAAGTCTACGGAATACAAGTAAATCGTCTGCCCGGATCAAAGCATGTGATATTCTACTTGCATTCGCTGAGAAACTCCCGGATGAGGCGAAACTAGACAGAATACTTCCGTTCATTATATTGCTACTAAATGATCGTGCAGATAATGTGAAAGTTTCTGCAATCAGAACGCTGACCCAGCTTCTCGCCATGGTGAAAGTCGTTTCACCTGTCAATGCCTATGTGGTTCCTGAATATATCTTCCCAAGGCTTCAGCATCTCATTAATACCTTACCTTCCAACCCTACTCCCATGGTGAGAGCAGCGTACGCTTCGTCCATAGCTTCATTAGCACATTCGTCACTCAGAATTCTTGATATGGTTCAGGCACTGCGGTCTGATGCTCGGCTAACGTCTCTTGTCCCATCGGGCTCCGAACGTGGCTGGGAAGAAGAAATATCATACCACAACCTCTATGATGTCGCAAGAGTAGATTTGCTTGAATTCTTCGAGGCCCATGCAAAGGCACTCTTGACCGATCCAGACGTTGTAGTGCGTCGTGCATTTCTTGGCTCGGTCCCAGGACTATGCGTTTTCTTTGGCAACCCAAAAGCGAATGAGGTTGTCCTTAGCCATCTTAATACCTACCTTAACGATAAGGACTGGATTTTGAAATGCGCATTTTTCGAGACCGTCGTTGGTGTGGCTGCTTACGTTGGTAGTACATCCCTAGAAGAGTTCATCCTACCATTAATAGTCCAGTCCATGACCGACCCAGAAGAATTTGTGGTCGAGCGTGTACTACGGTCGCTTGCCAAAATGTCAAGACTTGGTCTCTTCCAGCGTTCTACCACCTGGGATTTACTCAGCATTGCAGTGCGATTTTTTGTACATCCTAGCATATGGATACGAGAAGCGGCTGTGAGCTTTGTCGTGGACGCTACTACATTTTTATCCGCAACTGATAAATACTGTATTGTCAGCCCCCTAGTCAGACCGTTCCTCAAGACGAACACTACAGATATATCGACGGCCCAGATATTTGACGCTCTTAAGAAACCACTTCCCAAGAACGTTTTTGACATGTTGCTAGTATGGGCAACTAACGTGGATAAAGGTCTCTTCTGGAAAGCTGTTGCCCAAGATGGGACATTCTCATTGGGAGGGTCAAATATTCCCAAATTACGGCATCGCGGGGTTGGCTCTTCTCTGAGTAACATGCCACGGAATGAAGAGGATGATCAGTGGCTGTCAAGGCTCAGAAATATCGGCTTAACTCAAGAAAACGAGGCCAAATTCCTTGCACTCAGAGAGTATATCTGGAGGGTTGCCATGAGAAGGAAAAAAGATGCGGATGATGATAAAATTACCCCATTTGCGGAAATCATATCATTAAGCGAACATGACATCACCCCCCAGACTGTCTTGTTTGATAGGAAACAAGGGGTTAGTCGGTCACGGCCTGCACCAAGAAAGACCCAGCTTGGTCACGGAGTCAGAAAACCCCACACAATTGCTGATGCATTGCTAGATGCTTCCACAGCAATTGATTCACATAATGATGACCATCAAAGGCGGACAAGGCGTCCGGTACCTGAAGAGCGTGGTTCCAGTGTTCCCCCGAGCTTAATTCGTCCGGCTGAAATAAGGGATAGGCGGGAAGAAGAGTCACCTACGATTTCTCACGTTTCCTCATCCCCCAATGGCCAACCAGGTTCACTAAGCTCATCTACGTCGCCCTTATCAGATAGTCCCGCTCAAAATCCAGTAGAATTGAATACAATGAGGAACGATGGAAACGGTCCTGTTCGAGCCGGCACTCCTTCATTAAGGGTAGCAGGAGGTGATGTCAAACGCCGCTCAAGCGCTATAAACCTCCTGAACCGCCAGGAAAATTCTAAGGCAAATGCTGCAACCGCTACTTCATCCACAAATGCCTTTGGGAAAGTTGACGTTCCCCATCAGAGGGATCTCTCTCAGTTGTCTAGAGCTACTACACCAGATCCACAAAATAGTGGTGGACAAACACCTCGGCCCCGATATAAAGCCAGCCATACATATCAGGGGAATGATCCAACAATTTTAAGAATCTTGGACAATATATTTGCGGAAAATTACCCTACTGACCTCTTTGATTTTGGGCCGATAGTGCATCCGCCGGCTCAATGCACACCATTACATGGTCCTAATGGGCAGATTCCTGATAAGCCTTGGAGGCCTCAAGGCGGTCTCGTTGCAATGTTTGGAGAACATACTGGGCCGGTTAATCGGGTAGTAACCGCTCCTGACCATGCTTTCTTCATCACTGCCTCTGATGATGGTACATTGAAGATCTGGGACACAGCTCGTTTGGAAAGGAACCTAACTCCACGATCCCGTCAGACCCATCGACACGCCCCTGGAGCAAAAGTAAAGTGTGTGACGTTTGTGGAGAATACTTACACCTTTATTAGTGCAGCTACTGATGGAAGTGTCCATGCGGTGAGAGTGGACTATCAAAACCACCGTGACGTTATCCGCTACGGGAAATCACAACTAGTCCGAGAGTACCATATTACGCCAACTGACGGTGGAAGTGGCGAATATGCTGTCTGGATAGAACACTTTCGGACGGATGTACACTCGATATTACTCATGGCGACTAACAGGTCCCGCATAATTGCGCTGGATTTGAAGTCCATGACCGAGGTCTACACGCTTCAGAACCCCATTCGCCACGGTACTATAACTACCTTTTGCCTTGATAGAAAACACAATTGGCTTCTCGTGGGGACAACACATGGAATATTAGACCTTTGGGATCTTCGGTTCTGTGTACGTGTAAAGGCTTGGGGCTTACCAGGAGGAACCCCAATCCGCCGTCTTGCCATCCATCCCACAAAAGGCCGGGGGAGATGGGTATGCGTTGTTGGTGGTGGAAATAATGGCTCCGAAGTCCTGGTCTGGGACATTGATAGAGTGCAATGTAGGGAGGTTTACCGTACTATCAGTGCCTCTACTAGTCAGACGACCCCTGCCGCCGGACAGAAAGCTAATCTCAACGCCGATATAAGCTGTAAGGCCTACGAGCCGTGGAAAGTTGACGAAGACTTACCTGAAGGCATGCTGGGTCGCTTTGCAACAAATGCCCACCCATCGTCCGCCAGTATAGAGCCAACTGTGGCTGGCGAAAATTCCGCTGGAGGTGATCGAAATGCCATCTTTGCACTCGCCGTTGGGATTGACTACCTTGACGGTACGGCAGAGGGATCCAAATGCGGTTTCTTCGTAACCGCTGGATTAGATCGTAGTGTACGGTTCTGGGATGTAGTACACCCTGATGCGTCACTAGTTGTGAGTAGCCCAGATTTAGTCTCTGATGGGACCCAAATGCGGCCGAGATATGATACCACTCATCCTACCACATCTTTAACGATAACATCCGAATGGATACCCAGTGCTGGCTCATCACCAACCAGGCAAGGGGCAGCTTCTAATAAGAAGTCAAACTCCACGAATACAGGGAGCGGTATGCGTCCACCTCGGAGCACTGTAATCAGCCTACAGCAGCAACTGTTATTGAGAAGCCATCTTGATTCTATTCTTGATATTGCGATCTTGGAGTCTCCATATGCAATGACTGTGAGCGTGGACCGGGCTGGGATGATATATGTATTTCAATAATGTAGAAATTTACAAGGCCGATTTACATATAAGCAAAAATAATTATTCCTAATGACATAGATCTATCATTACGATATGTTAAAGCCCTAGGCTCGGACAGAGAATACTTTAAACAAGGTATATTAGTAGCTTCTGTTCTTTCTTGCTCCCTATGTAAGTGGCAAAGATATAGATGTAGATAACACAGAGAAGGAAAATGGATGCACCGCGAGTACCGGTTTATATACAGAGAATCTAAAAGACAGGATAAAATGCCCTAGGTATATCAAGACATAAATAGAAAGGGGGAAAGAAGGCTCAAGGATCAACCTGGGAATAATTTCGCTGGCACAACGCCATCCTGACCATGGAAACTGAAAAGACAAGCTTATTGGGAAAAAGGAGTGGGTATCTCAATGCTGAAAGAAAGTCATAAATAAGGAGAGACTTGAAATTATTTTTTTTTTTTGGTTTTTTAACAGCTGAAGAGTATAGGAAGTGCCCATGCAAATATATAAACCGTTATGCAGGAAAATGTCTCTAGGGTCTTATGGAAGGGCTGGTGATGGAACGTGTGATGAATGCAAAGACGTAGTCATTGCTTCGATGGCAGCGGATCGTCTGGAAAGAACATCTTCTCTCTTAACAACGTTTCGTAATGCCTCACTAGCTTGGATCAAACCATCAATGCTGATTGCATGGTTTGTCATCTGGTGGTTAAGATACGAATAAACAGCCGCTGGTGTGGAGCAAGTCGTCAGGAGCTGTTGCTCGTTAAGTTTGAGTAGCGCCAAAGCAACTTGGAAGAAGAAAGTGCTTCCCCCTCCATCGCTATTGGTACTGGTGACATCTCGGTCAACGGTAGAAAGAGATGCAGCTGCTTTTGGAGTGGAATTGGCACCTGCGGTTGCTTCGACGGATTCCTGGGGCGAGGTCGGAGTAATAGAAGAGAACGTAGTGGGAGCGTTGAGGCAGAAAACAACATCCCATACGCGATAGAGAGCTTCGGCTGACAGACAATCAGTGAAGATTGAAAGGAACCACTGGAAAGTTAGGGCTTCAAGTTCGATGCCTAGACCTTCAAAATGTGACCATAGATTTGGTAACACCTCAGAGACATACTGGCACAAAACTTGCTGATCTGCTCGCGAAGCGACAAGGCCATGGTCATAATAATGGGGCGGAAGAATATTTTCAATTATCGAAGCCAGGACCCAGAATGCATCTTCTGCTGTTGGTAAGATCAACAAGAGCGAGCCAGCAATCAGGTTCATGCCTTGACAATACCCAACTTTTGGATTGCGGCGAGAGTAAGCAAGAAGAACTTCATTCAGCCTCGCGACTCCCGGACCTTTTCGGAAGAAGATATTATCCGTTAGGGTACGGTGAATGTCCATAGCAATCTGAGCAGTAGCGCCAGGGTCCGCTTGGGTTGTTATATGCCCGTTGACGAGATCATCATAATATCCAGGGACGCGGAGAGCGGAGGCACCGCTACACTCAGACCAGATCTTAGCACGGTATGCAACGGGGATACCGGCTAGAACTAGATTCCTAAACTCTCTCCACTTGGCACGACCGATTTTGCCTTTGTTTCCAAGGCCAGCAATCCCAATGACCTCACCATCTGCTAGAGCTACTTCAGGCATATCGCGAGAAGGCTTGGAGCGGTCTGGAAGGGCTAACGCTGCAGTAGCTTCGCCTTCCTTCCGTCGTTCCGCACGCACCTTTCGCATGAATTCATTCCATTTCACAGTTCGATCTTGCTGCGACGCATCATGTAATTCCGTTAAACGTTGCAGTAATAGTTTTACTGGCTGCTGATCAGATACAGATGCCTCACGGGGGCTAACCTCTGTTCCTGCAAACTCAGCATGATTTGAGATGACCGCAGATGTAATTGCGGATGGTTGAGCAGGGCTATTTACCACAGACACTGCGCCGCTCTTACCAACAGCAATCGACGATACTCGTGGTTTTGGTAGGGCACTTTGTTCAACCGAGACGACAGGACAGGCTGCAGGCGTGTGCGATAGTAGCTCAGTAGGTTTTGTGGCAGTCTTTAGGTAGTCTTGCCATCTCCTAAGTCCAGAGCCACTACCATCAGCATCATCACCTGCAACAGGGAGTGCAACGTTACTGTTGCTATCCACCTTGGTAGAACCAGCTGCATTGGTAGGGCTAGGAATTTCCTCACTAGATCGGCTCGTATTCACCTCTCTTTGGCGGCGGTTCCTCCGTTGGTCGTAGATGAAGCCAAACCTGTCAGTGAGCAGGTCGCCCGGGTTATACTCCCCATGGATATAGGCAAGGGTGGGAGGACGGGATTCCATCGGTAGGATGGCATCCATCTCAACAGGTCCAAGATTAGTCGCTTCGCTGTCCGGGTGTGCACTCCCTGGAGTTCCTGTACCAGATGTACTCTGAACCCTCATACGTCGTGATTTTGCCGTATTATTCATAGTCGCATTACGCATACTTGACGATCCAGATGAGCGAACAGAAAGTTGCTGTACGCCGGTCGAACCGTTTATCCTGGTTAACGCGGCTAGAGCAGTCCCAGCAGGCTTAGATACACGGGGTGCGGGGGATTGGTTACTGTTCCTAGAATCTGGGTTTCTTGACGATGCGCGACTGCGAGGACCATCCTGGCCGTCTTTTCCCTTCCCAGAAAATAATTTGACGGTCCATGAAGCTACTGAGTTTGATGATCGTTGAGAGATAATGCTTCGATCGTCTCCGTCACCGGATTTGTATGCCGTTCCCTCGATCCCAAAACCAGTGGTGTCTGCGGCAGCCCCTGGAGGCTGGAATAGCTGTCCGTCAAGCACTTTTCGCCGATTTGAGGATGAGGCTGGGATGCGAAGCCCATCCCCCGCATCACTTCTCATACTATTAGCTCTGCTTTGTCTTTGGCTTGCCGTCGAAGTACCCCATATATAGTCTTGCCATCCGCGTCCAGTAGCTGCTGTAGGCTTTTTAGACGATCCTGCACTCGAGTTGCCGGACTTAGGGTCACTATCAGTCCGATGAGGTCTGATAGTGGCCTCCAAGTCACCCTTGTGGGAACCTACATCTTCCAGCATTGCCTGGTTCATCATATCATCGATGGAGGAGGTCAGACTTCTTTGTTCGGAAGAATAATCAGTCTTTGTGGTATCTAGGGAACCATCCGGTGGGTTCTCAAGCAGGTAGAGTCGCCGCTCGATATCGTGATTCGATACCTCTACTTCACGTAGCATCTTCTTCAATTCTCGTTCCCGGTCATCGGCACGTAGTCGCAAAGCCGATATCTCCGCGTCACGTAGTGCCAGATCCCTTGCAAACTGCCGAACCAACCTCACGGCTCCAGTCCGGGCAATCAGCCGTTCGATATGGTCATCACTCGCCAAGTGCAGCGCCCCAGGGACGTCCTGGGTGGATGCAAAGTCGCTAAACAGAGCAGCTCTACCGGAGAGCTGGGGCACAGTCGTAGTGAGGCCCTCCAGCGTTGCCTTCCGTCCACGCTCGCCATCCGGCTCTTTATCACTATTTTCAACCAGCAGCGCCCGACTCAGGGCATGGTTCAAGGCAGGCTCACCGAAGAACCCTTCTGGTGACCTATCCGGAGACAGAGACGGGAACGAGGTAAGGTCTGTGGCAGTATGTGTCGACGAGCATGTGCTCAACCGTTTGAGGGGTTTCGAACGGACTGTCTTCCCTCTCTGGCTTCGTATCGACGAGGTAGATGCCTGCGAGGAGGATCGTTTCTGGGCTTGGGCTTGGGCTTGGGCTCGAGCTCGCTCCTGGGGTTGTTCTACCGCTTCTCCCATTCTTTCATGGAGAGCTCAAAATGCTGATCTGATAATGATAAGAGGTTCCGGATTTCCCCCGCTGTCCAAAGAATACATGGAACGGGGGGAGTAACGCGGCGAGAAGAGGTCGGCTGACGGAAGAAGAGATGGACTGCTGGCTCTGTCGGTGAAAGTTCAAGTTCTGTGGTAGAATATACGATCATGGCAAGGATATATGGCGGATGTATCTTTTTTAACGCGGTCTGGCCTTCGCAAGAGAAAACCTAGCCCACTTGGAAAAAAAAAATAGAAAAAACAGGGAAAACCAAGTATTCCATACAAGCCTGTCCAGGTAGATGAGACTCAAATGTCAAACCTCATCGACTGCTGTGAAGCTGAGGATTCAAGTCGAGATGGAAGTTTTTGACGTTGAGAAAAGAATGAAAATAATAAAAATAAACAAATAAAATAAGAAATAAATAAAATAAAGCCAGGGCTGACCGCCTTCCCAAAATGGACCGCCCATGACGTGACACGTGTGGGATGCTCGGAGTTACTTTTCTCCTAGATGAGTAAGATGTTATGTAATGATGTTCATCCACGTGATGTATTAGTAATCAAACAGAAGATTTGTTTACGTTTGGCTGCCACATGGACGGTCTATATAGATATGCTTACTAGAGAGTGCGAGGAGCCCGGGGTAGACTGTAGTCAAAAATCTAAATGGCCATGCTATCACGTATGTACAAGCTCAAGGCTGATAAGACATGGTTAGAATGGAGAAAAGGCCTTCAGAGAGTAGTCTGGTATAAGAAAGAAAGACATTCGGTCCCCTAGTTGTGGGACTTGTTCACTCTACACTCGGCGGTAGCGAACTTCGAAGGGTCGGCCTCCGAGGTAGCGGTGAGGGTGACCTTGGCTCCCTCTTGGGCAGAGTTCTCGGCGCCGACAGCAACAGAGACAGTGACGGTCTTGCCAAATTCAGCGGTAGCCAGGGCGTTTGGCACCTCGACTCTCCAGCCACGGCCTTCGACGGTGGCCTTGAGGCGGTAGACATCGGACTTGAGGTACGCAGTGACGTCCTGGGGGTGCTTGACCTTGCCGGCAGCTGGGTTATAGGTTCCGGTGTTGTGGAGGGTGAAGGAGCAGGTTACGCCCTTGTCGGTTGGCTTGCTGATGCTGCTGGAGGTGACCTTTGCGTTCTTGTCTAGTTTGACGCCGCGCTTGTGGGGGTCCTTGCCGCCGACGTAGCGCACAGCAATGGTGTAGGAGAGGACGCCCTTCTCGTCACGGTGGGGGTCAATAATGTAGAACTGGAGCTTGTTGGCCTTGTCGGTGTATTCAAACTGACTTCCGGAGCGGGTACCAGCGTGGAAGAGGGCATCAGCCAGCTGGCGGTAGTCACCGATGCTGATCATGGCAGGGGTGCCGTCTGGTCGGTGGAAGTCAATCTGTTTGATATCCTGTGGGTTGGCGTCGATGGTCCACTGGTAGTTCGAGAAGGCCCTGTCCCTGGTCTTGCTGATCATGACGCCAGAGTCTGGGCAGAAGGAGTCAGCGCCCATGCGGTCAATGACTTCAACGTTGTAGTTGTTGTAGCCATTGCCATCACAGTAAGGGTCGGTCTTGATGTCACACTTGGGGGCGTTGTCGGCGTTCATGGCAACGTGGATACCGATCAATTCTCCCTTCTGTGGAACAATGACACGGGCAGTGACGCGGGCAACAACGAGGCCAGAGTTGGCCAACGCCTCGCGAGACACATTCAGGGCACTGTCCTTGGTGGTCAGTCCGAGTCTCAGCTTGTCGTGGAAAGTGTGCTGGGATCCCATAGAACCACCCTTAAGTGGTGGAACTTGCCAGCGGGTGTGTGGGCCTCCGGGACCGTTAAAGGAACCACGAGACATCATGGACCATGGGCCCGTGAATGAACGGCGGAGAGGGACGCCATAGGGGTTGTTATAGTTGTCTCCGACGTTGAGGAGATGGCTGAGCTCATGGGCAAAGGTACCCATTCCAGAGCTCTCAGCCTGAGTAGAGGAGCCATCGCCGGCATTCGGCCAGATAGCAGAGGCAGAGGCCCAGGAGGTCCACTCGACGTAGCGGGTTTTGGCATAGTTGGGCAGAGTCATGTTACCTGTGCCATTGCCTGGTGGAGGACCAAACGCAGCAGTGACATCTTCCTTGTTTTGGAACATGATCTCGCCGAACTCTTGCCATGTTGAAGATTCATCCTGACCAGCAGACAGGATGAAAACAAGTTCGTAGGACTTGGCCTTCTCCTCGCCGATGTCCTTGCGCCAGGCGCCGAGGGCGTCGTCGCGGATCTCGTAGTAGCAAGTCTCTCCAATTGGACAAGCACCAGCGTTCATCGACTCGCCAATGCCATACTGGTATGACTTCAATGGCATCTTGTATACGCCAAAGGTGGTCAGATCGACACCGAAACGGCCGTTCGAGTCTTCCATCCAGTACTCATGGAGGGTGTGACCGCGGTTGAGCTGTCCGGGCTTGTTGAGGAAATCACGGTAGAACGTGGGCACCTGGCTTCGTGTGACGTTCGGTGAGCCCTTTTGGGGGTTCTTGAAGACGTCGGTTTCCGGTGCCATGGTAATGGTGAAGGACTTGTCTGGATAATCAACATTTACCAGGGCGATGTTAAAGTTGCGGATCGAACCCTTTCGCGACGGGTCGTTCCACTTGGTGCCTGGAGGGGTCTTGAAGTCGGCCCAGGTCATATTATCGGGATTGACCCAATTCTGAGGGTCAAGCACCTCGAAGGGGTCCTTTTGACCATGGTGGCCGCCATGGGATGGAAGGCCGTTTGGCGCAGCAAGGGCAGGCTGGATGAGCAAGACGCTGCTCAGAGCAGCTGCAGCGGTGCTGGTAAACAACATCCCGACTGAATTGATGAATATGCTTATGGACCACTACCTGATCACAGCAACAGGAGGGAGAGGTGGAAAGAATCAAGCCAAAAAAAAAGAAGAGTGGGAAGTGGGAATTACACCATATTTTATATATGTGCCACACCTGGTCCCCCAGATCGACCCCGCAAACAATTGAAGGTCTCTTCCATGCTTCTAGCTCGTATGTTTTCGCGCATCCTTGCTAATATCCCCATGCGCTCTGCTCTGTAGAAACGGTTTCCAGGGTCAAACTCGCATTTTGACAGCTAAAGATGCCATTTTTAATCTGTGCCGAAATTAGACGATCGGCGAGACCAGCCTCATTAGGCAAGTGCCAAGTGAATAGTCGCAAGGGTTTCCAGAATCCTTCTGCGAGAGTATATAAGACTTGCTCTGCTTAGCTCTCAACGAGCAATATCAGCCAGTATAAATGGCCTGGGATGCCCTGCAAGCATGCACCGAAGAGCTGGGATTCAAGCTTCTCTCGATATTAAATGCCGAATATCGCTTCGAGATGCTCAACACTTGGGACCTGTCAAGCATCAGCTAAGCTCTTCTCCTGGATGGAACAACCCACTGCCGTATCACCCTGCGTCTCCGTATTGGCTGAGAAGAATCGCCCGTCGCCATGTAAACATAGCTGCAGGAGGCGCGACATGACCCGGTTTGTCCCACCAGACTCTCGATTTCATCGCAACAAATAAATACATGTCAAAGCAATCGATGCTCTCTTTCTCGCACGATATATGCGACTCTACATCGTGATGTTCGTTGTTTGTCTTTAAGGTTGTTTTCGGAAACGAGAAAAACCCGGGGAAAGAAACGCCAAGACTTTGGAACCTCGGCAAAGACCGGACGTCGTATTATGTAATAGCCTAGTATTGAAAAGGAAGGTGTATGGGCGATCCTTATCCTCGTGACTTGCTTAGCTCATCACAGACATCTTGAAGTTTTGATAGTTCGTTTCCTACCATAAAACTCCTCGTCGTCGTTGATATATCAAGTTGATGTCCAGCCCGAACGCACAAGTTGTTCTTAAGATGCCCTACAGACTTGCTCGGAAATTGGTAGGGTAGGAGAAAAAGAGGTGGACTTCCTTGACTCCTCCTTCTTCACGACCAAACCAGGTCACAGAAGCCTCCCAACACCAGCAGAGGTTATCGCTCTTTCGCCCAAGTTCCATACCCACCCTCAACCCACTCCAGCGAAATTTGAGCATCTTGATCTTATTGTTAAGTGCGGCTCCCATGTGGTGGTTGAAGAAGCTCTATGTCTTCGTATGCTACGGAAAACCTTTGCTAAAAAGGTCCCTGTTCCAGAAGTATATGGCTGGAGAGTTGAGGGCCGCGATGTATTCATTTACATGGAGCTTATCCGGGGAGAAACATTACAGAATAAATGGGACCATCTAACTGACCAAGAGCGATCATCAATCTGTGGTCAGCTGAAGGAGATTATTTCCACATTTCGAAAAGTTGAGCAAGACCCTACGGATCCATTTATTGGTATGTCGATATTTGTAAAGCCATTGACAAATGGCCTACCAGAGATTTTGTTTATTCCTTTTCTTACTCAATGTAAAAATGAAATGCAAGAAACGCTTTTGACTTGCTATTTTACTGATACATAGTAGGATCAGTCAGCCGTGGCAGTCTACTTGACTATGTTTTAGAGAATATGCCATCAGCTGGCCCGTTTAAGTCCATCCAAGAATTTAATGACTGGTTTTCCGCATTGCCCCAGCGGTGGCTCCCTGATTCATCCAAGTATCAAGACCCATATCGAGAGTACTTGCCCGATGATGGAAAGATCAAGTTCACACATGGTGACTTGCACCGGGGCAACATTATAATCTCTCCTGGCAGTAACCCGCGTATCCTTGCGGTTATTGACTGGACTCACGCTGGCTGGTACCCCGAATATTGGGAGTATTGCAAAGCTCTATACACGGCCCATTATAATGGAGACTGGCGTAATGTTTGGATACCGACCTTTCTAGACCATTACACCGTGGAGTTTGACGTGTTCGCGGAATATGTCTTGCAGATGGGAGCGGTGTGAGATGGTGAGCACTTTGAGGAAATATAAGCATAATTAATTTAAGGATGCTCCGATCTGGTTCTCTGGAGGATCGAATCTTCCACTTTACGCATCTCATAGGATCACTTGCTAATCAATTCAGCACGCAAAACCACAGAGATGGAAAAGGTAGAGAAAACACTCAAAATTTCAGCTTCTCCAGCTACAAACTGGTAGAACTTTGAACCATGCGCACCTGGTCCGCACTACTCCTATCCTCACCGGACCCTCTATCACCCGGGCGACTAAGCATCTCTGCCCAATCCTCTACCCCTCCCAATTGGCTGCAGGCCAATACCATGAGTTGGAGGATTGCGTTTGGACTGTACAATCTGGATGGCGCCAGCATCAAGGTATTGGAGTTGAACAAGGTGACGAACATACTCCATTGTCCATTCCTGGCATCTTTTGTTCGTAGTCTAGGCATAGCTTAAATCAGCATACCCGCAACGAAACAATATTCAACTTGACTTACATCATTAACAGGAGCTGGAAAGTTTTCGTTGATTCCCGGTGGGCGAATCTGACTTGCTGCAATTTCTACCGCACCCTTTGGGGTGGAGTCTATGGCTCGCAAGTCATCCGCAGCGTCCACGATGTACCGAGAGTCATCTGTCCAATCTCATGCCTGGTGTACTGTTGATTTGTTGACACGATAGAATAGTTTCGTTTGAACGCTAGTTGATAGCCGGCCATAGGGGCGCCAACAACGTGAATAAGCGTCCCCGTGTCCTGATCTGTAGCAGATGGGATGAAAATCGCGAAATGTGCACGCTGTGTGGCCGCGTTGCGGAAAGCAATAAGGGCTATGTTCCGAGGAGCCATGGGTAGGTAGGGAATCGAAGGAAAAGGTTGGACCTTGGAGGTAGTCTTGTCAGGGAAAGGATGAGTAGAGGCAGTCAAACAATGGTTAAGATGATTTTGAATAAGATGAGTAAATCGCAGGAACTGAGAGATATGAATTTTTCATTCGATGGCTCAAGGATAGGAAGAATAACAGCATGGGAGCGCTGGAAGTAACAGCCAAGGGTATAAGTTAGCAGGCAAGGATGGTCTATATGGAAGCTGCTATAATCAACGCGAACCCATGCTGCGTGAATCTCACATAGGAGGCTGAGAACCAACTGTGAAAGCCGACTGAGGAGATAACTCTGGTAAGCGTTGTAGAATTGATATCGAAGCTTTGCCGCTTGGTGGAGTCGGCCACGGACAGTGAGTGGTTGGCACAGCGCTTAGTAAAGCCAGCGTCAAACGGTTCCAGTTTAGATGGACATCAGAGGTGTTTTGAATAAACATTGGGTCGCAGCTCATCTAGGATAGAGGAAGTGTCTCTTTGCATCATTCATTCTCATGAAAACGGGAGTATTGATCTTATTCAGCCTTATGCAGAAAGTCCTCGAAGCTGAGGGAAGATGTCCTGCACCAATCAATCCGTGTATGGATTGGCCGTTGTCTAGTACCTATCTGAGATTGGAACTTAGTATAGTAGCTTGATACCCCAATTTTGTCTGCTATGGCAGCTTACACGGCTATACAGACTCGTACCAGCAGAGACGCCATGAAAAGATCCAGATATGACTGATATGGCCGCCGTGGCCCTGGATCGCGGACGTGACAGCCGCTAGGTGGACATTAGGATGGTCACATTCAGCCGACAAGTGCATCATGTCAAGTAGAGCTTGAGTTACACCGAGATAAAAGAGGCAGCGATCCTCTCACTCCTTATAGAGATGGATGCAAAACATCCTCCATCCCCATTCGATTGATGGGCTAACTGCATCATATACGTCATATTGGTCTACGCTGCCCAGTATATCAGATTCACTTGGTTATATTTCTTACATCCAAAGCATGCACCAATAATGCGGGCTCATTCTGCTTCTCGAACACCTACACGATGGGTAGCACAGATGATATTGATTCCCCGCCTTGGATACGCTGTATGGATCTGTTAGCTGTGTCGCACATGCCCAGGATATGCCCATCAAGTTGGATCAGGCGTGGTCTTTGCATGACGAGAGCCTTGCCATTGCGTGGGTGCAACTCGCCGTCTGTTGGCGGCGGAGACAAACAAGTGTAGGCAGGACGCCTGACCGGCTAGCCACAGTTCACAACCCCAACATTCCTAAGCTTGATTTCACAGCCAGTCGCTTACGCCATGGTTAATGATGAGTAAACTCCAAGGAATTGCTTCAGTAGGGCGCTCGGTTGTCTCCCATACCAGCACGGATGGGGTAAAAATGCCTACCCCGAGAATTCTAGCAAACCCCCGTGCGACTAAGAATGGAATCGAGATCGAGAATGGCGGGATCTTTAAGTGTATAACTATCTAGCGCCCCATAGCTGGCTCTCGAGCTTCGGCGATGCCTTACAAGGCAAATTACCTGGCAACCTCTTTATCTATTAGGGCTCCAAATATCACCAACAACAGCAGACTCTCAAGGCTGATTCGGTGGTTTGTACTAATTTAATCCCTCAAAATCGCTACACAATCACCCAATGAACCATTCAACGGTTGGCAGGCTAATGCAGACCAAAGAAGTCCATAGTCTTCGAGCACATAATATCGCAGGCCGTCGATGGAGTGAGAATGCGACTAAATTAGCATACTTGGATCCCAAACTTATGCAACCTGGCGTATTGACGGGATATGGGGATTGAACGTGCAAGACAAGGCCCTATGAGAGAGGAGGATCTGTTTCTTTAGCCATCAAACTACTTCTACAACTAGCGGCTCGGCGATCGAAGCGGGCCTTGTAGGTTGCAGCCGAACGTGGAAGTCCTGAAACTCAACCACGATGTGCTGGGCGCTAATTACTTATCCCAGACGGATTCGCTTAATAGACCAGAAAGTGACCTTATCACCTACGGTCATTCCCTTGATCCGGTGGTTCAATTCGTCCATTCCGCCTGGTCCCGTTTGGTCTGATTTTTTTCTCACGATGTCTCAGGTACGGATGATTATGCGACTTCAGCCTGAGGCTTACAGGAACCAGTCAGCACAGCATACGGCGTACGGAGTACTCCGCACAGTAAAGATGTGATAGACGGGTGACTCAATAATTTCGCTGTGGACATCCGTATTTGGGAACGGCGGGTGAGTCTCAGAGCGGAGTGAAGGATTTCAGGTAACAAATGCAAGACATACTACGACCAAAGGAGCATCGGACATGGAGCAGTGGATCATGCGAGCAGAATCTGGTTTCCGCTGAGTATTGGGCCGCGACAACAAAAAGTGCTTCATTAAATATTATTAGCACACCTGAGCAGACCGGGGAAGATGTTGCAAAGACAACCAAGATCTACGGAGAAGTAGCCCAAAATGTTCCGCGCGTTGTAGCGCTGTACTATGTATGGACGCCATCTGCTGCGCCTGGTTTGAAATTGTGCGAAAAAAAGGGTGTGAGATGTGAGCACCCTGAAGGGACCACCTTTTGCCCTTTCAAGGTTAGCCGGGACCCTCGAGAGGCCAGGGGGACAAGGGAAGTTCTCTTGCTTCCTCTCTTTGAGCGATGGTCCAAAAAACTGAGTTATCATCTGAGTGGTCTTGCTACGCCACAGGCCTGTCTGATACAAAACTTGCACCACGGGGAGGCCATTGATCTGGCCCTCTGTCCAACCCTCTGCTCACTCCCGATGTTGTGGGACACCCTTGACAGGGAGACCATCAGAGTAACTCGGCGCTAACGTTTGTAAGGAGGAGGGGCGTGGGCTAATGAGCCAGGGTGAAGCTATGAATAACCTCTCCCTTGCATACGTGGGCTTATTTTCTCCTCTGGGATTAGCTGCGACGAGGAGACAGAGTTAGCATGTGAAGTGCGCTCGCCATGAGCCTCCATTGCCAGGCGTTTTCTCCGTGGTCGACTTCCCGAGTTCCCCCCCAACCCTGTCAGCCCTGATAGAAAGTCTGCTCTTTGGGGGGTGTGGCCGGCATGAATGGTCGGGAGCGAACATTAGCCGCGATGGACGTTCCAGTTTTTGTTAAGACATCTGGTTTAGCATTTCATTGGATCCAGTGAAAGGCGGGAAAACGTTGAAGGGGCCATTCTCGATGTCGCTGATCTGGCCAACGCCAGAGAGGCAAAAGTTAACTCGTCCCCCAAGAGGATCGAGAGCCCTGAAGATGAACCTACGGATCAATCTGGTCACACAACAGACACGTCAGCCCGCATCAGCACTAACACTTAACCTGTCTCCCGCCTTTTATCAGTTATATAGGTTGCATGGCTCTTCCCCGTTGATAATACGGTAATATCAGGGGATGGGCAGAGTCACTATCCTGAGCACCCCCGACGCGGTTGCTTTATATAACGCAAGCAAAGCCACTCCTGCGTCGCCAATTAAAGGGGGATGTCATCCATGACCCATGCAGCCTCGATCCAGCCCGGCCCGGACATTCAAGCTTTCCAGCAAGGTTCGAGTGACATGGGTTAAGCTTGATTGATCTCATCGCAACACTCACCAGCAGGAAAAAAGAAGAAAAAGAAAAAGAAGAGGCACCTTTGGTTCCCTTGTTCAGCAACTAGAATAACTCCGCGGCTCGTTGGCCCCGGTTTGTCTCTCAGAGTGGTTTAGCTGCGTATGATGGAACGATCAACCCGGTGGCATTATGGCCAGCGATTCCGACTCCGGTCCTCCTCCGTCTCCCCTGCAACGGCAAGAATCCTACCATTACAATAGTGTGTGTAGCCTAGCGCTGGGTTAGGGGAGGCTGTGAAATAGGGTGAAAAAAAAGGCCCGATCTAAAACTCCAGCTGCCTCTCCTCTTGGCCACCCAACACGCCCCAGCTGGGCGGGCTGTTGCACAAATGCACCAGTCCACGTCACCTTAAGCCCCCGATTGCCCTAGCGACAATATGTTAGAGGCTGCCCGTTTTCCCTTAGATCCAACAGCGCATGGTTTCATCTGCCGTTTTCTTATCACGGCCGTTTACTATGGGGGCAAGCAAGCTTACACACGAATGCAAGCTTAATAAATTCCGTGGGCCACCCCCATGAAGAGAGCTCTTTTCTTGGAGGGCTTATTTCGTTCTTGTCTCTTCTCTCCCTTTCTCCTCCGCTTGCCTTGCGGTCTTGCATATGCAGGACTTTATTCACGCTGATCAAAGCCTCTTACCTTCGTTTTGTCCGCCCTCATCCAACTACACCACATAAAAGAAACATTGCGGTTCCAACATCTGGATTTGAGAAAAAAAAAAAGCTGTCACTCGTTAAACTACTCCGCTTGCCTTTCTAATCTCTTAGAAGGATGTCATATCTCAAGGCTGTACAACAAACCAAATCGATCAATACTCTATGACAAAGATGTTGGCATGAATGACCCCTGGCTTCTCATACCATCACCACCATCAGCTTTATGCGGTCGCATCTACTTGCGATAACTCGGAATTCGCCTTTGACAGTTTTAGGCTCCTGTCACTAGCTCAAATTTGTCACATCACAGCAGTACATAAACCAACATTGCCAACAACAAGATGGCTCCCCAAGTGAACACAATACCTCCTTCCGCCCACTTTCAATCTGTCCCTGACTCTCCGCGCTCTTCTATAATTTCACCTTCTCCTACTCCGTCAACAAACCTCGTTCCTCTTAGAACATTCCCCATGGACAAGAAACCAAAAAAAACCACACCGGACCCACGCCCTCTCCGGTCAAGGAAGAAGCTACTCATCGTATTGATTGGCGTCATGACAGTACTGATAACGATACTTATAGTGTCGCTTGTTCTAGTACTGCACCGTAAGGGCGCCAGGGCTCACCATATGCATGGCCCTCTAGTGGAACTTGACTATGCAAAGTACCTGGGCATACCTGGAGGGTATGGCGTGACAAGCTGGCTTGGAATCCGCTATGCTGCACCCCCAGTAGGGCAGCTGCGGTTTGCTGCTCCTCAGGATCCGATGAAGGAGTCTGGCATTCAGCGCGCAAATTCTGTAAGTTGACATCTACGTGGCGGATGGAGAGTTTGACAGGATTCTGTTACATGCAGATGTCGAAGCCTACTATGGAGGGCACATATCTAACCGTCTTGTTAGCGCGGGCCATACTGCATTTCCACCAGCAGTAAAAGTGTGACGAGAATATCCGAGGACTGTTTACGCCTGAATGTTTTTGCGCCGACAAATGCACGCCCCGACTCGAAGCTCCCCGTCTTCTTCTTCATCTTAGGAGGCGGTTTCAATATTAACAGTGACCCGTTCCTCAATGGCACGGGGCTAGTTACTGCGTCAGGGCATAACATAATCGTCGTCACTTTTACCTACCGTGTGTCGTTGTATGGATTCTTGCCTGGGAAGGAGATAGAAAAGGGCGGCAGTCTAAACAACGGGCTGAAGGATCAGATCAAGGCGCTTCAATGGGTTAAGAAGTACATCAGCAAAGTAAGCCCGACCTTCCCTCCGAAGTAGAACCCTAGACACCCCCAGTTTTACTAACATCTCGAACTAGTTTGGTGGCGATCCTGATCATGTTGTGATAGGAGGTCACAGTGCTGGTGCAGCATCAGTGGCTCATCTTCTCACCGCACATGGAGGGCGTGATGATAACCTCTTCCATGGGGCCATCGCCGGATCGCCTTCATTTGGGACAACTCTCAGCAATCATGACTCCCAATACCTGTATGACAGTCTGGCTAAAAGAACCGGATGCGATACCCACGAGGACTCTCTAGCCTGTCTCCGAGAGCTCAATGTAAACAAGCTGCAGGAACAGAACTTAGGTGTCCCGTTGCCCGACTCTAGTGGACCACCTCTCTTTGCATACAGCCCCGTTGTTGATGGTGACCTGATTCAGGACTCATTCTATAACCTCTTCAACCAGGGTAAAATCATCGATGTCCCGACAGTCATGGGCGGCGACTCAAATGAAGGAACTATCTTTGCTCCCCACAACACATCGACCCTGGAAGAATCCGATAGCTGGCTCGCACGGCAATTCCCTTCCTTGAAAAAGAAACATTTCGACGAGCTTCACTCTCTCTACCCAAAAACCGAAGTTCAGTTCAAAGGAGCAGGTGAATATTGGACTCAGTTAAGCAACCTCTACGGTGAAATGCGCTATATCTGCCCCGCGATAGCTATATGCCGAACGATGAGCAATACTTTCAAGAGAGAGATCTGGAATTATGAATACCATGTCCAGGACCGTCACCTGGCGAAAAGTGGTTATGGAGCCACACATACCGTTGAGTTGAATGCTATCTTTGGCCCTGCGTTCCTTGGTCGGAAAGCAGCATCTTCGTATGTTAATGGTGATAACAGCGCTATAGTCCCTGTCGTCCAGGGCTACTGGACAAGTTTTATCAGGTCATTGGATCCGAACAAATATCGGGTAGCAGGTAGCCCGGAGTGGATGCCGAGTGTCCAGGGCGATTCGTCGATGCCCATACACAGGCTGTTCTTTGAAACCAATGCGACAACAATGATAACCGAAGACGAACAACTGAAAAAGAGATGTGACTATTTGACAAGCATCGGGCCGGCCCTCAGACAATGAGCATGCCATATGAGTTTACTTTGTGTGATTTTTCAAGCGATACCCCAGATTCACTTTTACATATTAGATGGGTGGCATTCTGCATAGCGTAGACTAGGCATTTATGTAGATAGATAATGAAAGCGTACATACTTCTTTTTTTGATGAATATAATTGCAATATGAGAATTTTGGCCTGCGTGGGTATCGGCGCTGCTCGCTCTAGCTAGCAGTATAGAGAATACATTATACTTCAATTCTTTAAAATTATACTTATCTGCGCGATTGTTTCCTCGCTTTCTTTTCTTTTTCATACAGCTTCGCCTCTCGTCCTTCTTCGCCTTGTATCTCTGCGATAAGACGACGGTACTTCTTCTCGTACTCTGCATCCCTCTCCTTCTTTTCCCGCAAGCTTTCACGAGCAATGAAGTTGGCGTCTTTCCGCAGCTCGCGCATAGCACCCTTCCTCTCACGCTTATGCTCAGCCTTGAGTTTACTGAGTTCGGCACGCTCACGATCAGGATCATAGTGTCGGTCTGGGTTGAATGATTCCTCAAATTTGGGAATGCTTGATTTGATCGCCAACGGCCGATGGTTGTGTAGGAGTAGAGGCCGCCTGGATTTCTTCATGGTAGCAAGAAGTACTTTAATTGTTTTAAGGCATTGACGGAGGTGGCCTGAGAGGGCAGTGGGGATGCTACCCTTGGAACAGGATTCAGCCATATGCTGCAGAACAGCATTTGTAGGTTCGAAAATTTCAAAGGCAGACAGCTTGGTACCCCATAAGCCGACGGCATTATCAATAAGTGAGATCAGAATGTTTATAAGAGATAGCTTGAGGCTCTCGGCATCATTGTCTTTCAAGCCTGGAGAGAAAATATCCCAAAATCGGAATTTCTGGACATCTTTCGAGGCGTTATTACCCAATTGTAATCGAATAGAGGACTCTGGAGATCGGACAGGGAAAAATCCAGGGGTGGATTTGATTTCCTTTGGCACAAGGAGAGAAAGGGAATTTAGAGTGAAGTTTATGAACTCGGGAATATATCGCTTAGCATATGCTTGATACTGAAGACATAGGCTGGCAATGTATGTCCCAGCCGCGATATCAGTAAGGGAATTGACTGGCCCTTGACCTAGGTAGCGGCCCATGATAAGAATTGATGGTGTAACGACAGCATGGAAATGATCAGAAGTAGGGAATATCATCGCCACCCCTGTGAGCAAAACGAGATCTCCTGGTAGCAATTTTAGAGGCCTGTTATCTGAAATATCCCGGAGATGTGACCTGAATCTAGTTGCAACCTCCTCTGGATAAGTTTTGGCCATGGAGTGAACATGCCGTAGTAAACTTTCCAAAACAGCAAAGGGAGGCTGAGTAGATTGATTTGCAAGATACGCTGTGTGGTCAACCAGGATTTTCGAAAATTCTCCTAGTTTTGCCTTGTTATCAGGGTGAAGGCTAGCGTGGTGCAGCGCTCGTATCCTTTGGACAACTACTGGCGTGTTCTCGATATCAACGTCCTCCAAAATTTTCAGAAATTGGTCGTGCGACTCAGGGCAAGGATAGGTAAATGCCAGGGAAGGGTCATTCGGTGCTTTGGATATAGTATCACTTGCTGCTGATGGTTTGTCTTTGGGGAGTTCAAGATCGCCAATGAATTCGGTATCGTCTGCATCATCTTCCTCTTCCTCGGACTCAACGTCACTCTCACTAAGAAGCACATCGGCAGCAGACTCGGTATCAACAAGGTCATCGTCAATTATAAAGTCGTCCTCGTCCTCAACACCAAATAGGCCGGTAGACGTCTCTGCCTGGGCAAGCCCAAATGCTTTCGCGTCGTCTGGCTCGGAATCGTCTGGGAATTCTTCTTCTACGGCACCATCTGCTTGCTCCTCATCACTCTCCTCTTCTCCCCTCATGCGCCTTAGTCTTTCATTCTCCAACTCCTGCAACCGCTTTGCTTCTTCTTCGATCTTCTCCTCCTCGGTTTTGGTTCGCTCCGAGGGTTTGGAGCGCTTGTCGAACGCCATCTGCCTCAGCCGTTGATCATACTCGCGATCTGCCTCGTCTCTATCCTTCCCACCCAGTAAAGCAGCACGATCAGGGTTCATGTGAGGCGGCTCCGGGGCCGGTCCTGGTGCGGGCTTGGGCTCCGCTGCTTTCGTTCCCCGCATCATCGCAAACACGTCAGGCAGGCCTTGGTCCAGAATAGCTCGAAGCTCATTATCATCTTCCTTGGATTTTTGGCGTTCATATTTGTACTGTTTTGATTTCGCGATAATCTCCTTCATGACTTCATTCTTGGACTTTTTCCGCTCAGGCTGTTCTTCCTCATCCTCATCCTCATCGGCCATCCCATCCATATCATCAACTTCTTCCACTATACGTTTCCTCTTTTTGCCTGTTCCAGAGTCGCTCTCCTCTTCCAGGCCACTCAGCTCCTCGTTGAAGTCATCCTTTCCTGCATCCACGCCAAATAGAGATTGTCCCATGTGGGTGAGTTGCATTTCGCCTTCGTCTTCATCTTCGAGATTGAACAATCCTTCCTTTTTCGACCGTTTCTGACTCTCTCTTGCATAGCGCTCGGCCGCTCGTTGCTCAGGGGTCATGGATGGATCATTTTCACCAAATCTTCGATCAAGAAGGCCGCCGACCTTGTTTCGACTTTGGAGTTCCTTGAGAAGGGTTTGTTTTCTCTATCGCACATAGCAATTAGCTCCCATAACGGTAAAATATGCACGTAAAATAGCTAGATGCATATAGTTACCCTCTCTTCTCCAAGACCTCTAGTCACGCCAGGCCGATGCGCCGGCCCTCTCTCTGGCCTCGTAGTGGTGACAGCAAACTTTGACGGCCGCACAGGAGCTCTTATTTCGAAAGGATTAAACTGTTCCCGTATTGCTTGAAGGGCAGCATTTCGTTTTATGCGATTCTCAGCTGCGGCGCCGGATTTCGAGTTTTTCTGCCTTTGCTTCTTGGATTGCTGGGGGCCAACTACGCCTTTCTCTCGCAATGACGCCTTTAGTTGCTTCAGCTGTGACGGCGCCATGATCAATTGCCCTCACAGAAGGGCCCTCTTCCAAAGAAAAAAGAAAAGAAATTCGAGGGTTGAAAGTGTGAAAATGAGCGAAAAATGTTGAAGTTTGAAATTTTGATAGTTTAATCGATAAGCGCCTTCACCGCCTTTGGATTCTGCCAACTTCTTCAACTCTTCTTTTTTGAACTTCGAGATATCAACAACAAAAACAAGACAGAAAGAGAGAAACGACGGCGAGCAAGCCATGGAGTTATCGTGCTGGCTGAAGATGAATATACAGAAGTGATGGCTTCACATGGTAATGACAGAATTCTATGGCTTTGTCTAGGTACGGCAACTCGAATTTCCCAAGATAGAGAGTACCGAGCTGACAGATTTACAAGGCGTCACCCTCTTCTTTGCCGCGCGAGGCATCGCTGCAGAGCTCTACCGGGTAAAAGATCTTGCTGAGATAAGGAAGGCTGAGAAAGAGGATCCAGTAATTGGTCAGGCAACTGAGGATGGTATGTTGTGCAGCTCGTGGTACTGCCATCTAATTATCTGTCTGACTTGTTTCTGCAGCCTTAAGACTTGAGACGCTCCAGCGGCTTGCTGGCAGCTCTAGCTTCGATCTTCGTGCGGCGTTAGTACTCGATATACCTGAACTTCTTGCTAGATATATCTAGTCTGACAACTTACGCCTCTTTAGAGCACTGAGAATCGTGTCTGAGAGGTCAACCAAGGGTTCGACGAAGGAATTGCTTTTAGACGACCTTGCCGGTGAAGACCCTGAGCGACGACGCAAAGCTGTGAATGCACTTAGCTTTCTCGTATCAAGTACAGCATGCAAGTTATCTTAGAGAATAAGTATTTGAATGATGGCCAATTGGCTAACGGTTATAATTATTTTAGTGGGCCGTCCGACTGTTCCTATGAGACTAAGAGATACGGCAACTTTCAGTGCTCTCGTCGATTGCCTATGCAACTTTCTCAGCGAACATACCGAAAAGACTAGTGACATAATCTCGCCAATCTGCCCACAGACAAGGCCACCTGGTGAGAACAAGGCCCTTAAGACACTCAGCTCGATGCTGCCAGGGAACGTAATAACTGCACTAGAAGCAGGAGTTGTCAGCCGATGGCTGACGAATTATCCTTTCCCATGCGCCGTACGTGATAAATCCAAGAAGCGAAGTATTGTGTTTATGATGAAAACATGGTGGGCTGATGACCCAGCTATGGGTTCCATTATTAATACCATATCATCCGATCAAGATGGGCTAAACCACCTCAGAAAATATGGGTTAATGGGGAGTAGGATGGAAGAGCATACAACGGGTATATTTGGGAATGGGCTCTTCGAGAACGAAGCCACTGGTCATGGTTATGGAAGAGACGGCTATCAGGCCTATGACTCCAACTCGGATTCCGGCTCGGATGCGGATAGTGATGTCTGGATGGTCGATGGTGAAGGAACTGCGGGTATTTCGCCTTGGCTCAGTAGCCGCCCGCAGGAAAATTCCGCTGAAGAACAAGCAATTAGAAGGCGTCGCAGAGAAGCCATGGTTTTCAGTGAAGGAAGTCGGCCATTGGTAGCAGACAATATATTCCACCCTATTAGCTTACCTGGCTCGCCTGACGAAGACTGGGAACTGGGAGAAACCAGTCCCTCCTGGGCAAACCAGAGTCCAGACGGACCTGCAACTCAGGAGGAAACTCATCCAGAGTCCCAGCCCGAACCCGAAACAGGACGAAGTCCATGGTTGCTATGGTCTTTCTAACCTCCTTTTCTTTATCCTTCTTCCGGGGTGGGCACCCATATTCTTGATACGTCAAGTATCTGTGTGTGCGTCTGTGAAGTCAAACAGGGGCTGCTGACTTTTAGGGCACTCTCATGGCAAAAGATGATACTATATGGAATAGAAATTACAATAATAATAATGATGATAATCTGTTGAATTATATCGTACATGACCCCTTCTATATTACAGTCCATGCTAAGTAGTTACATATTTTTAAGATGCCCCAAGTAAACGCCAGAACATGTCCAAACGGCGCCTATATAAGTGAAGAGAGAAAAGAGGAATTTATGCATCGTACGAAGGTGGTTCACCAAGGTAGAGGTCGCCCACACCCATATCATTCGCCGCAGCCTGTATTCTGTCTTCAATTTTGGCTGGATCTTTCGGCATGCTTCGTAGAACAAGTCGTAAAAGGTCGCACATCAGGTCCACCTCAAACTCCATATGGAATTCTTCACCCATATCATCAAGGTATATCCCTTCCTTGGCAGCTTGTACCGTCTTCTGCTCACGCAACCTGTTAAGGAGATTGCCTACATACTGAATATTTTCTTTGGCTCGGGGGGTGGAAGAAATTCGTCTGTGGCGCCGCTTGGGTAGCGTTGCTTCATCGCCCGTGGGAATCAAACGCACAACAAGAAAAACAAGGATTCTAGCAGTGTCGGCATCTGGGAAGAATCCATATGCCTGCTTCATAGCTCGTAGAGCAACTATGGTTCCTTCGGGGTCAAGTGAAAGGCAGAAACATCTTATGATATGATCGTAGAGATCCTTTGAGAATGCATTCTGTGTACCTTTCTGATGGTGTGGAGAGAGGCTTGAATACCACTGATTCATTTCACGGTATAACGCGCGAGCTGAAGGAAATTGTGCGTTGAAACAGGAACGAGTTCTGTCATACTGAATTTTCCCACAATCCCAGAGGCACGCAAATGTTTCGAGGTCGGGTTTAATGGTAGACATTGCACTCTTGTATCCCGACCAAACCCCTAATATATTCTGTTTCCGTAGCTCCCTGTAAAGAAGATGGTTTGCAAAAAATGTATTGGGTCGAATGTGGGCTTTATCTAGACATTCCACGAGATAGTTGATCAAAGTATTTTTATCTCGCCGTGTATAGTGCAGCAGAAGAATTGAAAATGTCTCTATAGTTGCCTCAGGAACAGTCCGTTGCACATGTTCTGGGATGGTGCCTTCAGGATGAGCATCACTGACAGAGGGCTTTTCAGGCTGATTACTCCAAACACGATCAACTCGTTTTTGGATCATAGCCCACCCGAGTTCCTCAGCCTTTCTCCTGCTAGAGCTACTTCCTTCACGAAGCCATGCTCCCATTAGGCCGTTGACGTGTTTAGCATCTGGCTTCACTCCTCTCTCGTACATTAGCTCGATGACCTTTGCCGCAGCGTCAAGTTCATGCATTCCGATCAGTTTTTTAAGCCAGCTAGCATAAAAGAACTTGTTTTGGAACTTTCGAGGAAGAATAGTTAGTGCTGCGAGGGAAACCCTGTTCACGTCTGACTCGTTAATACTGTCAGAATGAAGTTTCCCAACAAGCCCAAGAGAAGCTTTATAAAGAGCATCCGACTCTGTAGACGCATTCTGGCCGGTTAACATCATATCTTTAAAAACGGCTAGGGCCATGTTGACTTTGCCAGATTTGAGTAAGCCGACGCTGATTGCGTCATAATCATCCATTGTGATATCTGTTCCCAGTGTTGTTTTGAGATGTAGATAGAGCGTCCAAGCACGAGCATCGTTTTCAGGGCTATCACTCTGGGCCCAGCAGTTAATGACTGGAATGAGTATCCGGGCACTATGAGACGGGTCCAGCGAGAGGTATACCAGCGCAGCATCTTGCGCATTTTTCGGCCTTGAATTGGCCACAAACAAGCGAACACCCAGGTCCCAATACTGTTTTTTCTCGTATGCAGTATATTCTGCCAAGTCTGGTTCCCTTTCTCTCCATAGCGTGAGGGCCTTTTCCTTCTGGCCGTCTCTGCAAACGGCATCCATATAATCAACCCATTGGTGCGCCTCTAGGATTCGTCCACTGGTAAGTATATCTTCGGCTAGGATTGTGAGATGATGCGGAGGTATCTTCTCAGAGGCTAAGCTGGGGCGTTGGGATTCCCACAGCATGGCTATAGACTCCTCTGGGGCAATATCGAGGAAGAATGGAAGAGCTTCTTTACACCGGCGATAGGATTTCCAGGCAAATTGCCTTTCGGCGAGGCTTGGGTTGTTTCTCAGAGCTTTCAAAGCCTTGTTAAACCTCGTGACATATGCGTGGTGGCTTTCCGGGACCTTTAGTTCGACCTCGTAGGGCTCTTTCGTCTGTTCAGCAGGCTCGGTAGCTTGATTCGGATCGGATAGCTCTTTGGTAGGATCCCATAGCTCTTCTTCCTCCGCTTCAAAATTATCCAATTCCTCCTGCAAAGACTTGTTGAGCTTTGTGCTTAGGCGGCTTTTCAACTGTTCATCCCTCTCATCCTCCTCTTTCCAATTGTGTTCTGCCGCATATTTGGTGATAGCTTCCACGGCCCTTTTTCTATCTTCCTCGGACAGGCTCCTCATAAATTCACCATCTAGGGCAAAAGGCCCATCCTTAAGAACGTCCAGCTCCTTTTCCAGTCTTTTGAGCTCCTCCTTCACCCTGCCTTGCTCCACCAGGTCTGGTGTCTCTGGATCAACCTCGAAATAATCATTGCTATTCGTAATCGACTGCTCAAAGTTGCGAACGGTCACTTTCGGGTTTCTGTCGTGAGAATAGAGTGTTGCTCTAGTAGAGAATGGTCGAGGGAGGCTTAAGAGCGAGGGAGAGCGACTAGGGAGGCATTTTTTGAGCGCATGCTGATGCCACCGAGTTCCCTGTAAAGTCAACCGGCGCATGAATGCAGCGAATTGTAGTCAGCTCATCGAGATCCTGCAGGATAGAAGAATTTGCTGGTTGTTCGAGTTGTGAAATAGCATAAAAAGGAGAGAATTTGAATCGCAGAATCAAATTGAGAATCGACAAAGTCATTTTGAAGCTTGTCACATGACCTGTTTATAACTAATTGGAAATCCTCCATTATTGTTTAGAGACGCGACAACAAGCATGAAGAAAACAGAATTCATCATCAATATTTTTGATATAATCCGAGAAAGCCAGAGATTGGTATCTCATATGCTTAGTTGATTTGGATTTTTTGGAGTTCCAACCATGCAATCCGGTCATGAGGCTCACGGAGGCCTTGCTGGCTTCGAGTATCAGGTTCGTCCTCTTTGCAGCTATATAAAAATAGAATTAACAGTTAAATAGGGATCGTATATATATAAACCCGCGAAGAAAGGCAGCGGTGTCAATGGAGCCTCAAACAAGAGACGCAAGTTGAATCATGTATCCAGCAACCGAAACTTAGGGAGCAGTATCTCCCCGTTCGTACCACTTCTGAATGGACACGAAGCCAAAGAGTCCGTCAAGTTACGATATGAACTATTTCAAGATCTCTGGTCCCGGAAAGAGCGTAAAATCCAGGTTTGTACGATTGAAATGTGAAGATATGTCGTAACTCTAACAAGTTACAGGACATTCTCCGCAAGGTTGACTCGGAAGTTCTAAGGAGTATAGCAACATTTATCGAAGAATCTTCGAGAGAGACGTATGTGACTCTTTTTGGCGTGCTTTATGCTGAAAGAGATAAATTTGTTGATTACTTTATAGTTACAACGGGCGGATTCCTACTGGGATGATTTCGGTAGGATCAAATATATCATCAACCGGCGGGCTCTTAGAACGCCTACGAAAGGAGCTACATACGTCAGGAAATGCATGCCTGATTACGCTAGACTCTGGGGATACTTCTAATATCAAAAATGCCTTGAAAATGATCATCAAGGCTGCCATCACTAGTATGGAAGATATTGATCAATACCGCGACTACCTAACCTCAAAAATGGTAATAACTACTTTAATTCTTTGTTTTGTCTCAACTAAGTCATCTATAGGGGCCGAAGCTATTACCATACGACCTCGACTTGCTGTTGTCTTGTGTTAGGAAAAATGGCGTGGAGAAGGTTGTCATCGCGTTCAAGGACAGCGAGGCATTCGATAGCACTGTCCTGGCGGACTTAATCACACTTCTATGGTAAGTAATCATATCATTTGGGATCTGTGACGATGGTACTAACAGAGTTCAGGTCGTGGCTGGACCGAATACCCTTTGTGTTTCTCTTTGGCGTAGCCACCTCTGTCACCTATCTAGAGTCGAGGCTCCCACGTTCCGCTGTTAAGTTGTTGCAAGGCCGCCTTTTTGATTTTCAAGACTTTGGGGACTCGATAGACCGCATTTTTATAGCTCTCCAGACCCAAGATGATGCGTGCCTCTGGGCTGGACACGGCGTGAGCCACATCTTAATGGACAAGTCAGGGGATTGTTTCCAATCCCCTGAGAGGTTTGGCAGTGTCCTCAAGGTATGCATAGTCTTAAACTGACGCCCTCTGCCATTGTTGCTAATACGAATTAAAGTATACTCATATGGCTCACTTCTTCGCAAACCCACTTTCGGTCCTACTTGCTGGGAAAGGCAAGCTCAAGCAGCTCCAGCCTGAATTATGTGAAGCAATTCGGAATACCCCTTCGTTTCGGAAGTTAGTAACTCATAAAAACAACATCGGCATGTGACTATACGTAACTAATTCCTGAGCTAGACATGTGCAACGCTTATTGGATACTAAAGACATCGAACCTGCAGAAGGCATGATGAACGACGACGCAACTCTTACAAAACACGTTTACCTAGGCATTGCAACTGCCCAGCAAAAGATGCGAGAGGTGTTTAGTTGCATTGAATGGCTAGTAGCATTGTCTCAGAATATTAAGGCACTAAAAGCTGCAAATCACTCTGCGTGTATTATTCTTGCGCTTAAGGGAGAGCTTCTCGAGTCCAAGGTCTTAGTTGATACACTCGATGCTGCTAAGAAACTGAATTCAGTTGACCTTGGAGTTGCATTTGGGCCCATGTCCACACCCTCAGCCGAGTCGGATGCCATACTCGACGAGATTCGAGAGCTTATACGCACAAAGAAAACTAAAGGAGCTTTACGATCCCAATATGATGCACAGCTTACAAAACACAACACTACGATCGTGGGCCAAAGGGTGAAGCTGACAAAGGGGAAAGCAAAGTTGTCAAATGAAGATTTGAAATACAGTGATCTGATTGACCGTCTGTTTGATTCATTACAGAGCTGCCTCGCCGAGAAGCTGATAACACCCACAAACTTATTTCTCCATGAATGCCTGATATATGACTTTAAGTCGCCTATTAGATATACCTTTACACCCAGATGTCGGCATACAGTTGAGCAAGCATTGTCAACCCCGTTTGACTATTTGGATTCAAAGGAGAACGGAGAGATAGGGGCACTCTCTGCCAGCCAACCGCCTATTTCAATTCTCTACCAACTTTATCTCGAATCTGGCGCTGTGGCCAACGTTTATGATTTATGGAGAGCATTCTACATGATTGTTGGCGGAGAAGACGAGGAGAAGTGTGATGAGCGTGTGGCATTTTCCATATTTTACCAGTCTCTCGCAGAGTTAAAGATGATGGGAATGATAAGAACAAGTAGGAAAAAGACGGATCATTTGGCAAAGTCGGCGTGGATAGGCCTGTAATCGTCCAAAACCGCCTTTTCGGGATCTTCTTTTCAAGGCATAACTACGTGTATATTTGTCGAATTTTTAGCGAAATATCTTCCGAATTCAAATATCAGAATCCAGGGATCTCCTCTCTCTCTGAGGCATCGGTTCGCTAATAGTCGTAATTCGTAATGATATACAAAGTTAACGTCCAAAAGAGGTCTTTTCTACCATAATTAACAAGGGCGTAGGATATGGTCAAATAAAAAGACAAAGGGGGAATATATAATCTAAAGGGGGAGAGGGGAGAAAGACAAAGAGGGAAATGCAACCAAATGACTTATTTCTTTCCCTTCTTTTTCTTTTTGCCCCCTCCGCTCACAGAGCCGGTCGTGGAGCCGGTCGTAGAGCTAGCCGCATCCACAAGGACAGCATCTTCATCGCTGCCAAGCTGGGTGTTTTCGCCTGTAGACCCGCCCTTGGTCCTGGAACTTTCTGTAGTGCCAGCCTTTTCTTGCTCGAGCTCTTTCATGAATCCTTCCTGTATGCTTGCCCTTTTGTGATCCCACCATCCCTTTTCTTCCGTGACTGTGTTTTGAAGAGCGCGAATGTCGGCTCGTGCCATATTATTCAGGAACATCTCGTTTGCAGACTGGAAGATGACCTGACCCCAGCCAGGGGCATAAGTATTCGCCTGAGTGTTTTTTAAAAAAGGAATCCGAGTTAGCCTGATGTTAACGAGATTTGAAGTACAAGAAAAGGTGTTACGATATGTACCTCTGAAGCAACGTCTCTGAATTCCTCTTCCATCTCCTTTTCGGCTCTTGTGAATTGCTGCCATAGGTCATCGCCAACGTTTCCTTTTTGTAGTAATGTAGATAAAGCAGCCTTTTTAGTTCTAAGCTCGAGAAGTCGCTTGATGTCTTCTGCCGCACGATGTAGAAGCGCTGCTTTCAACACTGTCTCGGGGGCCTTTTTCTCCATATGCAGGATAGAGAAGTATATATCACGCTGGAGATGTGATGGAAACCATGGCTTCAGGGAAGTAGCCTTTTCTGCAAGAGATAAGTCCGACCGTTAGCTTACATTTCACTGTAGCGGATAGAGGGCTCCGTGTTTATTCTCTGAATCAACATACGGATCTTGCGTTTGCGGTAAAGCGAGGAGAATGTTGCGAGCGAGCCGACCAGGACAGCTAGATAGGCGAGCGGGATAGTAAGACTGAGCCAGTCTATCCTGAGAAAGTCCAGCATCTTGGAATGTGTTATATATTAGGAATATCTGTAGAGAAGTCGAGCCGTGTACCCTCGCGCGCAAAGCTCGCTCTTCTGGAGCAGCGGCAACGGCGAGAAGAGTAACTATCGCAGCTGAGCGGAGTCGAATTGGAATTAAAAGCTGAAGAGACAGCCCAAGTTCTCCTGGCTAGCAATTGAGTAGCCCTGAAGTGCTGCAGTGGTGGTTGTCTTTGCGCCGGTTGACTCTGATGTGACTTGCGGGAGGAAAAAAGCTGGAGATGCCAGATAGACAGCAAAGGACGTTGTGGCGTCACATGTTTCGATTACTCAACCACATAAAGGACACTTCGATAGTATACAGGGACATCACCACAATGCTATTTGATAAAAAGACGAGGGTATAAGTCTATCAAGACGGTTTATGGATTGTTTACAGGTTCTCTTTGATTTCTCTTTAGTGTCTCCCTAAAATACGTTCACCGCACCGCAAACCAGACAGCCTCCCCCCGTGAACAATATGAGCGTCAAAGGCAGAGTAGAATCACAGATATGAAACAGCAGGAGAAGAAAAGGAAAGATGAGTAAGGGAGAGAGGATGGGAGACGAAGATAAGGTCAGACGCCAACAGACTCGCTGTACAGTGAAGAATTAAACATAATCACAGGAATGACAAGAAACATTTGCATCACAGGGTAAAGAACGAGAAAGGGAGCGGAAAAGAAATAATACAGGAAGGATAAGGGGGAATAGGTCCTGCAAATATGTCTTCGCGCTTTCAAGTCTGTCCCTGGGGTAAGACAGATCTTAGCTATATGGCTGTAAAGGCTGTAAAAGAAAGGAGGTGGGTGAATCAATATACAAAGCGACGAGAATCCATCTTGGTCTTCTCGTCCTCTTCGCCCGTTCCCCTTTTTTCGTATATATCATTATGTTCTTCGTGCTCATTGGCGATCCAACTTTTGGGTTGTGTCGATGAAATTCTGGCTTGATTTTATGTCTTCAAGTGTTTCGAGGAAAGTCGACTTTAGCATGACGGCAACATCTTTTCTATTCCACTCGTTGCGGTTGGTCCAGAGGCAATCCATGAGTTCGGTGTTGATCTGCTCCAGCTGCTCGATCGAACATCCCCCCGTCTTCGTGCTAAGGTCTTCGTGGAGCTCGTTGTTAAAGGCTTCGTCTATGATCAAGTCTGGAAGCGGCGGCTCGGGCTGCTTTGGTTCGCTGTTGACAATGTCGGATATGCGGTGAGATCCGCCGTTGCGCGAGGGAGGGGTGACAGGAGTGCCGTGGGTGTTGGCCGCTGAAGAACGACTGGATGCTGCGCCGAAGAGTGGCGGAGGGCCCGGAGGATGAGATTGGGATGCTTGGGAATGGCGAGGTTGAGATTGGCTGCCATTGGCAAGACTTGCTGTGGACTGCGAGTGGAGGAATTCGGCTACACCACGGAGGGGCGTAAGCTGGGAAGAAACCCAGGAGCTGTCGCCTTGCTGTGTCTCAGGGAGGTGTTCGTCCCCGGACGCACGATCGGGATAGAGTGTAAGGTCTGGTGCATCGTGTACACCAGACGCCATTACCGAGTTATGAGGGTTGCTATGCGTCATATCAGAGGGGCCAGAATGTTTCTTTTCCGAAGTTGTCTGTGTTGTCGAGGCGTCGTTTACATAGTCGCCTGGTTGTGACCCTGGAGCCATGGGCGTGACATTTCCCTTTTGTGACAGTGTTGACAGGCCAGACTGGTTCTC